CTGTTAACCGTTAAGGAGTTCCCTCAGCTATCGTACTACTTCATCATCAGACCCTTATTGACAATTACATCCTACCTAGGCATAAAGTCCTCATCAATACAAATCAATCAAACCCAAACACAAGGTAGCTACTGTTAACCGTTGAGGAGTTCCCTCGACTGGCTCTTTGCTCCGTCATCAGATCGACTCCAGACCTTTATCAAATTGTAGTGGTTTTGAATACTTAATGAAAAAATTAACCAATGCACTAGTCGCCCCTAATATTTTCATATTGCATAAGTTTCTAATAATTACCGACTTCAAAAAAAGGAGGAGGTACTATGTTCGGCTGATTGTTTTTTTTTTTGTTTGTTCACGCAGTACTCCGCCATTTGTGAACCGATTTCGAAAATTCTTGTTTTGTTTGAAAGGATATACTCCCGAGATGGTCCCATTTCCATGAGGCCAGGATCTGATGTTAGGATCCTAGAGAAACCGAGGGGAACTTTCGAAAATTCTATGGGTGAGTAAAGCGTCTGTTATGTTTTTCAATTACGATTTTTAAACACTATAATTTGATAAGGGTCTGGAGTCGACCTGACGATGGAGCCGACAGACAGTCGAGGGAACTCCTCAGCGGTTTATATTAACTACCTTGTATTTGGGCTTGATTAATTTGTATTGATGATGACTTTACACCTAGATAGAGTGGGGTTGTCATTAAGGGTCTGATGATGAACAAGTGTAATTGTTAAGGGAACTCCTCAATGGTATACAGTAACTACCTTGTGTTTGGGCTTGTATAATTTGTATTTATTAGAACTTTGCACCTAGGTATGTAGATTATAAGTAACAAAACGGGTATATGTAGCTTTACACTGAAAATGGAAAATAATAAAATAAAAACTGCGTTAAAAAACCGACTTCAATAAACCAAAAAGTAATAAACAAACAAAAAGTCTGAACTAAAAAGAAAAAACTAAAAAGCAAAAAATAACTATTATTTGCCTTATTGGTCATACGTACCTACTTATAGCTAACACACCCACTGATAGGTGAGAAGTCGGTGCCATAAATTTTACACAAAATGATTCATTAAAACCTTAATAGATACCTTATTTACAATTTTGTGGCCATTAAGTTATGTCATTTGATGTGAGCTTATGGCACCGACCTCTAACCTCAGTGGGTGGGTAACCTATCAGTACCTACTAATGATAGTTATTTTTTCTTTTTAGTTTAGACTTTTTGTTTGTTATTACTTTTTTTTTATTTACAATATTTATTAAAAGAGATTCTAAATAAAATTAATATTAACTATTACTAAATGAAAATATATACAACTTAAAATATAAATAACTATGAACTAAAATATTTACACCTTAAAAAAATACTTAATAAAATTGCTATCATAAGGCATCACAAAAAAAATTTTCCTCATCGCTATCGTAAGGTAGGGTGCTCAAATGACTGGCAGCATTGCCACGTTGAATGGCAATGCTTAACCTTTGTCCAAGGTAGTAGCCAGCCCTTCGATCACCTGAAGTGTCAACCATCCTCCTTACAATATCTTTGTAAAGAAGATGTGCACTTGGGCCCCACGGCCCTAAAGTTTCAAGCCCAAACGCTTCGAAAGCATAATTGCCAATCAGGCTATAATACTTTCGCCGTTTGAGGTTCTCGGCAGCACTGGCTCGACACGCTGAGTTTGGAAGATGGGATGGCGCCAGAGTATCAACGCAAGTGGCGTCCCATACTAAAGGCCTACCCATCTTCCAACGGAATAATGACATACCGTCGGGTCTCTTGTTATCGTTGCGTACCAAGCCATTAGATTCTAAAGTAGCTGGCACGCCAACGGAGACAAGAGCTCGACGAATTATGTCACTAATACTTGCGTGTCGAGCAAAACGGCCCGCACTACGGCTATACGACAAGCCGTGGTGTCCAAGGCTGTTGACATCTTCACCACAACGACAACGATGAGGTGAACAAAATTAAGCCCCAAGCCTTAAACAAATTGTAGTGCGGAATGTGGTGTCGTCCAACAAAGTACCTAAGTTAGACGAAGGCAAAGCAACAAGCCATAACCCCGACTCCCACTCACCCACAGCCAAAAGGCGAGCTCTCTCTGCAAAGTCAAAGTCAAAGCATTTATTTCAATTAAACCATAGTTTGGTGCTTTTGAAACGTCAACAAATACAAAATAAATAATAGTCTGTCAGTCAGTCCGTCAGTGAAACTAGGTGAAGCTAGGTGAACAAGCGAAGATCAACTGATTTTCGCTCACTTTTCTGCGGAGCGGCTCGTCACGTTGTCTCTGGGAGAGTGATTTGACGGGGGGGGGGGGGGGGTCAATATTTGGGCAAGGGATTTTCCAAGCTTTCACAGCTTCCACTAAAATGGTAGATTTATGAGCGGAAGATATGAAAGCCGGTAGACTTACACTGGAAATTTTACGGACGCCAAAGTTTGTCTAATGATTCGGTCAATTATTTCCAAAAGAAGGGGTGCTGACCAGAGGTGGGTCGAGCGCAGATAGTACAACAATATTTATAAATACCAACTCTTATGTATGAAACATACATGAAAGCAGGATTAATGCGGTGGAAATGGGAGCCCTGAGAAGTATGTGTGGACTTATCGTGATGATCATGATCATGAGTGATCGAGCGAAAAATAGTGTTATTAGAGAAAAGTGTGGATTGAAAGATGATGTAGTGTCAAGGATTGAAAAAGGAATGTTACGCTGGTTTGGACATGTAGAAAGGATGGATGAAAGTAGAGTAACGAAAGAATTATACAGAGCCGATATGAATGGGGCGGGGGCCGTCCGTAGAGGGCGCCTTAGACGAACTTATAGTGACCAGATTAGCGATATATTAAAGAACGGTGTAACGTTGGGCTTTATATTGCAGCCTCTACGTCAGGGTGTGAGATGGAAATGAGGTTCGAATGCGCGAAAACTATAGTGAAAACGTTTATTAACTGAACAGGGTCCTTAGACAAAGTAACATCGCTTAATAGCGAAACGAAAAGTAAATTCGCCATCGTCTCTGAGATAACGATAAACATTTCCTAGCCAATGTAACACTATGGTCGTGATCGTTGTGTCGAATTCTTTATTCGGCAAAAAACAAAAATATTGGTTATGGTATCGAAAATCCAGCTGTCAGTGACAGTCAAAAAGTTCAAATCGGATCAAACTCGCGAGATATTGATGTTTTAAAATTTTATTAATAAGAAAGTGAGTGTTGCGTTTAATTGTTTTTAAGTTAAATATAAACGATAATTTTACAGTCGTAAGTGAATAGAGTGTTATTACTTTTAGATCGTTTCCAAAACTTAATGATAATCAAAATAGACTCATTTTTATAAGTGACTGGTGTTCAAACGATGATGGATCTCTCTCTATTTCTTATCTATTTTAATATTTAGTGATAAAACATGGAATCAAAAGTGCGAGCAAGTCCTGAACAATTCGCAACGCTGCTCGAGTATAACTCGAAACGTAAGTAAATCCAAGTTTCATTCATGAGTATGTAATGTAAACAATGACGCGATCTTAACAATGAAGTACCTATATTGAACCGTCGCTGTCTTAACCATTTTTGGCGTCTCTCCCAGTCGGTCTCATTGTGTGCAGCCCACAATAAACGCAGAGAATGCATTTTTAAATCTATTTGATCTGTATTAGTATATTGCCTCTAACACAAAATAAATAATAACAGGATCAATAATGAAATTCGGCCATATTGTTTCAATAACTACAACCTTTTAGCATTCGTTTCGTTATCGTTTTTGGCGATCACGATCGAGGCGTTGGCGAACACTGAAAGGTCTGCTTGTCTACGCATTTATATGGAATAAACACGATAACGATTCGTTACTTTATAGTTTCGTTATGAAATATAACATTGTCTACCAAATTGCGATAACGATATCGAATGACCATGTGACTTAACGCGGCTTATGTCAATCCCATACATTTTAGTCTTAACTAACTTCGTTATCGTTTTTAAATTGTTACTTTGTCTAAGCCCCCAGGTGTCTATAAAACTACACAAACAGGGGTTAACTTAAAATTAGTTAATGTAACCGGGTGCCTCGCGGAATAGCGGCTATGCGCTCTCGCGGCTAGTTGTCCACAGTCGTTGGCGGGGTTCGCTTTCACTCCGTTAAGGGTGCGTCCGAGCAAAGACAATAAAGGACCCTTGCGCCACATCTGGGCCGCAGCTGGGCGGTGGTATGTCTCGCCGCCGTAAGGCATGCGCCCAAACCTAACTGTTAACCCTCGTGTTACAACGGCCAAATTAAAAGTAGGTACCCTTAATCAACGAGCATGCATGAAAAGATTGATGACTGTTGATGAAGCGAAAGAGTACCTTACCTGTGTAGGAATCGTAGTAATTGGCGTTCCATAGTCTCTGCCTTCCCCCATGGGAGACAGCCGTGAAGTTACGTATGTATTTTATTTATAAATATTGACTATTTAGCCCAACAACGCACTTATCTCTATGTAGGTACCTAGAATTAATAATGTCCTCTATTTCTAATGGCCGACCTTAGTCCGGCCCAGTTTAAGCTATTTTGCGCATGTGGGTCTTTTGGCTTCACAAATTTTAGCTAATGTTCGGTCTACTTCTCCTTATATATCTGAGTTGTAGGAAGAGTTTATAGTGTTGCCTTCTATAATTAGTTTCTAGTTAAACAGAACATAAATATTCGCGTTGAGCGTATCCCATGTGAAACCATAAGAAATTACTATAAAATAAACGTGACCAGTGATATCCAGTGAATGAGTACCTATTTTTCTATGATAATACTAATGATTGAGTGACATATGTGTGAAAGTGTCAACGTCAATTCAAATCTCAAGTTAAAGTTGTGTAGAATATTGCTTGTTTGCCGAAGTTTTAAAGCATTAAACTTATTTGTTATATTGAAACATCTTGTATAACTATTGTATTGGTGCCGGTGGCTTAGTGAGTGAGTAGCTATACCAGAATCACAAGCATACCATGCCACGGGAACAAAATATGGATTACCAAAAATATGCATTTGAATACGATCCCGTAAAAGTAGGATCTATAGATGGTGAGTTTTCATCTGATTGTTTCCATAAATACGTTATCTTCAGATAATACTTAGTTGTTAATACCGAGGTTATCAATGTATCTGGAGGTGTTTCGGTCAGCAAGTATTCTCGTCTCCGTTCAACTAGCAATCTGAATGATTTGTTATTGTCTAGCTATTTAATGAAATGGATGGATTATAATGGTGATTATTTTGTTTCGTCTTTAGTTGGAGGGTGATGGAATTATTATAAGAACTAAATGACTCCCAGAATAATGGGACCGGTTAGATGTCGACTTGAGAAAAAATAACAACAACTACTTAATCATTGTTCACTACTACATCATTTATTACTACAAAAAACAGCGACAGGTCTTCAATTAAATACTTAATTATATTGAGCTAGTGGTTGGTGCAGCTTATAGTGTTCACATGCCATCAATAATTGATTCACAATCTTCATTGATCAGAATCTTTAGAGCAATAATGGTTTTTGACAGAAACTATAAAATGTATGTAAAAAATCAAGCACAATATAAATATTTTAGATGAAAGTTATTGAAATTAGCAGTTATAAAGTAATTCAAGAAATAATAAAATGGAATTTATTGAAATGACTTGTATCTCTTTCACTAGGTACAGATACTGAGCCCCATGATCGAGCAATAGTACGGGCTTTGCACTCTGAATATTCTCCTAATAAGCTAGTGAAGGGGAATCCTAGCAATACACTATTCATTGGCAGACTTAACCCTAGAACTACTGAAGTTAGTATTACTGTCATTATAAAATGTATTTATTTGGAAACTCATTTGTTTGTCACATTAATGATTATTTGTTACACATAGGTGTGATGTTAATCAATTGAGTCATCTTGTTTAATTTATTGACAACATAAATGACGATTTCAAAACTAACAAAAGTGCATGTTTGATTTTATTTCAGGATATACTCAAATCTGAGTTTAATAAATTTGGCAGAATACTAAAGTGTCATGTTGTGAGAGACATAGTTACTGGCAAGTCGAAGCAATATGCTTTCATTGAATTTGAAAGTGTAGGAAGTGTGGAGAGGGCTCTCAAGGAGTTGCAGAAGGAGTACCTGGATGGTTCAGAAATGATCTTGGAACGTGAAGCAGAACGCCGGTTGCCTGGATGGCGGCCACGGCGTTTAGGGGGTGGCTTCGGTGGACGAAAAGAATCGGGTCAACTTAGGTTTGGATGTCAAGACAGACCCTTCAGAAAACCTATCACAATCATACAAAAGATCAATAACATACCAGACAGGAGGTAGCAACAATGTATGATTTAATATGGAGAGTGTACAATGTCTTAGCCAGTGACCCATGTCATGTACTTGTTTGTATATTGTGTTAAAATAACAAGTATTACATAAAAAATATAAAGGTTAAGATCTAAATGGTCATGGACATCACCTGTCAATCACAAATTCAGCAAAATGAGCATTTATATTAAATGATGTGTTATGTGTGCTGTAAGGAGCTGAAGGGTTGGTGCAAGTCATTTACTCGGACTGAGGGACTCCTCACCATCCTAGAGGCTGTCCTCCTCATTATATTTATTGGATTTTTTGTGTTTTTGGTTCTACACTTTGTAGCTTGCCAAATTCATCTTGGAGATAAAAATGTAATTGAAAATAGCACAGTGCCCACAGTAACGACGACCGTCAGCCCTAGTGTGACTAGTACCCTGTCCCCAGACGTGGAGTGTACGTGGGAACCTTCTCAGAAAACGACTGCGCACACGCGTTACTACGTCTCTGACAGCTACACAGCGGATGTTGGCCACCACACCCCGGGAAGGAGCACCACCACTAAATATTTAGGAATATTTGACGAGGCTTTAAGACCGTCACATTACTATGACGAAGACGAATTTTTAGAAAATTCTAACGGTGAACCTGCCGGTGATATATATAAAAACCAGGTTGTAGCCTTGGTCAAATTTAAACCTCCCAGGGATGTCACGTTCGGCTGCATTTTAACGAAGATTACACAATTTTGGACATTGACTGCTGCTAGTTGTATCGCGTCCATCGAGGAAGTAGACTCGCTGGACTCGTTTGTTATGATAGAGCAGTTCGGCGAGGCGGACCAGTCGCCGCCGCGCCACGTGGCGGCCGTGCGCCTGCACCCGCGCTACCAGGGACACTCGCGCGCGCACGACCTGGCCGCGCTGCGCTCGGCCCGAGCACTGCGCGCGCGTGCGCCTCTATTGCACCTGCCACACATGCTCGACTACTTCCTCATGGCTCTGGGGGAGAGGCTCCTCATTCTCGGTTACGGAGGATATAGGTAACTCGCTTGACAAAATACCTAGCTAGGGTCAGCACGGTCGGCAGAGACTGTCAGTTATTGAAATATAATTAAAATGTGTAATCTATACTAAGCAGATTTTTTTGTATTGCAGGACAGTAGACAAGGCAGAAGGGCGACGACTCCGTCAAGTATCAGTGTTCGTGACGGCGGCTGCAGCGTGCGGGGGCACGGGCCCGCCGGGCTGGGCGCGGAGGCACCTGGCGCGCGGGGCCGCGGTGGCGGACAGCGCGGCGTCGGGCGCGGCGCCGCTGTGCGCGGGGGCGCGCTGGGCGCGGGGCGCGGCCTGCAACTACTGCGCGGGGGCGCCGCTGGTGCGCGGGGGCGCGCTGCTGGGCATCATGAGCGACAACAGCGAGTGCGGCGTCACCTGCGAGCCCCAGATCTTCGTAAACCTCGCCGCCCTGCGCGACTGGATCGATAACTTTACCGACTAATCATTTAAAATAAATTGTACCTTAATTTTAAACGTCCTATACTTTTATTTGTAAATAAATTTTGGAAATAATTTACCAATTAAATTATTAAATAAATACAAGTCGTTATCATTTGTTGACCACATAGTTGAATGCTACTCATGAATATGTTTTTTTCGCCTCTAGTCGAGTTCCTCGTCAAATAATTACGTGAGTAAGCCGAAAAACATAATATTGACCACATAGCTGTTGCAGATTTGTTTGTCAATTTCAGATCGTCGATAACATCAAGTAAAACTGATATCCTTCTCCTTCTACTACAATCAGACAGTCTAAGTCAATGGTGTGCTGATAACGGGATGTGTCTCAATTGTTCCAAATTGTACCATACATATTAAGTTTACTAGAAAGATTAACAAGATACAGTCTTCATAAATATAATATCCAGGGGAACAAACTATCTGACAGGGAATTAATTTGGACAGCAAACTTAACCCATTTGGATCCGCCGTCCCCATATGGGGACAGGTTTTCTTTTACCCGCTGGTTATTAATTATTTTAGCTATCTTCACATTTCATGGGTATTTATAATGAGGAGTAGTGTACTTTGCTAAAATTATTAGAACTTTTGACAAATTGCTACAAAAAAGGGGTCATATTGTCAATTTTATCAAGAGGAAGTGAAATGGGAATTATTATCGAAAGCAGAGGCGTTTTGTAATACGTTATTATGAAGATTTATAAAACTTTTTTGTGATAATTGCTTGCTTATAGTGTCAATAAAAACAACATTGAAGAATATCCTTATACTTTCAATTCCGCTTAGGGGAAAGTTAGAAAAAATGATGGTGTCCCCATATGAGGACAATGGGCACATCTGTAGTATATTTTTAAAACATTTATACCTGATTTGTATTTTGTTTTCCAATTTATAAAGGTCACCTATAGGCTAAACTTAGTTATAGCTAATACTTGGTGACAACAGATGCTAATTCACGAAGAGCATCACCAATTCCGCAATATCTTTACGCGTTCATATTCTAAAATCTGATGAGGGCATCAAGACCGAAAATACAAAAGTCCACCTACAGTACCAGGCGTCGCACCCGATATCAGAATTCAGCAGTACGCATTTGCATTGGCCTCCAGCTGTATTCTGGTGTCGTCACAGCGAAGTCCACCCAGAGGATAGAGTAGCATTATGCCCTGAATACGTTGACCACCGCCGTGTCTTCAGGGAAGTGATCGACGACGATAATCTCCCACATCCAGCCAGAACCTAAGTTCTGGCTGTGGTGCGGAGCGAGGGGAACTGGAAAACATCTCTTTCTGCGAAGCAGTCATAGTAGCAAGAACAGATCGCCGCCCAGAACCAGACCTGTACCTGTAAGGTGCGTGGCGTTACGCGCGTGCTTCAAAGTGCAGATCAGACCGCCTTAGATCGAGATGGCTCAGTGGGACAGATGCCCGACCACTATGAATAACCTAGTGGGTCACCAGGGCTTCGGCTTGAAACAGAATTAGGAACGTGTTGGTTTTTAGCTCGTAAGAGTCCCCCAGGTGGAAAACGCAATGCATGATTTTTACTCTCAAACAAAATATAGGCGCGTCACATCAAATTGATTTAGACATTTTCCGCAGAGATTTAGTTAATATCTGTTACGACACGCAATTTGTCATAAAAAAACTGTGATATCAATGCAAATAATGCGTTAGAACCTTATGTGTCGAAAACAGTTACTACTTCGAAAAGTACTACACATGAGCCCATTGTCCCCAATCAAGGACGGCATTTTTTTTAATACTTCTAAATATATTTTTTGAAATTTTTTTGCTGATATTAGTTTGTGGGCGTCATATCATTAAGTTAATAAAGTTTTTTTTATTAAATTATGTGTAGTTTGCATTTGGTCCCAAATGGGTTAAGTTAATTTTGTTGAACATATGGATAAAATCCTGAACTCGGCGTATCGCGCCCTTGGTTTTGTTCTGCGGGCATCAAAGGAGTTTAAAAGACCTTCTACCACCCTACTGCTATATAGTAGCTACGTGCGAAGCCAGTTAGAATACTGTAGTGCGGTTTGGAGCCCATCGTACCAAGTCCACATCGCTCGAATCGAGAAATTTCAGAAAAGCTCCTTAGTCACTTGGCCTTTAGATTCAAATTAAGGAATTCTAGATCTTACGATGATAGGTTGAATTATTTTAAACTCACTGATCTCAAGTCTCGCCGCATCATGCTTGATCTAACATTTCTATACAAGTTGCTTAACAATGGAATGGACTGCTCACATCTTGTAAATAAGATTTCTATCAATGTGCCTTCCAGAGTACCTCGCCACCCCCGCCCATTGCTTAAGCCGCCGAGATGCCGAACCTTGAAAAAACATTAACCACTAGTTAGAATGTCAAACCTGTATAACACCGTAGCTTGTAACTTCACGGAAATTGATATTTTCTCCAATAAACTGGGGAAATACAAATCCCTGCTTCACACATAGCTCACTGATACATACTTAGGTGCTGAAGTACCTACACGTTAATTTATTGTCTTTTCATTATCATTGTTTTCTGTTTGCATAGTTTGTTTCGTTTCCTGATTTAACAATTTTCGATTTTATATTCAAAATTACGATTTATTTTGTTTGCATGTCGTGATCTCCTATAATTGAAGAAGCACAAGGTATCTGTTTATTGTATTAACACTGTACATTTTACGTGTATTCTCTATTGGAGATCCTTTATTAATAAATAAATAAATAATAGATCCTATATTCCTTTTTTACAAGTCATTCAGAGAATGCAATGTTCCACTAGATAGTTCTACTTAACAATTCTAGAAGTAATGGTATTTTTTCCTAAAGCGAGCCTATTACTTGCTTGCGTACAACAGAAAATTACTAAAATAATTCTAACTATTATATCGTTAACAGTGAGTGCCGAAAATGTTTCTAGCTTCCAACCTGTTTTATTTTACCCAAGAGATCTGTTTTAAAGGGTAAAATACCCTTTTAACTCACGACGGAACATAGACTGCCATTGGTTAAGTGTTATGGTACATTTGAGTTAATAATTGATTGTAACAACACAGTGAAACGTTTTCTTTCTAACAAGGTCCGTTGCGACACGACGTACGCGCGACACAGGGGTATACATCTTGTTTGACTCCAACCTCGATTGCGGATCGGCCAACACTTGTAAATACCAAATTCAGCGAATGTAGCGCAGGCATAGACTAGCTGGCATCTCTGGAATGACACTTAAATGACTTTTCAGTTCAATTAGTTCTTATCAATTTCAGCGATGTTGTGTGATCACGTTTTGTACGCGGTGATATCTGTCTCGAGGCTATAGTGTGTCCCAACAAGGGATTGTTGATTATATCTCTGTTTATGGCGGTGTTCGTCGTGTGCACTCTCGGCGCCGCCATCCTCCAGATAATTGGCGCTGCGGAGGGAAAAATGGAACACGAATTCGAAGATCCTGAAGATCAAACAGAAGAAAGTATCGATGAGCTAAAAGAGGCGCCCCCTACCAAGCAGACAGTAGTACCGCCGCAGCCCCCGAGCGCGGTGCCGGAGGGCGCGAGCTCGCCGCGCGCGCTGTCCATCCCCATCATCTCCCTGCTGGACGGAGGCAGGCGACTGGCCGCGCTCACGCCGAGGCACCGGGGACCAGACACGGAAACTTTCACGACATAGCATGCAGCTCCGTTATTATATCTCATCCAATACTTCCTTGGTATCTATATGATGATAAACCGGAATTAGAGCCTCCTTGCAGCTATATTTATGTTACATGCACTTCATAATGTCCATTTGATATCAGCTGTATAATATATAAGATCTTCGGCTTACGGCGTTGATGCAGACTCCTGCGTACCTCGACGACAAAGCATTAGACAACGACATCACAGACATCAAAATAATTGAAATGAAACACTCCATAAGCATAACGTAAACATTTTATTAAATATTTTCCATATGTTTTGAATTACTATAATTATAATACAATGTTAAGCAGACGCGTCCCCGCCTGTCTTCATTCCAATATACATATAAACCGAGACTGTGTTTTATACAAATGACGCGTATCCTTGTCTTACTAAGGCATTTATTGTTTTATACATGCGCCCCCCCCCCTCCCCACTAGTCGCACGCTATATAGCAGTGGACACTGACCCACTCGCTACAGTACACGGTACCGACACCTAAATCTAGCTATGACTAAAAGAAAATAAATTGACAACAAAGGGATAGAAATAAGAAAAGTGCGTCTACATAATTAATTTCTAAAATATTGCGTCAAATCAAAATACCACCAGTTCATAACCATAACATAATTTAAAATAAAAAGTTTGTTAACAATTGAGTATACAGAGCGAGAATCAGAAATAATTAGAAAAGAGTACTGGAGAAGGCCGGAGTGTGCGTAGGGCTGTACAGTTGGATCGTGCCGCCGGGCGCGCGCTAGATGCCGGAGTGCTCGTACGGGTCGCGCTCGCCCTCCGCCAGGGGCGCCTCGTACACTCCGCTCTGTAACACGCGCCAAACCGCTTCGTTATTGAACCATCCGCCAGCCAAACCATCAACTGGACACTTTTTACTTGTATTTATATTTATTGAGACTTACGCTAGTCGCTGATAAAATGACTTGCATATTAAGAACAGAGAATAACGTCAGTTTGAACACAACATTTCATGTAGATATATCTCGCGAGCAGGCGGCGCTACATTGTATGACTGGTACGCAATGAGTGCTGGCTTACTGTTAGTGGCCGTTGGGCAGGGCGTCCGCCTCCTGGCAGCATGTGTGACAGGAACTTACATTAGTACGATATCATGACTACCTACTACTGTACAGCGCGTCGTGTACGTACATACGTACCGACAATAGGACAATACGTCTACTAGTTTTACGCAAACCTCAAGAATATTAAAGTTCGCCCTAACAAGCGTAATTTCCAATAGTTTCAAAGTTGGAAATTAAACACATTTTTAACTAAATACAAAAATATAACTTGAGGAATTCGTATAAGTGCCGAGTACCTAGTGATGTAACGGTGGTAACGATCTAATGATCTATTATCTCGGATCGACTGTTTACAATAATACATGTACCTCGTCTGGATCCACGTCAGGGATAGGGGACGGGGGAGGAGTCTCCGAGTATGACGGGGTGGGGGAGGGAGGGATCATCACTTGTACAGCTTCCGGACGTTCTACTTCTAGCTCCAATAGGTCGGCGTTAAGCTATATTAAATGATTCCGCTGATCAATGTATGTTATATTATTTATAACACGAGGGTTTGTCAGGCATGCGTATTCTTCTTTTCGACGCTATACAGATAATGATGTTTAATTCAATAACGATTTGGGAAATATTATTCAAAAATATTGACAAATTGTGTCGCATACAATGAGCTCAATGTAGGGATATCTCAAGTAGTGCTGGGTACCTGCGGCAGTGGCGCGGGCACGAAGTAGCTGGGCGGCGGCTGCAGCGGCACGCTGGGGCCCAGCACTGGGGCCGGCGCGGGGCCCGCCCCGGGGGCCGCGCCGCCGGGGTTCAGCACGTCCACGTACGACTTCTTGATGTCTGCACACGACCAGGGGCCCAACCATTATTCTATGCTAATGACTAATACAATAACATAATATTTCGTATAATATGGTACAAACTACTCACGTCTTCCTTTCTGCATTTTGAATATGTTAGAGACGGGAACGGAGGGCGGAGCGCCGGCGGCGGGCGGAGCGCCGACTGACGGCGGAGGAGGAGACGTGCTCCTGGAGAACGAGATACCACTTTATGTGCCTGCGTCACTACATACAGTGTGTCCAGTAAATAGTACGACATTTAGCGAGAAGTGAATGCTAGGATAAATACTTACCTACCAGACCTACCAATGAATACAGTAATTATCTACTAATAATTTATTGTAGAAAAGTTACTAATAAAACCATTTTGTACATAGATATGCTAATAGATCTGTGTCGAATAGTAATTTTTCAAGATTTCCGAAAATTTGGTATAACGGATAAGTAAGATAGGTTTCAAGAGGGGAAAATCATCGAATGACTGCTCCCGCCCGGGTGAGGCGGGAGGGAGTGTCAGACTCTTACTGACTAAAAACCACCCCGTTCCTTCTCCTGCACGTCGAGCCGGAGCCCCGGTTACCCGTTAGGTTCTCCGCGACAGCACCAACGTGTAGTCGTGTACCTACTGTTACATGTTCTAGCGGAGATTGATCTATTAGTTTGGTATACTAGGTAAGTCAATAAAAGGATCTAACTAAAATTATAAATGCGAAAGATTGTAAGTTTGTGCATTTGTCTGCATCTTTGTTACTCAATCACGTCAAAATGGCTGAAGGGAACGAGGTGAAATTTGGAACTATACTCGGAATTTTAATTCGATTCCAGATTTGACAATTTCAGTGTGGCAACGTAATGACAAGTACTAAATAGTGACGTTGCGAAATTATTCGATATCGAAATGCAACATTTCTGGATCGATTCTTCTCGTTTATAATAATTATAATTTTACTCTCGTGAACTAAGTATATCAGGAAATTAAATATTTCTGAACCGATAATTTAGTTTTGACGATTAATTAACGATCTGAAACGTTTATTTTATAATTGCGTGTGAAATAAATAAAAAAATGTAATCATGAAGGAACATGACAAATAAAACAGATAGATGTATTATGGTAATAAGTTATTTTATAAATTGTCGCCGTCATCGCTATCGCTATCCTGTCACTTTCTGTAACATTTATTATAAAACACACACACTGATTGTTTATCGATTTTTGTGTGCATCACTACACTATTATATGTGGTATCATTATTTCACAAAATGACAGTAGCTATTGTCAAATCTGGAATCTAATTAAAATTCTGACTATAGGTGCTTTTTAACCCACGAGACCACGGGCGAATCCGAAGCTAGTTATACATTATACAGTACATATACATTGTAAAGTAACGTTCTGCAAAAAAAAACATCAAGGGTCGCCGTCCACTATAAACAGACGCGACTTGACTCGAGCGTCGAGTCGACCGAGTCAAGGAGCAGTAGGTTACAGAGCGAGGGAGTACTGACTGCAGGGCGGGCGGCGCGTCGCGCGGCGGCGGCGGCGGCGGCGCGCTGTCCTCGCTGTCGCCGTCCAGGTTGCGCCATCGCTTCGTGTCCGCGTCCCACACGATCTGACACACACGTCAATGTATATATATATATTAGGGTATGCGCAGCTACTGTCACCACGAGTTACGACTCACCACTTGCCAATCAATGGTGGCGCAGACCAGTGCCACAGGAACCTGTCACGACTTCTTTGTTTAACCGTTACATCCGTGTAATATAATAAACAACTCAGCGCGGGGAATACCTTTATTGAATACATACATAGTTACATATAAATAAAGTAGATGAGATAGACATACCTGTACAACGTACGTGAATGAGAAGTATACATATATATGTATAGAATATAAACCCAATACAAGAAGTATGGATGACTCCATCGAGCGTGCAGTGTACGGCGACAACAAACTGCACGACCCACCGTGGACACTGCTCTACATGTATGTACATACGTAACGATAAATATATGCAATATAATATATATAGCTCATTGTAGCCATGTCAACATGGCCGCAGGGGGGCAATAATGTTGTATGTGTTATAGAAATATATTAAATGAAATTATAATTAAATACATACAATACATAATATACATATATAGGTAGAAAGAAGCTTACACACACAAACATATAGTGCCGTTTTCATTTTAATTACTACATAATATGTTTATACACAATTAATATTCTCCTAAGCGTAACAAAGACAATTTTTTCTTGTTCTTACGTATGAAAAAATCATTTTAATGCGAATAAAGTTCGCAGGGTCCGCTAGTAAGTCCTAGTTATAAGTTATTATATATTTTTATTGTGCATATTTCGCCATTTTTAGTGCATATTTGCATGCATATTCTGGCACTTTCATAGTGCATGTAATTCGATGTCTAGTTATTACTATATTTATGTTTTTCTGAATGTAAACGAACTCAAAACGTGGCGAAGTATCGACACGTTACGCTAGAGCAGGGTGGGCGCGGGCGAGCGGGGCGAGGCACTCACGGTGGGGTTCTTGTCGTCGGGCAGGATCATCTGGTTGGGCGGCCGCAGCGACAGCTTGGTGAGGATGCCGCCCAGCCAGCCGCCCTTGCTGGCCTTCCCGTCCTTGCCGCCCTCCGCCTTGGGCTTGTCCTCCTGCTTCTTGTTGCTCGGAGTCTTCGCAGGCTCCGTGTCGGGCTCCTCGTCCTGCCGGGCGCGTGCATGTTAAGGGATGGACAGTTGGTGGCAAGTGCAATGTATGAAGCTGGCGGTACTCACGTGCGCGGCCGGCTCGCTGCGGCGGGAGCCCGGCATACTGATCTGCGGCGCCTCGCCCTGCCACACAACGCTACGTTATACACTCGCCCTCGGGGCCAGGCACTCGCCGAGACTACTCGCATCGGTCATATTTACATAATTATCATTAGTACCACATCATTGCTAATGTGCATAAAACATTGCAAAAAATGAGACAGTCAGAGTCAGACAACAGATTACATCATTGATACCTGAAATAGTGTTTTGAAGGCAGCAAATGAACATCGTACCTCGGCCTACGAGGGTACAATGTAACACTACCGCCACGGCGCCAGATACAAGGTAGCCACGAGTGCACTCAGTCGTTACATAAGCCGAGTACCGACACACGCGTGCCAGACTATGTTGCTACTGTACCTGGGGGAACATGCTCACTCATTGTGCTTCAGTTGGTGATGGAAAACACAACATGTTCTTCATTAATATTTAATTGCTTGTACACTTTTACTACAAATTGATTACATACATGTACCATTTTAATGGATTAATAACAATAACACGAGTTAAACTTAACGAAAATGTCATATATTAAACAAGTATACATGTAAAGTAAATAATAAATAAGATATCGGATCGGATCAAATAATACGATTTAGTGGGTAACATATTAGACTCGGCGTTGTTAAAAGAACATCGCGGTTAAATAGCATTCTAAGGTCAACAAATATCACAGCATAGTGGAGATTCAGTTATTAAACATGCTGGGCGGCGGCGGCGGCGGCCTATATGTTGGGCACCGGCTCGTCTATGTCGTAGGTTTTGGGCCCCGCCACGTAGTACTTGGCGTCCGAGTCGCGCGGCATGGCCTCGGGCGGAGGCTCGCCGGGCCCCATGGGCTCGTCTATGGCGAAGGTGTCGCGGCGCCGCGCCAGGATGGCTTCGAACCGGTCCAGGCTGCGTTCGATGGTCTCCCGCAGCCGGCGCCGGTGCGCTGCCCCCGCCGGCCCCGCGGGCCCCGGCAGCGCAGGGCGGGGCGGAGCGCGCGGGCCCGTGGGCTCGTCGATGGGGTATGTGCCGCCGAACACTAGCGGGCGGCTGCCAGCGCGGGGGCGCGTGAGCGCGACGGGGCGCAGCGCGGGGCGCGGCAGGGGCGCGGGCGGCGCGGCGGGGGCGCGGCGCCGGCGCGGGCCGCGGCCAGGCTGCAGACCCGCGCCACACAAGTTAGTTCGTCCGGCCGGCGCCGGCGCCGCTCGGTACTCGGCTTATACTATCGACACGTGCGTCGAGACGTCGCGACCTTGTGCGTGACTGATCGCCCGTCTCGTAGCGATCATACCGTCTCTAATTGCCTCTCATGTTTAGCGAGTTTACCTCAACCTTCTACTGTAATTGATTCAGTACAGAACTTGACAAATGAGTAATTATACGTTTACTTGCCACGAGCAAATTGTAAAACATACAATATATATAACTTTAATTAGGAGTAGTAGAGGATCCCACCTACGGTCGCCCTTCACGGTCCTGAAACACAGGTGAACATATTCTACCACTTGTTACCACTACTGCCAGCGACTTGTTTGGTTTAAAAAGTAGGCCATGTGATATTTCACGCCATAATCTACCCCTGTTCCAAATTTCATACCGATCCCTGAAGCCGTTTTGTCGGGATTGAGTAACAAACACACACACTCACAAACTTCGCATCACTTTACTTTGTACTGTAAAAATAGAAGTGTTTGTTTGTTTGAACGCGCAAATCTCTTAATGTGAAGAATAATTCTTTATTGTTTTGGATAATCCATTTATTGAGCAAGCCAACTATAAAACATGTTACATTAAGAGTTACTAGTTAATAATATTATATCAGCAAGATATATACTTTGTTTTGTTTGAACGCGCTAATCTCCGGAAGTACTGGTTCGAAAGAACAATTCTTTATAAAACACTAGCTACTTTATCTTTAGTCCGGGTTCGAAGGGTATATATCAATTTTGTCTGATTTAAAAAAAAAATCTGTGTTTTGGATTCATTTGTGTGATTAGACAAGTAAAAAATAATCCACGTTCATACATAATGGATATTATCATAGATCAGACAAGTTGTCTAGCCCGTTTAATACAGATAAACATAGAAGTAGAAATAGACACCGACTTGCCCCGGGAGCCATATTGTGACCCAAACTATATTATCGATGTCCACGATGCCTGTATATTTATTTACTGTGACCTGGTTTTTTATTCTAACACAGAATGCATTGTCGTTCGAGACATGTCACCAGGTTATCAGACCAGTGAGGGGCGACCTTAAATGGGATCTTAGGTCAGAGCATGTCGGAAGTCGAGCGTAAAATTGGGAGCCTCACCTCTCCATAGGAGTAGGAGTCGGGCTGCCAGTAGGGGTCGGCGTAGGGGCCCGGCTCGGGGGCGCGGCCCCAGTCCTCGTACTGCGCGTACTGCGCCGGCTCCTCCGCCGCCGGCTGCTGCTGTAGCGGCTCCTGCTGCAGCTCGAGCTGTTGTTGTTGGCCGAGCTGTTGTTGCTGGCTAAGCTGTTGATGCTGGCCGAGCTGTTGCTGAGCGAGCTGTTGTTGCTGTTGGTCCAGCTGTGTTTGCTGGGCGAGCTGTGGTTGCTGAGCGTAGTATTGCGCGGCGTAGTCGGGAGCCTCCTCGTTCGGCGCGGTGTATGGCGCCGGCTGCGGCGGGTACTGCGCCCCCTGACAGCAGAACGTAAGCGTATTTACTACCTCACGGTATAACGAGACATACAGAATTGGGTAGATGCCTAATTTTTATTTTAATGTCCGTATGGTGTAGTGTCATCATAGTCTAGTGTGTAGCGACATACCTGTCCCTCTCTCGGCCACGGCCCCGCGCCCGCCGCCTGCGCATGTAGTAGTGTGTAGCAACGTACCTGTCCCTGTCCCGGCCACGGCCCCGCGCCCGCCGCCTGCGCATGTAGTAGTGTGTAGCAACGTACCTGTCCCTGTCCCGGCCACGGCTCCGCGCCCGCCGCCTGCGCATGTAGTAGTGTATAGCAACGTACCTGTCCCTCTCTCGGCCACGGCCCCGCGCCCGCCGCCTGCGCATGTAGTAGTGTGTAGCAACGTACCTGTCCCTGTCCCGGCCACGGCCCCGCGCCCGCCGCCTGCGCATGTAGTAGTGTGTAGCAACGTACCTGTCCCTGTCCCGGCCACGGCTCCGCGCCCGCCGCCTGCGCATGTAGTAGTGTGTAGCAACGTACCTGTCCCTGTCCCGGCCACGGCTCCGCGCCCGCCGCCTGCGCATGTAGTAGTGTGTAGCGACGTACCTGTCCCTGTCCCGGCCACGGCCCCGCGCCCGCCGCCTGCGCATGTAGTAGTGTGTAGCGACGTACCTGTCCCTGTCCCGGCCACGGCCCCGCGCCCGCCGCCTGCGCATGTAGTAGTGTGTAGCGACGTACCTGTCCCTGTCCCGGCCACGGCCCCGCGCCCGCCGCCTGCGCATGCGCCGCGCCCGCCCACTGCACACACACAGTTATACTGCCGCACATCTAATGTTACATTACGCCACGGAGCTCGAGCTCGATGGGATCTAATGTTTATACGCATGCAATTGCATCACGCCAACTAGTGAGTTAAGTAAATGTGAGTACATTTTATTATCATAATTTTATGATAGGTATCATCTATCTACAACTCAATATTAGAAAAAAACAAAGGTTTAGGATTGAGCGTGTTTGAAAATAGTATTAGCAAGCAATACGTATCAGAACCCAGTACTCACCGGCAGCGCGGCATCGGCGGCGTCGGCGGCCTGGCGGACGTCGTCCAGCCAGTGACGCAGGTGGCGCGGCGACGTCTCCGTGCTGTCGGCGTCCTCGGGCGCCGGCTCCAGCAGTGCCGGGTCGTGGTGCTGCAGGCGCTCCGCCAGCGCCGCCAGCGCCCGCAGCAGCGCGCGCGGGTACCGCTGCGGCGCCCGCGCCACGCCCCGCGCGGCCGCCTCGCTGTACGCCAGCGCGCGCTCGTACAGCCCGGCGTCCGCCAGCCGCACGCCCAGCACCAGCTTGTACGCCTGCAGCACGACACCACGTCACTCGCGCCCGTCCCGCCCCACCCCGCCCCGCGGACTAGAGCGACCACTCACCTGGAACTCGGCGAGGACGAAGTCATCCTGGTTCAGCGACATGGCGTACTCGTAGATCTCGGTGGCGAACAGAGCCTTATTGTGCGCGAACTGTGCCAGCGTGGGCGCACGGGGCTCAGCCAGCAGCAGCGACAGGCGCGGCGCGGGGCCCGCGGGGTCGCCGGGGCCGCCGGGGCCGCCGGGGCCGCCGGGGCCCGCCAGCGGCGCCAGCGGGTGGCGCGCCAGTTGCTCGCCGGCCGCTATGTAGCAGAACTGCGCCGAGTACAGCAGGCCGCGCGCCGCCAGACTGTCTCCTGTACACACGAACAAACATTCTAGCGAAATGAAACTGACAAGCATTACGACTCAAGAACCGGATACAAACAGCAACCGATCTTATTTATCTCTTACTACATGGCAGCTATAAGAATTGATCGCTTTTGGTGACGATAAGAATACTTTTGGTTTAACCTTTTCGAATACGACACATTGCAAAAACTAGGAAAAGTAGTGTTATAATGGAACCAACACAATATTGAACAGTGTGCTTTGATCTAGTACTCACACTATATTAATAAATTTATTAAAAAAAACTAAACGTGAGTACTTGGCTCACCTAGCCCTATTGTTATTTTTTAAGTTAAATTAATTTATTACCTAATTATAAACACAGGTAACATTATTAGTTTTGTAAGTACGCACCGAACTGCAGGAGCGTGCGGCGGTCGAGGTCGGCGCGCGGCGTGGGGTTGGCCAGCAAGATGGCGGCGTGCGGCCGCCAGTCGGCCCAGCGCGCCTCCGCCACGCCCTGCGCACGACACACCCTCTACACTCGCCCTCCTCCGATATTACCCAACTTATCATAAACCAGCAAATGTCTACTGTATTTTCCTTCCCCAGATGGCGCTAGGGTGAGAGTGAAGCTGTTGTTTTTCGTGCAATACGGAATTAACTAGTCACACCATTGGACATGAAATATTTGGGAGATTGGACAATAATAAAGTGTATCGCTACATTAGCGCCAAGTGGGGAGAGAAATCCAGCAGGGTGCATGGAGACGCAGGTAGTCAGGTAGTTACGGTGGCGGCGGGCACGGGCGCGGCGGCCAGCGCGGCGTGCAGCGAGTGCAGCGGGTCGGCGGGCGGCAGCGCGGCCAGCCAGCGCGCCGCCACCAGCGCGCGCGCGCGCCGCCCGCCCGCCGCGCCCAGCGCCAGCGCGTGCGCCCACAGCCCGCAGCGCATCGCCGTCTCTGGGGACATCGCAACAACATGCCGTAGCCGCTATTTTCGAACGAACATCCTTGTAATCAATCTTTAAAATCGCATCTCAAATTATCCGGACCAATATTTTATTTACTTTACTTCTAAATCGGTCTGGTAGTACATGTATGTATATTTTTTGTCGTAGCCTAAAATTGTGCTTTGACAGTTGAAGTGAATGTACTATAGAGAGATACAACAATACTAATAAAGATACTTAAATCATTGTTTAACCGTTTCAGTGAATTGTTTCTGTATGTGCCATACCGAGTGCCTCCTGCCTGTTCCCGTATATGAGCAGCTCCCGCAGACGGTCCAGTGCAGCGCCCTCGTCCACACAGCTCGCTGCATCGCGGTCTGCGTCACACAGGACACGTCACTATACACTCGTGTATACAAACGATTACTTATTTTGTCACAGACATGTAGAATTACATTCAAACGTACAGTGACTATAAAAATGTTAATATAGCTTGTATAAGACTAAAACATCAAAGTACGACATAGTACACACTGTAAAGAAATTTTTTATTTTTGATAGCTAGCTATGATATGATAACTCACTGTGATATTTAACTATTTCGATATGAATTAAATGTATCATGAATGTAATTCCTTATTTGTACACTGAAGCAGATGTCGGGCACTCACTCATGTCGTCCATTGAAGGCGCGGGCGGCGCGGGCGGCGCGAGCTGGTCGGGCGAGTAGTTGTCCTCGTCGCGGGGCTCGGACCGGGAGTCGCGGGGCTCGGGCCAAGACTCGCGGGGCTCGGCGCCGGAGCCGCGCCTGCTGGTTGCTGCCGTGTCCGGGTACTCCTGGGTGTTCTTCATCAGCAGCTCCGCTATGTCTGAGCCTACCACCACCTACGAACAGCGCGCTGTCAGTGCCGCACCTACTGTAGGTCGCCTGTGACCTGTATACTTATGACTGACCTAATGGCCTGATACGGTATCAGGCGAAGTCGATGTAATCATTTCAATTATTGTTTAACCTGTGAATTGTTTTGTTTTCTATTGTATCTCATATACTTATCGACAGACAAGAGGTTAGGTAAACAAGTAATTTTAAAATGCAGTTTACACTAGAGCTGTAGAGCTGCCACGTAGCTGGTCCTGGCCGCCTGGCGGTACTCACCCCGTTCTGCCGCAGCATGAGCGCCAGCAGCTCCCACAGCAGCACGTAGCCCGTGACGTCACGCGCGCCCTCGTGGGCCGCACTGCGCGCGCGCAGCTTGCAGTATTCGATCACACTCTTCTTGTGCGTGGTGCCTGCGACATCGTATTGACGGATCGTTACAACCAGTCTCCCTTTGTATGGACGTGAAGGTAATGCGACTTGAGTTGAGAGAGCGAACGACCAAAGAGTTTACCTTTGAGCAGAGGGCCGGGGTAGGCGGCCAGCTCCGCCGCGTCCGGCAGCCGCTGCAGCGCCGCCGCCAGCGACAGCACGCGCACGGGGCCCGGCGCGCCGTCCGCCGGGTACCCGGCCGCCACCAGCACCACGTCGCGCGACGCCACGCTGCCCTGCGCACCACTCGTTATACTGCGCCGAACACCCCGCGCCCGCGGCCCGTCGCCCCACTTACCTTGGTGTGCGCCGTGGAGTACCGGAACGGCGTCATCCTCTCGGACCGCACGGTCGACTCCTCCAGGTGCAGGTTCAGCGACATGTCCGTGTTCAGGTCCCTGCGATACAATTCTGCTATACACATACACGTATCGATACATTCTATTACCGACTACGTATCACATAAACAATACAACCCGTGTAAAGACCTCTATACGAAGTCAGACAAACAAGACGTCAGGTGAAGTGCTAAATGAGAGCCGTCACATCACGTCCAGGTGCGACATGTGGACGGAAGCAGTGTGTAGCGATAGAGGGAGCCTATGTACTGGAGTAGTGGAGTAGTGGAGTAGTGGTACTCCGCATGTGTATGTGTCCTGGACTCACGTGTCGTTCCCCTTGAGGCCGGCGGCGCTGGAGCGGCCGGAGTGCACGCTGCCGCGGTCCTCACGCCGCTCCTCGTACGGCGCGCCGCCCAGCTCTGCGGGCAGTCGCACACATTCATATACGTACAACTTACGACCACAGTGGGAAACAATGAAGTATGCAGTACATACCTGTGATCGGGGTGAAGTAGGACGGCACGGGCGGCGCGTGGCCCGCCATCAGCTGCTTGTACACCTGCATGTAGGCGGCGGGGTTGGTGAGCCGCAGGTGCTCGTAGTACTGGTACTGCTGCCGCTGCACCAGGTACGGGTCTGCGTACCCGCCACCCATTCCGGTGCCGTACTCTGCGGTTTAATTGACCTCATGAAAACTTGTCTCCGAGCGGGAACCGCCGGGCGCGGAGTGACTCCGCTGCGACGTACCGTCATAGAAGGGCTCGGCGGTGCGGCGCGCGCGTGCGCGGCGGCGCGCCTCGTGCGTGTCGTCGTCGGTGGCGGGCGCCTCGCGCGACTCGGGCCGCGACGCCGCCGACAGCTCGCCTGCAACACCATGCTGAGCTACTACCGGCCTCGCTCCACTCCCCACTAATGTGGTGTACACTCATTTTGTATAGTACTCATACTCACACCATATTATTTAATTTATTCAAAATCCTAAACGTGTGGACTTGTAACTGGCTCATTGATACCTACGCCTATTGTTGTTTTTATACATTTTTATAAGATGTAAAGGCTCGTACTCAAAACTGCGATGCGATTCAAATTCGCAACGCAAAAAATTACGATGCGAATTGTTGCGATGCGATTTCGTGCGACAAGGCGTCTCCCAGGGTGACCATTCCTTCGACGACCGTCAACTGTACTAAACGTATTTCTAAATTTAAAACTACCTACGTCGTGACATGGATCGTAAAAAGAAGTGTGCAATTCTGTTATTGCTTAGGAGATACAGGAAAAAGAAACAAAGAAGATTTTGGGAAGATAAGATGTTGATGCGCGATGCGAATCAATTCACAAGTTCTTGCGATGCGTAGAGGGAGCTCGCACTCGCATCGGAGTTTTGTGTACGAGCCCTAAGTCCTCCAAGAATTTTAAATAAATAAGTAGTGTCGTGTAGACGTGTACATACAGTGTCGTGTACAGTATATTGATAGACGCACGCTGCGCTTCACGAAAATGAGTATCGTAGCCGCAATACGTGTTAATCTTTCTTTATTTTTCGTTTAATGGGCATGCAGGTCATGTCCAGGCTGGTGCCTGGTGTGGTCACCAGTGTGGTAAGTATGGCATTCAATCAAAGTTTATCCGTATCGCTCGAGAGAGCGTACCTAGTGAATTAAAGAGATAAGATACGTGTGTTGAGGTATGTGAGGAGATACGAACATAACAAATATCTGGCCCAGAGATAAATAGTGGCACTGTATCACTGTACGTGTGCCAATACAGATGCGCAATCCATACAGTTACCAGCAGTCAAGTTAATCCATTTACTACTAATGAAGAAATAACAACGATGAATGAATGTTCAAGCGTACACGAAGACAAACTTTAATTATTATTTATGTTAATAAGCTTCACTCAATATACATAATATGTTACATGTATGTAGAGAAATACTCCAGTTACCTAAAGTTAATTAACAGTTAGGTCTGTGGTAGTGTGTCGATCATAGAAACGAATCGCTACAGATAGCGATATGAATCAGGTGTAGTCAAGTATGAAAGCGATCAGATGTGTTATCGGTTCCATGAAAGGTAAGACATGCACAGTGAACTCGCGGCTGCGCACTGCCAGTGCACAGCCTGCACAAGTCACAGCAATACGGAGCCTTATTTGTACCTTGTCCCAAACAACTATCATTAGTCTTTGCATCGCTCGAGAATGTCACAACTGCAAAATAAATATAGTGTAACCATCAGTCCGTTAGTCGAACATTGCAAAGATGATAAATACATACATAAAAATGATATATCTAAAATATAAATGTAACATACGTAGTTAAATAATACTTCATATTGTTTAAAAGATATAGAAAACGTAACGGAAGGAACCTACGTACAAGTGCACAAGTAAGAAGCGTGACTGACCTCTCCTAGCGTCCTCGTCGCGCTGCGCGCGCAGGTTGCCGTGCTTGCGCGAGGGGTCGATGTCGCGGTAGGCGCGCTCGTAGCGGTCGCGGTAGCGGTCGCCGCGCCGCCGCTCGCGCCTCTCGCGGTCGTCGTCATATCGTCTGTCTCGTTCTATGGTGTGGTACCGTTTGTTGCGGTCTCGCTCTTCGACGTACCGCCGCTCTTTGTCTTCCGGACGGGGCGGTTTGGAAGAAGTGTACGAGCCCTCGCGATGGCGCCTGCGAACACAATTAGAACAGTTAGTCTGGAGTCGCGTATATATGCCGTACTGCAAGCAGTGGTCCGGTGCTGACCTTCGATCTCTCTCCCGGTCGCTGTAGTAGTCCGTGTCCTCGGTCTCGTAGCGCGGCGCGCGCGTGCGGCGGTGGCGGCGCGCGTCCGGACTGTCGCGGTCGCGACGCTCGCGCGGGTAGGCGTCTCGCTCGCGGCGCTCCTCCCTGCCGGATCTCCTGTCAGGCTCGTACTTTCGGTCGCCGCGAGAGTACCTGCCGTCTTTGTCACGTTCTCTGTCTCGTTCCCTCTCTCTCTCTCGATCGCGGTCTCTGTCCCGCTTCGAATCTCTATCTCTGGTCGACTTATGCTTGTCTCTGTCTCTTCTTGGCGATGATTTGAATGCTCTATCTCTTTCAGAGTCTTCCCCCGAAGTATTAACTCTATTTAGAGATTGGCGCCTAGAACTTGTCGTAGGGTGGTCTATGGAATCCGATAAATCAGTCTTTCTGTCAGTAGGGATATCTGCGAGTGTAATATCAGCGCCATCCAATACTTGTTCTCGTGAGTACGTTAGTTCTGTTGAAGAAATTATGCTCAAATCTTGCAGGTTTTCACCCTCCATAGTAACTTCTCTCTGCTGATCATCTGGTGGTGCGCTGAAATCCGGAGAGACGTCGTTACTGGACTCCCTAGCACCTATTATGTTCCTCTGTGGATTCCTGGAACTATGTTCAGTATAATCAGAACCGTCGACATTTTGTTCTCTAACATCTGGTGGCCCGGCGTCAGTCGGCATAGAGAAGTCGTGGTCCAGACCTGTGACCACGCGGTGTTCGTTCGTGCCAGCATAGTTGGAAGTTGGATATTGCGAATACTCATCGTTGCTTGGTTCGCCTGGAACCATTCTGTCAAGCCCTATAGGTCGTCTCTCTGCGGCCCTGGCTGGCGGCGCCTGTGTGTAATTGTCTGGTGTTTGTTGCCCATCAGCCTGGCGGTAAGGACGGGCGCTATTTTCAGTTGGCTGTCCGTCAATATGACGGTCTAAATAATTTTCTCCGGTTTGATTGTATGCATTTACAGATTCGGTCTGTTGACCTGGCACCATTCTAGCCAAGCCAGGCGGAGGTTCATCTCCGGAAATATTCAAATTTTGATTATATTCAGATTGTTGTTGACCAACTACCATTCGTCGCAACCCAGGCGGAGGTGGGCCTCTACTAAAGTCTGTATTTCCTTCATAATCACTACTTGACAGATGTGCTGTTTGTAGATATTCGTTTCTGTCATTTTGTGGGGCTATCTCCATATTATCGGGTACCTGTTGCGAGACAGGCAATGGTCGAAACGCTGATATTTGAGGCTGGTCTGGTCGTTCTGAATTATCTGGTGTAGTTTCCAGGTTTGCTTCAAAACCCTGTGACACTCTGTTGTGCTGAGATACTTTGCTAACAACTGCAGGAGATGCCAGAGTCGCACTAGGTGCTGGGAATGGCTGTGCACTTGTAGCACTAGTTGACACTTTAGCTATCGTTTTGTGAGAGAATGGGCCTGCATTCATTTTGAAAGGATTTTGATTTGAAGTGGGTGGTGGGAAATTTGGAGGAGGTATTGCTGAGGAAGAAGAAGCAGCTGGTAGTGCAGAAGAGGAGGATGCACTTGAAGGTAATGATGTAGATGAAACTGGTGGTGGAGGAGGCATGTTGGTAACAGGTGGAACCACATTCGATGCTGGATTCGGACTTGGAAAACTGAATGGAGACACAGCAGGGAGGGGATGTGTTGCAGGACCCAAATCATGACTGCCAGAATCATCGTTATGGCTCTGGTGTAATGTATCTGTTGATGGTTTTTTATGGTTGTTCAAATTCAGTTCTTGCAGAGACCCAGATAGCTCATCTTGACTTTCACGTCTGCTTTTACTTTGAACATGGTCAGTGGGGGGTTCATCTGTTGGTCTTGACCATTCATTGTTCTGAGGGAAATTTTCATCAAGGCCCACTTGAGAATAATTAAAGTTAGAGTTGTCTGTATTTAACCCTGGACTGCTTTTACTAGAGTTCCTAGATTGATTATCACTCCTATAAGTTCCTTCAGAGTGAGTGTGAGGCCCATCACTTGATTCTTGGGACATTTGGGATTCTATGGACCACTGCGGTGTTAAATTGTCTAAATGGAAGCGTTTACCTAAAGCTAGATTAGGCAGACGCTCCCTTACCACTTCTTTATCATTCAAGCTCCGAACTTCCTCAATATGTGCGGGAGGCATGTTATTCAGTGGTTCAGACTCAGAGTTACTACTTGCTGCAGGCTTTGTGGGAAGAGAGAAAGGTTCTTTATTTTCATTGTTTTGAGGGACAGACACAGGCGTCTTTGACTCTTTCTTTTCATCCATTGACCAATTCCAGCTATCAGTTGAAGCAAAACTCTCTTCTATAACATTAGCATTATTGAAGGCTGCCTGTTGAGGAGGTGCAGGTTGCTGGCCAGCATTCTGGTTGGCTTTCTGAGCTTGTTTAGCTGATTCCTCCCATCCCCAGTCCCAGTTGTCTTCCCAACTGTCAGCATTGGGCTTATTTTGTTGAAAGTTCTGTTGTGTGGCGCCTTCAGTTGGGTAATAATTTTGCTGGTAACTTTGGGTTTGAGTGTTATTAAAACCTTGACTGGTGTAGTTCTGGTTGAACTGGTTTGGAGCTGGTTGCTGATAAAACTGGTTAGCATTGGGAGGATAGTCTTGCTGCTGGTAAACTTGTCCAAATTGCTGACCATACTGGCCCTGTTGCTGGGGTGGCACCTGCCAGAATTGCTGTGGTTGAACATTGCCTGTAGCTGTACCTGCTTGATAATTTGGGTACATGTTCTGTTGGTTCCCAAATGCCTGCAATGACATGGTTTAATGTTAATTAAATGAGTTAAAAACAGTAACCATATTCAAATTGCTTACTTTCACATTTGCAAATGCCACAAACAAAATTGGCCAATCATTCTAACTTAATCAAACTTACTACCTGACATTGTTTGTTGCATACATTTCAAATTATTTACTATGATAACATACTTAATAAGAAAATAAAATTTAGTTATTTGTTGTAATGTTCAATGTTTTTATATAAATCATATGACAATACGGACACATCGGCGCAGTTGGTCCACGTCATTGTTTACGTCTGGCGGATTATAACCTACTCGGCTCACCTGTACCTGGGGTGCGGCGTAGGACTGTCGCTCGGGGCCCGGCGGCGGTGCCGTGCCACCCTGTGGCCGCTTCATCCAAGACATGCCGCGCGCTACCAGCGCTTACATAACATTCGCAAAAGCTCCGTTCACATATGCTACAGCTGTGTCCGACAGCCCCGTCACTATCATGGAATTGAATCAAACTATGCAATTCACTTTCACTATCGCTCCAGATGTTGTATACTTCACTGATGTACAATATTGTGACATGCACGTGGAAAGAGCTAAACTTATCGTAGAGGAATGACTGCGTCTTATAAAGAATTTATTTAATAAATATTTTATAAAGGTTTTGTTGACAGCAGCCCATCGATCGAAGGTGCCCTGTTGGCCAGGGCCGTCACACTTAGAGCCATTGACAGCTTAAAAAATCGGACCGTCAACTACATCTAGTTTTCGAACCTGAAATTAAATGTTGTCAAAACTAATATTTTCAGTGGCCACACAGTTCCAAGCAAGGTTGCAACATTATATTAAAATTTAGGCTTAAAATAATATTTTTTGGAAATAGTAAAATAACATTATACACATTTATTTAATACTATATTGCAATTTTTACAAAATAATTCCTTAAACTTAGATCAAATGACAGTTATGCTGGCATAATCGATCAAAGATAACAGCCTCTTTACTAATAATAGAGATTAAAAAAATATTAAGTGATGGATGACAAACTAAACTCTATGAAATGACTGCGTCAGGTTTCTGCATCCAAAAGCATTAACCTAAGAGCCTGTGAACCTCAGGTCTAGGCCACCGTTTTTATTATATAAAAACTAATATTATATGAAAATACTCAATTTTCATAGAAAATCTATAAAATAGGTCGCACGCATTCTTTCTGTCTCTCTATCACACACACACACACACACACACATTCACACACATACTTTATCTTCTCGATAAATGCACTAACTCTATTTCGTTCATCATCATCTCTGATTTACAATTTGACAGCACCATCATTTTCACCACCCTCGAGAACCATGAAAACGACACCTATAACGATAAATTGAAAATACCGTGCAGCCGCCATCTTGGATTTGCATTTTGACAGCACCATCTTTGTTACCACCCTCGAAAACCATGAAGACGATACTCATGACAATAAATTCAAAATTTTGTGCAGACGCCATCTTGGATTTACATTTTGACAACACCATCGGCTTTATCACCCTCGAAAACCATGAAAACGACACCCATGACGATAAATTGAAAATTTCGTACAGCCGCCATCTTGGATTTGCATTTTGACAGCACCATCGGCTTTATCACCCTCGAAAACCATGAGAACGACACCCATGACGATACATTCAAAATTTTGTGCAGACGCCATCTTGGATTTACATTTTGACAACACCATCGGTTTTATCACCCTCGAAAACCATGAAAAGGACACCCATGACGATATATTCAAAATTTTGTGCAGACGCCATCTTGGATTTACATTTTGACAACACCATCGGTTTTATCACACTCGAAAACCATGAAAATGACACCCATGACGATAAATTGAAAAATGTTGTGCGCACGCCATCTTGGATTTACAATTTGACAGGACCATCGGCTTTATCACCCTCGAAAACCATGAAAACGACACCCATGACGATAAATTCAAAATTTTGTGCAGACGTCAGCCCTGTTCATTTCCATTTGATCCAAGTTTTCGAAGATATTATTCATAATAGCTAGTCATTAATTGATTAATTACTAGTCATTACGAATAATATCAAATTAATCACTTTGGCTGTAACATATGTATATACATTTAGATCAAACTGATACTCCTTTTTTAAAGTCGGTTAAAAAAGAATCATCAAAATACGTTAAAAAACGACGAAGTCATCCCTGAAGGAACATAAAAAAAACCTTATAGGTATATAACTTTTCCTTTTTTTAAGTCCGTTATGTGTAAATAACAAAGGTCTGGGGTTCATAGGCTCTTGTACTATATGGATTGTCAAATTATTATTTTTTACGGCAACGCTGGGGCTAAAAAAATATTAAAACATTACAATAATAATTTTCCAAATTATTTAGATAATAAATAACTATTAAAATAATATTGTTAATAATTAGATATTGATGTTAAATACTTTTTATACTATCTCCTTATTTTATAAAATAGTATGCATGTAGTTTGTACTATTTTAATACTGGCATATAATATGTATACTTTTTGCTTGATAAAGAAAAGAAACAAAAACAAAAATTTGAAATGTCAAAATTGTAAAAATTTTTGCCAAAAATATTTTAAATTATTTAATAAATTGTGATGGGATTTTGTGATTGTTTTTCTAAAAAAGGAAGTTCTGCGATGCGTGTTGTGTTTTCTATAAAGGACCTTTTGTATACATGTGTATCACAAATCACAAAAGTACATTGTGTTTGTTTGTCTATTCATTGGACTTGATTTTACAAAGGAACGCTTTAATTTGCGTATATATCTTATTTATAATAAAGAACATCAATACGAAGAATACAATCATGTTGCTGAAGGTAAAACCTACAACAAGTTTATGCTATTGAACCTATTTATACATTTTATTTGATTCATTGAGATACCAAACTATGTAGTTTTTATAAATTTCTACTTTTTCTTTTGTATATTTGTTACAGTGATATTTGGAATTGCTATTGCATCGATATTACTTCAGCATCATCATTGCAGAATATCAATAGTGCAATTTTTTATCGGCAGTTACGAGTCTTACGATGTCCGGATAAAGTGCCGATCTATACCAGCAGTGCTTGAAACCTATTTTAGAGATGGTAAATACTATATTATTCTTGTAACATCAGTAATATCACGTAAGGTACACCTACCTTAGATAAATAAAAGAAAACAAATAAATAAAATACATATTTCTGCATGTAAAAATAATCTTTGTTTTTTTTTCAGGTACTATTTGGAATTATTCTAACATTCAGACGTATATTGTTGTCTCAAGAAACAAGAAACCCATAGATCGCTGCAAATATTAAGCCGTATTATTTTTGTAAAATTTTTATTTTATTAATGGTCCGCCGGTGGCCCGTGTTGCTCTATGTATTAATGTATATATCATAATTAGAACAACATTTTAAGTACCTACGCACAACAAAGTAATATTAAATTATAAATAAACTAAAATAGGTACATATTCACACTTTAAAAAAAATGTTACCTTAGGGCATCAAAAAATTCTTTTTCATCGCTATCGTGGAGTAGCAGCATTATTCTAGGTTTTACTTATTTGTATTCATATATGTAGAGGTCTCTCCTTCTTGGGCTTGACCTGGTGAAAATGGGCACCGCTTCCCGCAACCCGCAGGAAAAACGATGCTCATAGCCCCTTCTAAATTTGACTTATAAATCTCCTTCTTTCTCTTCTGCTGACTACTTGACTACTAACTGGGTGTAGTTTGTGTGCCAGATGTGGATTGTGAGCTTCATGTGATGGTTGACTGAGTGGTATGTGGTGTTTGCGCTTGAGATGGTTGTAATTGATCGGAATCTGGAATGTATGTGACGAAAACTGTGTCTCCTAGTACTTTGCTAAGAATGATTATTGTGTGAATGGTGGCTAATGTCTATTTATGTTTCTAGTTTGTCTGTGTATCTGCTGAGGCTTTTGGCTAGTACCTACTCCTGTGGCTCCAATTACTATAGAATTAACATGCGTTTCAATATTTCAAGGCGTCTAGCCTTGAGTTGTGTCTTTAAAAAGTGGTATTTACTGAATTTCTTTTGCTCCTATGTTGTAGTTACATGGTACAGTTATGTCAAAGAGGTATGTGGTGTTGGATGTTTTGTTTGTGTATATTATGTCCGGTCTGTTGTGGGCAACTGTGAAGTCTGTCTGAATTGGGATTTCCCACATTATTTTGCCTGTTTCATTTTCATTTGTATTTATAATAATAATATTACTTTGTTTCATTATAATGTTATAAAAAAATATATTTGAGGATAGGAAAAATCTGTAGTTGTTTAGTAAAAATGACTGTAATATAACTAGATATAGGAAACGACTAAGTCAGGCATTATTAGCAACTAGCAAAAAAAAGTACTAAAAAACTGAGACTGACTGAGAGGCAGACTGAGACTTTTTTTAAGCATATATTTTTCGACATTATAATAATAAGTGCGACTGCCGGGCAAGGGGTCTCGGGTTCGATACCCGGGTCGGGCAAAGTATTACTGGGTTTTAAAAAAATCTCAGTAGTAGTAGAGTAGTCTGGAAATGTGCCCGGTATATGGCAATAGGCTCACCCCCTATTACATGGGACTTATAACATAAATAGTGAAAAGTGGGTGTTACATTGTACAGTGGCATTGAGTGCCGAAATGTGCACCTCTGCCTACCCCTTCGGGGATAAAAAGGCGTGATGTTATTATGTTATGTTATGTAAATTGTATAATAATTTTGTGTTTTTGTAAATACTGTAAGCGATTCAAATCGATGGTAAAATGTACTACATTTGTGTAGGTATTACGGTTAATTTATATCATTAGATTGTTAACTACTGTTAGGTACTGTGTAAACAACGGTGAACAGTAAATATTTTTAATTTTAGTTCTTTGTGGGATCAATAATTAAAAAAATAACTAATTCAAATAAATTTTGAACGACATATTTATATCTGAAATTTGTAAACATAAAATTAAAAAGAACTAAAATTTGAATTATACTTTGAACAAATCTGTCGTCTGATATTTCCCTACTAGCTGATAATTTTTAAATGTTAATTTGTATTTACTGTAAAATAAATGTAATATTGTAATTAATAACTTCTTTGATTTTGCAGCTACCAGACATAGCTAATTCCAATACTACCTTCAATGTACCAACCTGCAAGGTGCATTGTTGGTAGTATTGGCATTAGCTATACTTAGGATTATCTGTAGACATTAGTAAAAAAAAAATATACTTGGATTCAATTTTCAGATGGCGTTTCAAATTGATTGGCATAAATTTTGACGAGTGGCAACTCTTTACCCCTATACTTATTATACTCTTTGCCTGTTGGCAGTGTAGCCATTCTTTCCAGAATTTAAGTTTGACGTTTCTTAAAAGGTGTTGACAAGTAATAAATTGATAGTACACAGTAAGAAAGGAACTGGGTCTGGTTCTGGTCCAGTCTGGTCTGTACCTACATGGTCTGTACTGTATCCACATATATGTGTATCAAGGATAATCATGCAGGAGCAAGAGCTATTCGAGCGAAGTCGAGCGCTAATAATCATTTACACTGACCATTAACTGACTGACTGTACAGTGAATGACAAACGAAAGCAATCAGTAGTACCTACCCTCCGGTCCGCCGGTGGCCCGTTGGCTTGCTCTATGTACCTACCACTCGACACTGGTACCTAGTATATTCAACAACATTGTGTTAGAAAGAAACTCAGAGCACCGACTACATTTTGTATTACTCAGAGCAAAGAGTATAGCTTAATAATTCTAAGGGAACTCAGACAGAGATCAGATTATCGAATGTTCGGCCACCAAAAAAAAATCATGTTTTACAAAGTGCATATTATATAGAGTATTATAGAGTATACAACTCTAGGCCGGGAAAATTATTTATAGTCTGTGAATGTGAACTTCAGTCAGTTTGTTTTGTAATTTAGTTTTTTTTTTCATAAATAATTATTGTTGTAAATCAGATCCAGAGAAATCATAGGTAATTTTTGATATTATGGCAAAGCGAACAAATCCATTTCTCGAAGACTTTATACCGCAAAGTAAAGTTCATTTAAGCATGAAACAGTTCAACAATAATCAAGATCGACTAAAACAAGTTTACGGTAGGTACCTCCATCTGTTTATGTTCTCAGTACGATATCAGAATTAATAAGAATATGAATATGCCTCATTTCTTACAGGCTGCCTGTTTTTATTTTAAAAATATTATAAATGCGTAAGTTTGTATGTCTAACTCACGCTTCACGTCACACGGCTGAAGGCATCAGGATGAAATTTGAAACAAGGGTAGTTTATGGATTAAGGTCTGGAATAACACATATTATCCCTCAGAAACGTAGGCGAAGCCGCTGGCAGAAGCTAGTTTAAAAATAACTGCCCTCATTAAGCATGTCTAATGCAAACTTCTGCTGTACTTTATATTTCAATCTCAATGAAAAACTTATCTATGCCTTTGTCTGTTTAAATAATTGTTCTTTCCTTAGAAAAAACCTTACTACTGTTATTCAAGGGTGCCAAAAAATGTTCTTCCCAAGAAGTTGCACATCCCGAGCATACTGCTTTGAGTACTTCAGATAAACAAGACAAAATGAAACAACTGTTCATTGGCAAAGATGGTACTCTCCTACATTCTGGCAAAATGGTAAACTGGAAATAATTGTTAAATAATGTTAATGTGATTGTTAATTTATTGAATGTGTACATATTCATTATTGCAGGTAGACAATAAGTTACAATTAAAACAATGTGCCTGTGGTTGTACTGTGGAATCTCAGTGTGCGTACTGTGAGGTGAGCTTGTGTTGTGGCTGCCACCACGTCTGCGTGCATTGTGAGCGCTCTCATTGCCTACATTGCATTATGATTGGGTAAGTATTGGATACTATAGAATCTATATCATTCTTGAGCCTGTACTACAATCCTAAGGGTTGTGACCTTGTCGCAGAGAACCTAATGGGTTACCGGGGCTCCGGCTCGAAGTGCAGGAGTAGGAACAGGGTGGTTTTTAGTCAGTAAGAGTCTGACACTCCCTCCCGCCTCACCCAGGTGGGAAAAGACATTCGATGATTTACCCCCTAAAAAAAAAGAGTTGTGACCCCAATGAATGATTTCCCATAGACCATTTTTTGTCATTATATTTAAATTTATTGTTACAGAAAAAAGTAGTGTATTTTATTTTGCATATTTTCAGATTGGAGGGTGCAGAAATATGTGTGTCCTGTTACAGTTAGCCTGATATCAGTAAGCTGAATGTTATAAAATATGTTAATTATTTGTAAGCTAAGTGTAAAAGTTTCCTTAATTTATAGAAGACAATAAAACAAGGTAATATTAATGAATCTTTATTGATGTTAATAAAATAACCCCCCCCCCCCCAATTTATTATTTCATTGTTTTTCTTTGCATCATTACAGTGTTTGGCATCACAAACATAATGTATTGTCAAAGGAAACATACAACAGACGAGACGTAGACGAGACGACAGCACAGTTATGTACAGTGACAAAATAAAAATGACTTGGAACTAAATATTAATTGAGTATACTTACCCTGGTTACAATGATTCGATGTATAATAATTTGCAAATACATTTAGATAAAACTAATACGATGGATGACATTCGGCAACCGCTTTTCTCAGTATATTTACGTGAGTAACTCACTAAATAATTGAAAAAAAATTCCATCATGTCTATATCTCAAAATGGATGTAAGAAGGGGTCTCGTGGAACTAAGGAGCTACTCCTCACATTGATTTGCTTGTTAGCCAACAGGTTCGTCGGTCCCAAAAAGATTCATGCTGGATAGACTACAAAAAAGCATATGATTCTGTGCCACATACATGGCTCATGAAGATGCTGGAGTTGTATAAAATATATGGAAGTTTACGCGCCTTCTTAGAGTCATGTATGAGGCAGTAGAGCACCGTGCTTTGCTTAAAAATCCAAGGGAATAAAGAACCTGTAAGGATAATATGAAGAATATTCCAGAGTGGGAAGGTGTGGGTGCCTGAGCCCACTATGGTTCTGCTTGGCCTTTGGTCTTTGACCAGAGGATTCACCTCTACTGGAGGATTTAGGGCTAGGCTATCCCTTGCGGAGAAGGAGTCTAGTCATATTCCACTTGCTTTATATGGATGACCTCAAATTGTTTGCTCCAAACAAGAAACCACTGATGGAACTACTAAATATAACTGAAAAATGTAGTAGTTCCATCAGAATGGAGTTTGGAGTAGACAAGTGTGCGGTCATGCATGTAAAGCGAGGAGGGATTGTAGAATCTGAGGGACTAGAACTCTCAGATTTCACAAAGCTGAGATCACTCTCCGCAACCGATACATATAAGTATACCTACCTGGGTATGTCAGAAGGATTAGGCATTAATGGGCTGGACATAAAGCGATCGTTACAGGAGCGCTTCTTTGGCCGCCTGAATAAGATAATGAAAAGTTCCTTATCAGGCGGAAACAAGGTGCGAGCCTTTAACGGTTTGGTCATGCCAGTCCTAATGTACCTATTCTTCTGGCATACTCAAGTGGACCCAGACTCAACTTGATACCCTGGATAGGCGAGTCCGGACATTGCTGACTGCAAATCGCATGCATCACCCTCGTTCGTCGGTCATGAGGTTGTACATCCCGCGGAAGTGTGGTGGTCGAGGCTTATTAAATGCTAAGACCCTTCACAACCTTGAGGTGTGCAACCACAGGGATAATATTTCATGAAAGTCAACGAGGGTACGCATAGAGAAGTAGCAGCGGTGGACGGTGGACAATGGATTCACTTCACTATCCTTGGCAAAAGAGAACTGGCGCAAACCTGTGGTAGGTTTGGGGTTTGAGTCTGAGCTTCAATGATCGCAAGGAGGTAGGTATGGCATAGCAAGGAGCTCCACGGACGCTTATTCCGGACCCTTCATAGGCTCAGTGTGTGTCCGTATCTTGGCTACGATTATGTAATCTCTTTGGGTAAACTGAAGGATTCGTCTGTGCAATAATGTGACGAAGTTATCCTTACGAATAACTACCGGAATTATACAATTAAGGGTGGGACGGTTGACATATGACGGGCATGTCATAGTCCTGGTGAATCCATTAGACATATTATTTCTGGTTGTGGTCATTTGGCTAACAGTGAAAATTTGCATAGGCATAATCAAGTAACCAAGATTATTTATCAGCAACTTGCTTTGCCCGACCCAGTTCTGGAAAATTAATGACCATATCACATTGTATAGAGACCGGTCTATCATTACTGACTATTGTAGCCAATAAACCTGACATAGTGGTGATAGATCGACAAGTACGCGTACGCCGCACGATGATAATCGATGTCACCATTCCCCATGGTGAGATCTCGTGAAAGCTGAGAAAGATAAACAAACAAAATATCTACTTAGCTCACGAGGTTGTGGACATGTGCATGTGGAGTGTAGACTCTGCTATCATTGTGCCGGTAGTCGTATTGGCCAATGGTTTAATTCCTCGACATCCATCTCAGGAGGCTGGCGTTAGGAGGATGGTTCAAATACAGAAGGCAGTTATCCTAGAAACGGCACGTATCGTGAGGTTTCTGTCTCTGGAGCCATAACCACCGATAGATTGGTCCATGCTCCCGCTACTGGTCGGCTCCTATTCTTTATATTTTTAACTATTATTTTATATTTTGTATTTATTATTTAAAAATGTTATTTGTGGAGAATTTTAAATAAATACCTACACGGTAATAATAAATAATTATAATAATTGTAATTTTCACAAGATAGCATACTGAATGTAACATCTACACTTGACAAATGGACTATCCAACAAAAAGAATTATTCAATTCCAATCAGTAGTTTCGGAGATTAGCGCGTTCAAACAAACAAACAAAAAAGAAACTCTTTAGCTTTATAATATTAGTATAGATAATCGATTTTTATTTAGACTATAGGAATAGTCTAGGTATCATCTGCCCTAATTTTAACCGTCTAGCTATCACGGTTCTTCAGCAACAGCCTGGTGACAGACAGCAGTCTCAATAACAGCTCTTTTTTACCTATTGGGTATGTAACCCTAAAATTTGCTAATTACTACTTGTAAATAGTTATTATGATTATGTATTCTTATTCTAATTAAATAAAACACAAAGTTCCAGAGGGTGATTATATTACATAGATGTATCACAAAAAGGCTATACAATGTAAATAAGCCACGAGCCTCAATCATCCAGTGTAAATAATGCATATTATATACATATTTTTAGTTAAACTGTATTAAAATGTTCAGGAGTTTGTGATACTGAGACCATGTATTCCTTTGTATTTATACAAATTTGTGCTAAACCAGGTCATCCACTAAATGTGGATCAACTGCTAATTATATGTAAATGGATACAAACTTTAAATTGACACGTGAGCAATAATTATATTCTTGTATATAATTATTTGTACCCTAGACAAAATGTGGAATTTAAACCAAAAAACAAATGTCGAAAACAATATGTTCATTCAACTCCACGCATGTTACAATATAAAGCTTAATCAAATGATCTATGAAAATATTGTACTACTTTATGCACTTATATTATAATCATTATAAAATTATAATCACACCGCGAAACAAGTAATACATAATTAATTCATAAGACACATTATTGGTACTTATGGTGTGTGCACATTCCATAACAAACTCATCATGGCTTATTCATGTATATAATTTATTTCATTACATTTCCTTAGTACAAGAACTCACGAACTTTCAGAAGGCACACACATTAAGAAGTAAATTAAATAAATAGCAGTAATATACCTCGTCCCAAGTAAAAACATAAAAATACACTTTCGCTTAATTATCTAGTCTTAACACCTCAATAAAAGTAGTAACTGCGTACTGGCACCATATTTTGAAACAATGAGTGACCATAGAGTAGTAATCCACAGCATCAGCGCCACGCCGCTACTGCATACGCATCGGTACATCCATCGTCCATGCGGTCAGACTGAAGCACGGTTTATACTCGACGACTCAACGTGCACAACCACCACCTGCCACACATCGGGCACAATTCTCCATGCTGAACTATAATGACAGGGCAATATTTTCCTTTCTCTATACAACCATCCCATCTAATTCGTACCCACCTAACATACGCCACTTGTTCTACAAGCGCTACAGCTCACATTCGTAGTACAATGACCATTCTCTTTAAATTGACTACAGGAATCTTGTTACTGCTCATGTAAAATGACGACAATAACCTGTATGAATTATTTATGTTCTGTTAAAGTTATATGACAATATTATCTTATTTTAGATATACATATATCTGTATTATTAACAAGTAGAGCATACAATACTGTACCACTAATGTTCACAACATATGACCTCAAATACATTCAAAAATTCTTAGTGTGAAATATTCAATAGTGTCAAGTTATAAAGTTAGCAACCACATTATCATGAGTGAGAATTGTCTGACGATACTTGCCCGGTTTCTTAAATCTAGGTAATCTAGGTTTGAGTAACGAGTCGTAGCAGCGTGGCGTGGTGGCGGTGGCGGCACTACGCGAACAGGTAGCGGTAGAGGATGGTGGCGGCCACGCCCAGCAGCAACGGTGTCAGCCACGAAGTCCACGTGCTGCACACAGAACATATAGCTTGTAGTGCGCGGACACTGCAGCCCGTAGTGCGCGGATACTGCAGCCTGTAGTGCGCGGACACTGCAGCCTGTAGTGCGCCGACACTGCAGCCCGTAGTGCGCGGACACTGCAGCCTGTAGTGCGCCGACACTGCAGCCTGTAGTGCGCGGACACTGCAGCCCGTAGTGCGCGGACACTGCAGCCTGTAGTGCGCGGACACTGCAGCCCGTAGTGCGCAGATACTGCAGCCTGTAGTGCGCGGACACTGCAGCCTGTAGTGCGCGGACACTGCAGCCTGTAGTGCGCGGACACTGCAGCCTGTAGTGCGCGGACACTGCAGCCTGTAGTGCGCGGACACTGCAGCCTGTAGTGCGCGGACACTGCAGCCTGTAGTGCGCGACACTGCAGCCTAGTGCGCGGACACTGCAGCCTGTAGTGCGCGGACACTGCAGCCTGTAGTGCGCGGACACTGCAGCCTAGTGCGCGGTACTGCAGCCCTAGTGCGCGGACACTGCAGCCCGTAGTGCGCGGACACTGCAGCCCGTAGTGCGCGGACACTGCAGCCTGTAGTGCGCGGACACTGCAGCTGTAGTGCGCGGACACTGCAGCCTGTAGTGCGCGGACACTGCAGCCTGTAGTGCGCGGACACTGCAGCCTGTAGTGCGCGGACACTGCAGCCTGTATTGCGCGGACACTGCAGCCTGTAGTGCGCGGACACTGCAGCCTGTAGTGCGCGGACACTGCAGCCTGTAGTGCGCGGACACTGCAGCCTGTAGTGCGCGGATACTGCAGCCTGTAGTGCGCGGACACTGCAGCCTGTAGTGCGCGGACACTGCAGCCCGTAGTGCGCGGATACTGCAGCCTGTAGTGCGCGGACACTGCAGCCTGTAGTGCGCGGATACTGCAGCCTGTAGTGCGCGGACACTGCAGCCTGTGGTGCTTGGACACAACTATATAACCTGCACCTCCTACCCATGTCACTAGGTAAATTACATGTCAACATATCAAGCTGTTATTGTGAATGTATATAATATCCTGTGCTCGCAGATAACGAGAGTGCAAAGTCTCGTGTGCACAGTCCAAGGTGAACATAATTATGTATGATTATTAGATTGGTCTATACTTATACCCTGGAACAATTCAACTTTAAACAAATAATAAGTGGTGACCTCTTGTCTGGGGTGAAATACCTACAATACCTACATTATGTACTACTAAACAATTGAAATAACATCAGCGCTATGCATGGGTGAAAATGGAAAAGTATGTCATCTGAAGTCTAAAAGTGATTCTCTTGTATGTACTGTACTGTACTCGGAATATGTTTTTTACTGAGGACGGTTATACCGTCACACAATACTTTATAGCACATTAAGTCTATATATATTTATTCTCCAAAAAAAAAAACAAGCACATGGCTCTGTGTAACTAAAAGGTAACAAGTCAGGTTGTTCAATTAAAAATAAAAGGATAATGAAATAATGAGGCGTGTGTAATATATGCACTTTATTATTTTCTAATAACTAATAATAATACAGTGTAATAAATAGCATTTCAATAATATTAAATAAAAAAGCACCAAGTGACAAGGCTAGCGGCCTTTACATAAAACATTATTTCCTATTCAACAAATTTTAATAAATATGCTGTGCATTTACTACAACAAGCAGATTTCTTACTCTAGCAGGGACATGAGAGATTACGTCTTACTACCAATTATTATAACAAGCAACATATTTGTGTTTTATCTTAGATAAACTTACATAATAATGATTATCTATTAGGTAAACTTTTACAGATCATTAACATCACAATTGTTTATTATTGTAAGTACTAGGGGTGAGTGGTGTACTGATGTATTACACAGAGCCATATGCGAGGGCGCGCTCGAGTACATACACAAGGAGATTCGCAACCGAATAGATGGAATTATGTAGCTACGCGTCGCCCCTAGGCGCTATTCGAGGTCGATGATGCGAGTTACTCTATCATGTCAAATAGCGTGTTCAACGAGATAAAAACCATACATTTACTTAATCTACCAATTACTAAGCACTGAATCGATGACCTATATACATATATAGTCAATGTGTATCGTGTTATACAATCAGTATCGATGACAAATGAAGTGTATGATGAATTAAGTATGTACCATTACCATCAGGATAATATTACTGACACCGCCACGTTTATACCTACCCAAAATGTTCTGAACTTTTTATATGTGAAGGGATAAAATATGCTGTTCCGTTAGATAAGTATTACTCTGAATACAATGATCGGCTGTGGTACTGTACCATGGTATCATTATGAAGAAAGAAATGTAGCAAGAAATGGCTCGACAGGCGGTTAGTCAGAATTAGGCACAGGTGTATGTATGTATTATGTGTCGGTGTGTTAGCGTCTGGGCGTGAATGGTACTGTGGTATTAGGCGACTACGCACTTGCCCTGCTCCTGCGCCTGGTCGTTGGTCCATTGGGGTGAGAAAGCGTTCTTACTCTGCACTCGGTCTGCTTCCACCAGCTCGCCGATCTTGTACTTCTTCATCAAAGATCTGTGAACATTATCGTATGTCAATTATGACGCCATTGAAGGGCGATAAAATGCTAAAAAACTGGGGACGAAGTTATGCATGCTTTTATTAATATTAATTTATCTGTATGTATGTACACAAAGCACCGCTAATTAGTTAGCGGCGCTACACATCGACACAACTATCATTTACACAATATACATGTGTGGGTAATTTCATATCAATAGATATGTATAGAAACATTCGTCTATCACACACATCTTGGTATTTAAAAATCATTTTTGTGTCGGTATACGCAATAATTTAGTAAATAAGTTTAAATAAAAACGAGGGTAAAGATAAAATTACTCATAACAAACTTTGAATAAATCGAAATCAAAAATAATGAACGATCGAGCTATACAATACCCATATAAATATAGTGCTTTCTCATTGTAATTTTATGTTACTGAATGATATAAAATATTTCGATGATCTCATCTACAGCGCGCTTGGCGCAATGGTTATCGCCTCCAATTGTCAAGTAAAGTGCCGCCGGATCGATTCCAACATTCACATGTTGTTTTAGAATTAATTTATCAAATATTTGAAATTTGAAATTAGAAACAATTAAATCTTTTCTTTTTTTTCCTTTCCTATTGTTCTAAATCTTATGTTAATTTTAATAGTAAATACTTTAGATTTATTTATACCTATAATATCTTTTATTTATATTTTAGTTCTAGTTATTTATTATTTAGAATAATCTCATTTGCTTCATGCATTTCAACCAACTTAAATAAGATAAAACAGTAAAAAAGTAATTAACTGTGATTTCTTAATGGTTCGATACCTGAGTATATTTGCAATGTTTGTGGCGACCATAGAAATCTCGAGTCATTTTATTTTACACGCTTATGAAGTAACTACCGACTATTTAAAACATGTTTTTCAAATCACCCGACTTACAAAATAATTGCGTTCTTAGTTGTCAATTTATGAGGATTTCATAGTTTATTGCTACACTACTTATATTCGTGTGCAAAGTTATTTTTATTTTTACAAGATGTTCCAACACCTATCAACATTTAAAAAGGCTGAAACCATTGTTTTGCATGAGCAAAACATAACTAACAATAACTGAAATAGCAAGGCGTTTAATGATATCGGTGAGTAAATAAGATACTACGTTGATATTCTAAATAATATTTATTTCATTTTGTAACTCGACACACAATTTTGCACTAGAATAAAATAATTATTGCAACTTATTATGAAGTTCAATATTTAAAGATATATTAATAATTTATTATTAATTGTATTGTAACTTGACTTGTTTTTGTTAGGAGTGTTTCTTTAAAACATATCTGGTTAGGGATTTTTATTCCTTACGCCACTACTTAATTATAAATTATTATTCTAACATTGTGTTTACTTATATTATTATTATTTTTAAGTAACTTTAATTCCTGTAAGTATTTCCTGGTATTTTAAATACTTATTTGTTTGGTATCAACAGAGGAGATCCATGCAGTTATGGGTGCACAGATATGCGGAGACCGGTGACGTTAAACATCGTCGACGTGGGCCTAAACCAAAGGCAAATTCATCGGCTCGGCACTACGACATCGTAGCCAGGCACATGGCTGATCCGTTCCTGCCAACCCGCACTACAGCGACAGCACTGAATGTTTTAATACAAACTGTACGGAGACACCTGCATTCTGGTTTAAGGTGCAGGAAGCCAGAGAAGAAAATATTGTTATCTGTGGTTCACCAGCAAAAGCGCTAAGAATTTGCTAAGGACTTTATTAATTTTGATTGGGCGAACAGTGTAATCATATTGAGCGACGAAAAGACTTTCAAGTCGGATAAGGATGGGCGTAAAATATTGTGAAGAAATGATGGAGAAAGGTATACGAATTGCAACCTTCTGCCTTGTAGGATCAGTGATTGTATTGATTTCGGAATCAATTATTGAGCCTGTCAAACTCTGCCTTTATTAAAATTAACATAAAATAATGTTTAATTTTTTAAGAATATTAAAATGCTGTCTAGAACATACGGTGAAGTGATGTTATTGTTTTGTGGTTAGAAATTGTCATAATTTCTTTCTATTCAACATGTTTATTCACTTCACTTTAATTTTTCATTAACAAATTTATTTAACTGCTTTCGAACTTGATTGACATATTATATTTACGCCCATCTTCAATTAATTTAAAGTTTCCTGATTCTAAAGGTCATGAAAGTTAAAATCGTTCCATAGCATTCGTCACATTCTTTTTACTATCATACAGCCCACTGAATATTGAACCTTATAACAACCGTCGTAAAATAGATAATTAATGGAAGTTCAAACGATAAAAAGTCGCCGATTTCAAGAAATATTATGTTGACAGTGTAATTTTTTACATGTTTTACTTGTTTATTACTGTAAAACTGTAATTTAATAATACATTATATTATTAAATTACAAAACAAGAATGTTGTATATTTGTTTATTACCTACTTAATAAAAAATGTTGCTGCCATCGTATTACCGCTGTACCGCATGATATTTCCCGATTCGATTATGAGGTTTATTGTCATATCTATTAATTATGATTTAAAGAACTTTAAACTTAACATGTGGTATATAATTAATTATTAGATATAAATATTGAATATAAAACAACATATTTGTATAATAAATAAATTAATTGTAATAAAAAATAGTATTGTTTTATTTACCAACTCATTTGCTTCTTTTATAGCCTGATATTTATTTATATTTTATGACAAAAAACAAAAAAAAAAAAATAAGAAAAATAACAAGATAAAATAAAATTAACTTTTAGCTGGAATAGAACCCACATCATTGATCCTTGAAAGACGATAAAAGCGTGCTCATTAACCAATCGACCACGAGCACTACGATAATGACAGTGAAAATGTCGGGTCATATCAATGATTGTAAATAGTTTTAACCTTACCTATGCATTAAATTATAAAAATACGTATACCGACACAAGAATGAAAATACCAATGTGAACGTGGTGGACGAATATTTTTATATACAGGTATATGAAATTACGCACACATGTACACTGTGTAAATGACAGTTGTGTCGATGTGTAGCGCTGCAACTAATTAGCGGTGCTTTGTGTACAGTCATGTTTATAACAAAATAAAATTTCTTATTCTATCTTATATGTTTAAGCATTCATAAAAAAATTAAAACAGTCGTAGATACGTAAATGAAAGAAGATTTCAGGTGAATAAATTAAAGGATATTCTATATATAATTGTATCAAAAATAAAGGTAATTTTACTAATAGCTAAACAATAGCAATAAGTCTACCTGGCATCGGAGCTGTGGCTGACATCCTCGAAAGGCTCGGTAGCGTCCTGGCCACCCTTTTCCAGTAGCACCTCTTCACCACCGGGGTGCTGTGGACAACAAACTCATCTGACACCACGTCCAACACATTACCAACCGGCTGCCAGCTGGCTAACATGGTATACTAATTAAAGAAAGCTTGTCTCACTTGGCTGGCAAGTGGCATAGTGAGTAACCCGTAGAAAATCACTGTTAATATATATATTGCATTAATGAGTCGCTAATATGTGTGTTAGGTAAATTGTTTTACTTTTCTTAACCAGATACAATTCAAGAGTTGAATGGCCTAAGCTGGTCTTTCTATAATATGTACGGAGTATATAAGTCGACGTTTAACTCGTTAGAGTTCATTGCACTGCGTGTAATATGCACAAAGTACACATCTCTAGCGCTAGCGCCTTTGTAGTTGGCCCACCACACTGCACAGCAAACAAAATTACTTTGCTGATACGAATAATCAAAGTGATTTCCACATGCATGCAAAGTTACCCAAGTATTTGAATACAATCTTACTCTACGTGCGTTGAAGGTACCTACTGCCTACCTATAATTTATATGCTACAATGCTACATAGTTAATAGATTCGTGACCCAAATGAGAATATAATTTGGGTAATTTTAATTGAATGCCTATGTGTTTGTGTAGATTGGTGTGTTTGTAATAAGTGTTATCTGGTACCCTACTCCCAGTCCCTACACATATCCAGTGTACCTATGAGTTCATAAAAGCTGTACCTAATGCTTTCATAGATGCAACTACATAGAATAAAACAGTATTTGATGCACTTTTTTGAAAGATACCTACATACTTAATTTTTATACTTACATAGTTTTATGGAAGTTTTATAAGTTTAAAACATACATATTGCCTGATACCTACCTAATTAACGATTAATGTTATGCCATATACCGGGCACAATTCTAAACTCCGTGCTTATTAGTGAAAAATTTTCAAAAAACCGAAAATGCTGCAATTGTAACACGAACGATCAATCCAGCCTCCCATCACACTAGCAAAGACGAGCATTAATCATATTTCAACTTCAAATATCGCTAGATGATTGTCGGTTTAGTACAAAAACAGTTCGCTAGCAATAAGTGAATAGTAGGTAGGTAGGTAGATATGGATCAATAGTAATTTCGGTCCTTGGCAGACGCCGCGTTCATTCAGGCTGGGAATTTTGATATTCCGATCTACGGAATTAAATCGCGTTGGAATTTCTCATTTAGCTTCAGGACTGGAATGCAGAGATGGGGACTGAATGCTGAGAGAACGTGAGGCCGGCTCAGTTGACCTACATCCATATCTCAAACCTGTTTTTATTTGTCAATAAACATGCACAACACAGGAATGTTATAAAAGTGTAGTGGGTGAAAAATGCCTATTGATACTAGTAGGCAGTCTAGGTACCATATTGTAGGACTTCTTGTCGGACTTCTATTGGGACAACTTTGTACGTACCTGATAACTAAAGTCTCCGTCGTAGACTAAGACAGATAGGTATAAGTAAATAAAACTGTACACAATCAACTTGCAATTCGTGTAGTGACGCGGCTGCTGCGTACTGGTGCTGGTGGGAAGCGCTAGCGTGTACACTTTGTGTAGTGGCTTCAATACGGCTACCCAGCGAGTCAGACGAGTCAGTACGTAATTTTGGCGAAGCTGTTCAACTAGTACAAAAACCGTAGAGGTCACTGGTAACCGGTACGTCGCGGCGAGTGCCGGGCGCAGCCGATAAACGATTTGCTTACGACGTTTGGTCGACGATAATGTATTTATAATTACTTAACTACAAATATGTTTATTACTGCTGAATAAAAATAAAATAAATAAATCAGTCGTTTTTTAATTAGGTCTAGTTTCAATTCCAACTTCACAAATGGAAAACGAAATTCAAAGTTATCCTACTAATATTATAAAGGTGAAAGTTTGTTAGTCAGTCCTACACGTCAAAACAGCTGAAATCTTTTATCTTACATTTAACCTCTTGTCTGCCAATATATGAGACACAATAGAAAACACATTGTCTAACATAGATCTTATTAGAATATACTTATTCTACAGAACTACTGGTTACAATTTAATAATTAATTGTGTTGGATTGTCTATTTATCGAGGGAGGCTATAAGATAGGCTATAAAACTTCATCTTATGGTTAATAGGAGCCAGGCAGCCATAGCAGCATGGGAATAGCTGGTTGTATATTATACATATATTATGAACCAGGGTGTGTATATTCCTGTATGAATGTGTATTACTAATTATTAAGGTTGTAGAAATATGAAATATGGCAGTAAACAGTAATAATACAGTATCGCAATTTTTGATATTGGTCCAGTAGTTTCTGAGATTAGAGTGTTCAAAAAAACAAACTTCATATGATACTCACTATATTAAACTTAGCTTTAAACTGTCAAATACCGCGAGGACACCGTGACCGCAACCAAATTTCTTTAATTGTGTCTATAATCACAGTACTCAAAGGGTTAAATAAAAAAAAGTATTTAGATTTTTGTCTAAATCTTTCAATAATTTAGAAGTGAGGCCACCAGGCGAGATAGTGTTCAAACATCTGCCCATCAAATATGTATGTATATATGTTCTCCAGCTATGCCAATGATAGTTTTGATAAGTTTTACACTTTTAAGCTCCTGTATAGACATTGAAGTCTAATTAAGTTGCATATCACTGTATATTTTGACAGATTTCGTAATAGAAAATATATTATCCATCAGTTAACACTAAAATCAAGTTTTTCTAGTTGTAATTCAGATACTATGTACCTAACAACCAATATGACATAGGAAATTAGGTACATAACAGGTAAAAGTATTTACTTAATGTAAAGCACAAAGTAGGGACTCTGTTCTAGTGGACATGCTAATTCTAAGCCCATTAATAATTACATTTAAAATAAGGTGAAATAATTAATACAAAACCTAAATACCTACCTAATTATGAGATAAGATATCACACTTGATATAGGTAAATTATAAATTATTAAATCAACACTGACCTCTGCTAGGAAGCTGGTGACGTCGTAAACCTCGTTGTGGATGATAAGGACCGCGTCATTGCGCGTGCACCGTGACTTGAGCTCCTCCCGGGTGAACAACTTCGGTTTAGGTTGCTCTTCCATAGTGCTTCGCTAACCACGTCTCGAAACCTTAACCGCGACTGAGATTGGTCCTTCTGTTGTATAGTTCATGATTAAAACACAATACAAGCAAGTTACTGTACAGAGTTTGATACATTTTAATTAGGAGTGATATTCAATCAGTCACATAGACGTTGACGACAGATTGAATTGAACGAATAGATACATAAAAAGTTATTAGGAAAAGAAATACATAATGGGAGAAAATAAAAAATATCTTGAAATCAGAAAATAATCTCGAAACAATACTCACAGCTCACACAAGTCCACAACTGAACCAACTGAACTGAAATGAAATGAATGACTGTTTAATTTAATCCGATCAGACGAACTGACTGACGTGCTGGCCGTGCTGCTGACTTTGACACTAACTAATTTGACAGTTGATATCCGACAATGACAAGCGTAGGTACGCGGTCTCGTAATCGTCTACATCTATTCTAATAGGTCTTTTGCCTATACTTCTATAGGTACTTCTCATGGAGGTATACCTCCATGGTACTTCTATAGCAAAGGATGAGTAGGTACTTTTAAGAGGACTATATAGGTATAGGTAGGTACTCTTCCTTTGCTATACTTAGCATAATAATGTTGAAGCGGGAGTTGGAGTCAAACACACCTATGTACAGTTAGAAAGATAAAATAAAAGTTATAAAACTGTACTACCAGATTCAAGTATGTACATAGGTATTATCCTTATCCTTACTAATATTATAAATCGGAAAGTGAGTTTGTTTGTTCCGTTTTCACGCCGTAACTACTAAACTGATTGCTTTGTTTGCAGACGTAAAGTTAGAAGTCCGGATTAAATAATAGGGTACTTTTTATACCGGAAAAATTTGATATTCCCCAATGATATTCTAATAAATATCATTGATATTCCCGAGGGAAAACAAAAGAATAGGTATAGATGGCGCTGTGTGTATTGGTACCTATATATTGTCACATAGGTTACTTTTTATCCTTTTGTGACGCGAGCAAAGCTGCGGGTAAAAGCTAGTGTACAATATTGGATAATGTATCAGAGAGATTGTAAAACATGTAAAATTACGAAATATATATGACGTGACAGTTGTGGAGTGGCGTGGCGCAGTGGCGACCAATCAGCTGAAAGCGACCCATTCACCCACACGACACTATATAGTTTGGTTATAACCAGAACCACAGTAAAAGGCTTCTGGCGCGCCCTGACACATGGGTCTTAACTTTCTTTCGTATCTCTACCACAGAAATTATCTAATCTCTACTTTTTGAACTTTTTTGTCAATTCTAGAAATATTTATTAAAAAAGCAATATCCAGGGAAATCATGATATTGACTGGTGGTCACCACTAGTCACCACTAGTGGTGGTTAGGCAGGCCTAAAGGGGTTTGGAACACTAGCCTAAAGAGCAAGATTGTAGATTGTTTTTTTAATCTATATTGAATGCTAAAGAGCTAAGTGTTTGAGGAAGATTGATTGAAAGTCTCAAATAAACCTGAATGTATTATCAGTGTATGGTTGTGCCATGTATGATCCTAATATGGATATGGCCTAACAGTCTTTTTTACAATATCTTCCACAGACTACATTTGATCCTTTCTGATGCTAACAATGTATGTACTTGCAGACCCGGCACACTTTGTACCACCTAAGACTTTATTTTTCTCACCTTTTAAACCTATCCTAGACTTGCATGAGTTTTAGCGAGACGAACCTTATCAATAGTTTCCGTGCACCACTAAGAATTAATTTCAATGTTCATTTTGAAATGATGTATGAAACCTATGTGAAATGTCATTAATAAGCTTATTTAGAAATGGTATTATGTAAAAATAATTATACAATACCAAAATCAATGGAAATGTCAGATTGTTCAAAAACTTTGATTTATTACTTAAATTATTAGCCGAAAACAACTAGGAGCTAAATTAGTTAGCTAGTTAATTAACAAATTTGACAATATAACTACTACATTATGCTTGATTGTCAGTTTACAGCCTGACTGTACCAGCCTCCTGGACATCCTTTTGTTTGTGTGCTCCATCACAGAATGGTCGATTTTTTGTTTGTTTACAGTTGCACAGCCAGTAATCTTTCGTTTTTTCCACAGTGAATCTGACAGGCCTAGAAGGAGATTATAATATTATATTATTACAAGCAGTGTTTCAACCTCACTAAATGAGAGCAGATAATCTGCGTTGGGATAAATAATATTACCTCCTAAAGATACATCTTGACAAGGAGGAACTCACCTCTGAGAGATCTTAAGATATATATCCTTGTGGGTCCCATCACATAATGGTTGAGATTTAGAGCGTCCACATAAGCACCAGTGGTATGTCTTGCCTGCCTCTAGAGTCAACTTGAATGGTTTTTTGTCATATACCACACCATTATCCTTCTGATTTGTAGCAGAATATACAGATGCTAATGGATTCTTTGGAATTTCCGGTTTAGGACTTTTAGTTGCATAATTAATCTGTAAATATTACAAAGATACAAATACATAATTCAACTCTGATTAATTTGATCTCAAATAAAATTCACAACTTACTGATCGTAGTGAACTTGCTAAGAATACTTGATATGGTTTTCTAATAAACATATTGATTTGATTAAAAGTATTCTTCTTTTTTCAATTTATTTATTAGATTGTAGTCTTTGTACAATATGATATCTTTCACATAAACTATCTTAGGAAATCTCTGAAGTTTCCATTCCGTCCGATGATTCCGACGAATGACGATATTTACCAGTCAGACAGGTTGTCTGCTCAGCTGTTTGTCAGTGTCACCACAGGACTTGTCAGTGCCAAATTATGTTGCAGTGTGCCCAGATGTGTGTGGATTTAGAGTGTGGACTTTGAGAATTTTAGCACCAACTTTTTTTTAATGTCCTTGATAAAGATCCAAGAATGTTGCATTTCAACGTCCTTGGATTGACACCATAAGACGTTGAAAAAAAAAATGCGGACTTGGTCTCTTGAAACAACGACTGCGGTACTTAGCTTTTACACAAAGCTACTTGTACACAAAATACATTAATACACATACATACATTGAAACGAAGGACATATGTCGCGTGACATGGATGGCCCGTAATGCCTGTTTTTACTTCATATTTTATATTAGGATGTTGCAATGTACACGCACATTTTATAAATGGTCAAAGAGTATAATAAGTATAGGGGAAATTTTGGTGCTTCAATCGTTTCTAAGTGACATTACATCCGCATTTTTTTGTGCTTTTATAGTCTTTACTTAGTTTTATAAATAAATAAAGAAGTGTAAAAAAAATCAACTTCTAAAAATCACTGCATGGAGAAAAAAAAACTATTCGAGATTTCGAGAACTTTCTGACATCCCTACACGCATGGACGACGGACGTGTGAGACAATTTGACATTGACATTACAACTTGATGATGAAAAAATTTTTTATTATGAGTTCTGCCTCATCCATTGTCAATAGCACAACGTTACGGGTTATGTTTCAGGTTAATAATTAATTCTTCTTACAGTAGCAATCTTAACGGAGGTGTCTATTAAGTTATGTAGTAATTACGAGGTAAATGATGTCGAGAATTAGAGGAATAGTTCAAAAAGATGCGTTGCAAGCACCAAAGTATAAACATAACGAAATTCTCAAAAAGAAAAACGAGGATCAATCAGCAAATTCGAAAGATGAGATAGAAAGTAAGTATTATAACAGTAGTAGGTATTTAACCATCCAACCAGACGGAACTAGTACTAGTAACAACCGTATTTGAGGTAGCTAATTGTTTACATGCTGTCCATTTAGGTAAACATCATGTAAATGTGCATATTTGTGATAAAAATGTCCATACATTGGGTTATTTTCAGAACATCAAATAAATGAACTCTTGCACAAATTGCCAAGATTGGATAAAATATTTGAGGTTCATCGCAAAATTGGTGAGGGTACATTTAGCTCAGTATACCTCGGTTCTCTACGGCAGCATGCCTCCCTGTCCAATGATGAGAAGCGGTGGTTCGCTATCAAACACCTGGTTCCCACGGCACATCCAGCTAGAATTGAACATGAATTGCGATGTCTGCAGGATATTGGGTTTGTATTCCATCTTGTGACCATGCGTCTGCTCACTCGAGTATTGACACAACTATGAATATGTTTGTATTAGTACTTACTTTGCTTGTTTTACAAAACTGTAGTAAGGAAAACTATGTTTAACTATCTATCTTTATTCTTATATATATAGTATATTATATTATATTATAGTATATATATATACTAACTACTAATATATATATACTATCTATCTTTATACAATAAAATCATGGGTCCTCAAGACTAGGAGAGCTAGACATCTTCCTTTATATGTATGAGTTATACCATGTGCTGTAACCTAACATGACAATGTTGTGGTTGATGAAACTGTAGTTTATTAAAATTTGTCAATATGTGATCTACATTTTGTTTGTTTTAGAGGCAAAGAGCATGTCATCGGTGTGGAGCTCTGTCTGCGGAATTTGGATACTATAGTTTTCATAATGCCTTATATACCTCATAGAAAATTTTCTGTAAGTCTTTTAAGGAGTCCTTTTCTGAACAAATAATTGGAAAACCTGTTACAGTCCTAGAAAATTGGCACAAAAAATAAAGCACAAGACAAGCAGTAATTTTGTCTAAAGGTGATTTAAACCCGTGTGGTTTTACCCGCTGCTTCCTACTAATTGTAGCATGAAGGTTTATAGTAGGGCATGTAAAACCGGAAAGTCATCAAAACCGGTTTTGAACATCGTTTTTTTGGTACCAAAACCGAAAACCGGAGCTAGGTCCGGTTTTATCAAAAAAATCCAATGTAGTTAATTTAAAAAAGAAAACCGTTTTTTTAAATACCCACTGAGTCTACAAATAAAACAAATTGTGTGATTCACTTCTTTTACATCCAAACCACAATAATTGTACAGATAACAATGAACTTATAATGTACTAGCGGCCCGTCCCGGCTTCGCACGGGGGGACTTAAGATTTTTTACATAGTTTTACGTTTTATTTATATTTATTCTCAGTTTTTTTTAGCGACCTGCCCTCCGTTGTCGATGTCGCGTCTTAAGGTAACCGATTGAACAATTCAAAAGTTATCTAGAGCAAACTTTTATAAGGATTGAACCATTCATTAAAACGATTGTTATGGGTAAACTATAAAAGGTAGACATATTCTCTCGCGGACTTTTTTAAAAATAATGTTAAGATAAACAATTCATCTATAGAACATTTTTGTATAACTTTAACTATATCCTCAGAAACGATACTTTTCCCCCGTTTTTAAAACATTTTTGGTTACTGCTCCACAACTATAGGACCTAGCGTGATATTATATAGCCTATGTTACTTCTGAATAATGCAGCTTTCGAATGGTGAAAAAATTATTGCAATCGGTTCAGTAGTTTTTGAGTTTATTCATTACAAACATACAAAAATACAAAAATACAAATCTTTCCTCTTTATAATATTAGTATAGATAAAAATTATTTAACTGAGATCAAATCAACAACAAATAAGTTTTTGGTATCTTTGGAACCTATTAAGTCTGCTATCAAAAATAATATATTTTAAACATAGAAAACACAAGTAGCATCTTTAAATATTAAATACAGCCAGCCACAATTACCAAAAAAAAAATATTATTTTTGTAACTTTGAAGACAAACTATAAAATAATATTATTATAATATGATTCATATTGCACTAAAAAAGAGATCAATAATCAACTGCGGGGTGCAGGCTCGGAGATGTTCGCAGACCCATCAAGAAATATCCAAATAATTACTGATGACACGGGTCCAACTATTTTAAAATCGAAGATATTACGTGACCAGATAACATACCCATATTACCCATCGAGATTCTCAAGCTATTGGAGGAAGTACTTGACCAATTCTTCAACAACATTTACGAAACTGGCATTCTTCCACATGACTGGCTAAAGTCTACGTTCATTACAATACTCAAAAAACAAAATGCAACAAAATATGGAGAGTACCAGATGATGAGTCTAATGAGAGATGTCCTAAAAGTGTTCTTAAACATCATACAGAACAGAATAAGAGTAAAGTGTGACGAACAACTGGGAGACAGCCAATTCGGATTTCATTCTGGTGTAGGCACCCGTGAAGCTTTATTCGCCCTCAACGATCTCAGAATCTCCATCTCTTCAAAAATGCAGAGAAATGCAAACGGACGTGCTGATAATATGTTTTATCGACTACGAAAATGCACTTCATTTAGTTAAGCATCAGGCGGGGGTAGTGGAGGGAGGCGTGAAAATGGGTGGATGCAGGCTGTGTTCGGTTCGGATACATTTAATGCCTCAATATTAATTCTTTTTGTAAGAGTGTTTGAAAAAAATTTGATTAAAACAAAATGTTAATTGTTACTTAATAATGGGAAAACCGGAGCTGAGTTCCGGTTTTGGCTCTCAAAACCGGTTTTCAATAATCGTAAAATTTTGGCCGATTTCCGGTTTTGCGCAAAACCGGAAAACCGGTTTTACATGCCCTAGTTTATAGCTTTTTACTGGACTGTTCAACCCAAAAATGTATTTATTTCAAACTAGTGCTACATTTCCTGTAGATATCCATCATGGTTGAAAAAACATCCTAATAAACTGGCAACCCAACTCACTATGCCTGCATACACAAAGCGGCTGAAAAGACGAGACTTCATGGAACTTGGCCACCCAAACTCCTAGGCTGGCCTCGAAATAATAGACTGATCTCTTAATGGACAGATTCGTCTACAAGTCCAATGACATCCAAAAATTTGCTCATGGTCAAGAGACCGATTGCAAATAAACATACAAAAAAAAATTCAAACTAGTATATAGATTACAAGTATTACTATGTGTACTACACACAAAGTTCGATCGAACTTTGTATGGATATGTATTAGTTCTTAGTTCTAAATTGTTATTTAACTTATTCTGAATTTTGATGTTATGTCTTTTTTAAACAGGAATATGTAGGGGAAATGGATGCAACGGAGCTACGGCACTACATGCGAGCATTGATGGTGGCCTTGCGACATGTGCATTCGTTCGGGGTCATCCACCGCGACGTCAAGCCCAGCAACTTCTTGTATGATCGAGATAACAAACGGTACGCCATAAATACAACATTACCTTCATTCATATGCTCCTGCATCCTTCATTCATATGGTCTGATCATTTGCAGACAAAAATATTTAAAGGTCAAAGTTTATTTATAAGATCTAATACGAGACATACTAAATTAATTAGAAACACCGGTTTATTCACGTAAACTAATGAAAAAACTCAGTAGGCTGTGCGACGCCACTGCGTCCGCGCAAACTTCCTCTGTGACTCATAGAACTTTTCTCATTAGTTCACGTGAGTAAACCGCTGTTTAATTAAATAAATGTGTCTGTTAGTAGTGAAGTTATTCACTTGTTCCAAAATGTTGATTCCTATTGTGTGAGCAAGAAACGCGATGGTTACTCTTTTTAATTGACTTCCCATGAAAATGGAGGAGGTTCTCAATTCGGGCCTAATGGCTTTTTTTTTTGCTAAAGGCGATCTTCGTCGATCGGAAATTAAATATAATGATTTGAACTATAAACGACCAGAGGGGCCAAATGACCCAAATTAAGTTTTTGAACAATCATATTTTTAAAACTATACCTACATTGTAGACATTGTCGTTTTGTGACTTTTAATATTTCGTTACTGTTTACATATTTCAACACGTGATTCTGAAGATAAATATTTATTTAAAATTATTGTCTACCTATGAAGACTGCAATGGGTCAAATGATCCCTTTGTATTCTTAGTCAGACATATTTACTGAAACCAGAGCTCTTTTTATAGTAAAATGTGCGCAATCATATGATTTTTATCACCTAATAATTAATTCTATTACTACTCTCGTTCGTATTATATTTTAAAATAATAAAATACAACAATATAAATATAAAATCATAACACACAAATACAACATTAAAAAGGATCATTTGACCCATCTTGGTTTTTACAGGTAGTTCAAAATATCGGTCTTCCTAGTGTTAAGGTATTAAAGGATCATGGGCGTGTTTGACGTTAAACCAACAGTGTTGATATAATTATGTATGTGTGATTTGAAAGATCTGTACATTATTTGTTAGTATGACAACTTTTAATTTTTAGTTCCTGAACTTTCGAGTAGATACATACAAGTACTGAACACATGTCAAAATAGTAAAAATATATTTCTTTTTGTTTGGCCCGGCACTCGAACGCAAGATTTCGGCTCTGCAATGACACTATTGACACTTACAACCATTATACCAACGAGGAAGTGTAAACGTTACATATTTTAGCAAAGAATTTTTTTAAACATTAGCATTTCAGAATGCTCAGATACAGATCATAGAAACACCTGAGTGTTTCTATGATCTTACGGCCGACTCTTGGGTTGGACAAGGCATTAAAAGGCTGTAATTGTGCGCGGTGTATAGTAATAGATTCGTCCTTAAGTCCTTATTATATGTAAATATTCACATAACTGACAAAAGGTCAGTGTTTTTTATAATTGTACATCTCTGTGTCGCATCTCTTCGGAGAACAAAAGGGGTGATGTTATGTTTAATATCTTAATTCAAGTATTGTAATGATTGCACTTCGTTGTTGTTTGATAAATTATGTTGTATTGCTTATATTTTTAATTATAACTGCTTAATAGAAAATTGTTTACAGTCACTGTTAAACAATTTTCTTTTAAGCAGTATACACATATTAATAATCATTATAAAATTTAGATATTTGCTAGTCGATTTCGGGCTAGCACAGCGCCTTTGTCCTGCACCTGAAGGAACGCCAATGATCGGTCCGCCTCCAGCACACTCTAATGGCGTACGGAAACGAACTCGTGATGAGGTATTTATTAAAAGAAGTTGCATTTTAATATAACCTATGCACTGTGTGGAATATTTGAGTCACTGACCATTCACTGTTAGGAGGACGGGCCAGCTGCTAAGCGGGTGGCGCTCGACCTGAGCATGGGCGCACCGGCGGCGACGGGGATTGCGACTATTGCGGCGGCGGGACCCGAGGCTGCGGCGGCGGCGGAGCCCAGGCCGGGGGCAGCGGGGCCCAGGCCGGGGGCAGCGGGGTCCAAGCCAGGGGCGGTAGGTCCCAGGCCTGGGCGCTGCCCGTGCTCCGGAGTGGCGGGCGTATGTGACATGTGCTCGGGGCGGGCTGCGCCCCGGGCGCCGCGGGCAGGGACGCAGGGGTTCAGGCCGCCCGAGGTGCTGCTGAAGTATCCGCACCAGACCACGGCCGTGGACGTGTGGGCGGCGGGGGTAGTGTTGGCCAGCGCTTTAACGGCGCGGTATCCGTTCTTCCGCGCGAGCGACGACGTAGCCGCCCTGGCCGAGCTGGCCGACCTCGTCGGCACAGAGCCGCTGCAACGTGCCGCCGCGTCTCTGGGTGCGTCATCTGCCTGTATTGTATAGTAGTGATGTAACGAATGTCATTTTTTGAACAATTGCGAATGCGAATTATATAACTCACATTCGCGTTTTGTTTTTGTTTGTTCACCGATTACTCCGCCATTTGTGAACCGATTTCTAAAATTCTTGTTTTGTTTAAAAGCGTATGTCTCCCGAGATGATCCCATTTCCATGAAGTCAGGATCTGATGATGACATCCTAGGGAAAACGAGGGGAACTTTCGAAAATTATAGGAGCGAGTAATAAGTTTATTATGTTTTTAATTAGAATTTTTAAACACTACAATTTGATAAGAGTCTGGAGTCGACCTGATGATAGAGCCGACAGACAGTCGAGGGAACTCCTCAACAGTTTATATCAACTACCTTGTGTTTGGGCTTGATTAATTTGTATTGATGAGAACTTTACATCTAGATAGATTATAAGTAGCAAAACGGATCTATGCAGCTTTACACTAAAAATGATAAAATAATAAAAACAACATATCATAATGATAATTATATTTTAATGGCCACAAAATCGGAAATTAGGTTTCTATTATTAACTCGACGAGTACCGGTTTTATAGACACAATTAAAGAACAATTAAGGTTTTATGAATTATTTTGTATAGAATTTATGGCGCCGACGTTTAACCTATCAGTGGGTGGGTAACCTATCAGTACTATTAATACATAGTTATTTTTACGTTTTAGTTTTTTTATCCCGAAAATTGCCGAGTTTATATGTATAGACTCATCCGACTGAGTGTCATTTATTCATTCCGCTCGCACCGCCGGCCGGTCTTTTCGTAAACTAAACAAATAGTCCAATAATTAAGGAGGGAAATATATGGGGACTACCTGGAAAGTTTTCCGGGGCTTTTGAAAATCGGCAATGTCGTAGATTTAGATTTCCGATTTGCTTTTCGATTTAATTTTGCATCTTTATTCGTGTGCCGCTCGCGCCGCCATCTTGACAAAATGGCGGCCAAAAACAGTTTTTTTACAATATCTCTTTTCTTGTGCATTTTACGAGAAAACCGTTAACTACGAAATGAAAGTACTCTGAATGAATGTGTTGGAGCGAGTACAGTAGTAGTGTGCAGGGCGGCGCGTGGTGTCGTCGAGCGCGCGGCGCGGCGTGTGCCTGCGCGCGCTGGCCGCCCGCCTGCGCGGCGTGCCGCTGCGGCGCGCGCCCTGCGTCTGCCGCCGCGAGTTCTGCCTCTGTCCCGATCGCATCAAAAAGGTCACTAGGCGTTACTCTAATGACGTATTTCCTATTCAATGTACAAAATAAAATAGTAGGTACTACCTACACAGACAGTGTCCGCTTCGATAGCTCGAGAATTCGTAGATTCAATGTTTAGACAGCGCTTGATTGAGGTTCTTTACATTTGAAACATGAAGTAAATATTGACGGGAATGATTATAACACTCGCAGGCGGAGGAGTGGGACCCGCGGCGTAGTGTGGCGGGGTTCCCGGACAGTGCGTTCTCGCTGGCCGCGCGGTTGTTGGACCCGGACCCGCGCACGCGCATCTCGGCGCAGGACGCGCTGGCGCACCCCTTCCTGGCCGCCGGCGACTGACGCCACCTCCACTTTACGGATCGCTCCCGTCTCATGTTACGATGATGTTATATTTTTCACGTTTAGTAGGTACCTAACGATCTCCTAGAATCGACGGGTCCTAGCCGAGGACTGTCTAGCTATAATATTTATTTTTGTTTTTTTTTAAGCATTATGGTTGTGAATTGACTTCATATCGATTAGTATGCGTGCTAAGAGATGTTATAGGACGCAATACGAATTACTACTGTAGATCTTGTCAGCCATTTAATTTGGAGTAAAATGTTTGACGCCATTCGCGTTAACAGTAAACTTGAAAATAATAAAAGTGGCGTACAAAATGGATACAGTTACAGTGCCTTCCACGAGCGTGTAAGGTGGTGCATCGGGGAGATTAGAGAAACAACTTTATTGTTTGAAGTTACATTTAATACTCTTCTAAATATTGGATACAATCCGATATATATGAATTACACACTTAGATCTAGCAATGGACATGTATACATACATACACACTACACGCCCACCGTTTTTTTTTTTTTTTTTTTTTTAATGAAATTACCTTTTATATGGCCTTGTTCTATTCTTATGAACTAACAATTGTTTTCCTTTATAATCTATTTTTAAATTTGGTTCACAATCTTCTAACACTTTAAAAGGACCTACATAAAGCTGATCAAATTTGCTCATACGCTGCTCGTTTTTTAGTAATATCATATCGCCAGTTTTATAATTTATAGGGTTCGTATTGCAGTCATACTTAATTTTTCTAATTTCTTTTTTTGTAACTAAATTTTGTCTTGCGTCGTGTTGTGATTTTTGTAGTCTGTACTTCAATTCTTTAGGGTAATCATAATGATTATATAATGGTTCTAGATTTGATGTTAAATTGCTCGGTAATTTACAAAGTCTGCCAAAAACTAACTCATATGGAGTATACTTAGTTTCGGAGTGCACTGTAGTGTTAAAGGCAAAACACCAGTATGGTAACCACGTGCTCCAATTATAAGGGTCATTATCTGTTTGAATACGAAGGAAAGACATTAAATGTTTATGTGTGTTTTCTAAACTTCCTATTGACTGATGATGGTAAGATGTTGATGTCAACTGTGAAATTTGAAGCAGATTACACACTTCCCTCATTACTGTTGACACGAACTCTGTGCCTCTATCTGATATAACTTGCTTAGGCATTCCGTAACGCAAGATAAAATTATTTACAAACGCTCTTGCTACTGAAATAGTATCCTTATTTCTAAGCGGATACGCTTCAACATACTTACTAAGGTCACACTGAAGTGTGAGAATATACATATAACTATCGCTATCCTTACATAAGGGCCCTACTAAATCTAAATAAATTCTGTCGAAAGTGCAACGTCCTGTATCCGTTATCACCATCGGCTGCTTAATGTACTTATTAAAATGTTTTTGACGTAAACACTTGTCACAACGACTTACAAATTCGGTTACGTCTTTCTCTAGTCCTGGCCAAAAGTAACGTTTTTTAATATTATTTATCATTCGCCTGATACCGGCGTGGCCACTCGTCGGTAACATATGATAGTCATTTAGTATAACACGCTTTGTATCGTGATCGCTTATTCGTTGGACCCCCTTTAAAATATATAATTGTGGTCCGGACCACGCTGGGGTGTCTCTTATAAACCGAGTTAACTCGTCTACTAGTTTATCATTACTAGCATTTTTAATAAGATAAATTTTATGTATTCCTATCCGTTTGCATAAGTTACACAACTCCCTCACAAAGGCATCTCGTGCGCAATATGATCGGAAAGAAGGGTTTACGTAAACAGCGGACTTAGATGAAGAATAAGCGAATTTTGCTGACATTTCCATTGACATATTGTCGATTTTATTCCATTCTCTTTCATCTACAAATATTAATTCTGTACAATCCTCTGGTTTTTTAAGAATATCCACAACTCTTGGATGATCAGTCCAATTGTCGGTGTCTACCTTATCAACCATAGGATTATCAGACACATTTTGTATATTTTCGTTCAGTCGTTTTTTCTGAGCCCTAGTTAATACTGACATAACATGTTCATTCATCCCTTTTAAGTCCTCACTCGATATTCGAATACGCGACAATGCATCTGCAGCTGCATTGTCTCTTCCTCGAACATATTCAACCTCATAATCGTACTCTTCCAATAATAATCGAAATTTCGTGAGACGACTTGATGGGTTTGTCATGTTGAATAAATAAATTAGTGGTTTGTGGTCAGTTTTGATTATAAACTTTCGTCCATAAAGATAAGGTTTAAAATATTTTACAGACCATACAATAGCTAGTAGCTCTTTCTCAATAGTAGGGTATCGAATTTCAGCTTTATTTAAACTCCTACTCGCAAACGCTACCGGTCTATTATCGCTATTACATAATACCGATCCAATTGCATAACCAGAGGCATCAGTTTGCAAAATAAACCTATTACTTTCTTCTAAATTTGGATATTGTAATATTGGTGGAGATATTAATGCATTCTTTAACTTAGAAAAGGATTCTTGACACTCATGGGACCAAACAAAATGAACATTTTTGCGGCAAAGCTTGTTTAAAGGTAATGATATTTCTGCGAAGTTAGGTATAAATTTTCTGTAAAAGTTAGTAAAAGCTACAAATCTTTTTGTTTCATCAACATTTCTTGGTATGGGGTAATTTTTAACGACCTTAATTTTTTCAGGGTCTGGTTTTATACCTTCCGTAGAAATAATATGACCTAGAAATTGCATTTCCTTCCGTAAGAAATCGCATTTCTCCGGATTCAATTTTAAATTAACTTCACGTAACCTAGTTAAAATATCTATCAGATTTTTATTGTGACTCTCAAGGTTGCGACCAAAACAAATTAAATTATCTAGGTAAATGAATAACTTTTCGTAGGTGAGCCCTGACAACGCAACTGTCATCAGACGAGAGAAAGCACTTGGGCTAATTTTTAAACCCATCGGAAGACGCGTCATTTGATACTGCCCCGACGGAGTAGTGAATGCTGTATATTTTCTAGATTCGGGACTTAAATTTGACTGATAATAAGCTTGAGATAAGTCTAATTGAGAAAAATACATTGCACCGGATAATGAATCCAGAATATCTGTAATATTAGGTAGTGGGAATTTATCATCTAATATCCTGTCATTTAATTTACGAAAGTCAATCACTAATCTCCATTTTTTTGTTTCATCATTAGACTTTTTAGGTACTAGTAAAATGGGACTAGACCATTCACTTTTTGAAGGTTCTATAATACCATCTGACAGCATTGTTTTAATTTGCTTTTCAACTTCAACACGTTGTGAAAATGGTAGTCTATATTGTTTAACATAAACTGGATCTGCATTCGTCTTTAGCTGGATAGTTTGATCGAAAAGATTCGTAGTTGTTAATTTATCATTGGGTAAATGAAAAACATCTGAAAATTTTGCACAAATATTTTGGATCGATTTGCTTTCCTCTTCATTTAAATGACTTAAATTCAAATGTGCAAACATAGTGCGTACTCTATCTCCATCAATATTATTGTTTCTTTCAAAATTTAATATTTCATATTCTGATAATTTGTGTATTTCTGGCCTAAAATAATTTAAATTTACTGTTGTTAACCGAGTATTTAGTATTTGTATATTTATTTTCCCGTTAACCGGTTTACATATACTTCCAGCTAAGAAAACTCCTTTTCCTAATTCATCAGGTATCACTACACATTCATTTTTAAAAGAACAGTCTATTTGAAATATTTTTTCACACCTCGGTGGAATACTTAGAAAATTTGTCGTACCTAATGTACCATTAGTCATAGTAGATGTAACAGTATTGTTATTATTACTTAGTATCAAGGTATTTTTTCAAAATTTAAAATAGCTTTGTATCTTCTCATAAAATCTCGACCAATTATACCGTGTTGCATACATGGTAAGAATTTCATAACATAAAATTTGTGTATAAATTCATTTCCATTTATGTTGAGCGTAATAAAAACATACCCCACGGTTTGTACTTTGCCTCCAATACCATTTATGGAAATGCATTCGGTGTGCATTGGAATATTCCAATGCTTCACCGTTTCATGTTTTAATACCGACAAAGATGCTCCGGAATCTATAAGCAAACTATATTTGGCATCTTGTATTGAACATTCCACCGAACTATTATACTCACAAGCTAATACGAAATTGTTATCGAAAAAACTGCAAAAGTTCGTTTCCATTGTTCTTAGAGTTTGGTAATAACCGATCGTCCGATGTCGTGTTATCTACCGTATTATTCATAAAATGCATACTATTGTTAGAGCGAGTGAAATTTCGGTTATGCTTACCACCATGGAATCCACTTTGTCCACGTCTAGAATAACCTCCACCACGTTGTGGATATGTTCCTGAAATTTGACCACGAGGTTGGCGATTAGCATAAGTTGTATGTAAACTACCCCGCGCCCACTGGTGATTAGATTGTCCAAACCGTCCTGAAAAATTACCTCTGTTGTTGTTTCGAAAATATCTATTATTATTGAATTTTCCTCTATTTCCGAAATACACAGACGGTTCCGGATTCTGTTGACTACTTGATGCCTCTTCATCCTTAGCCGCCCTAATAGTATCTTTTAGACTGGTATAATTACGTGCGGATAGTATAGTGCTTAGCTGTCGATTTCGTAGGCCGTCGTTGAAACTTCTAACTGCAATCTTTTCATTTAATGGACGTAAAACTGTATACGCATTTTGGTCACCGTCGGCTTGGGAAATCGTTAAATCTACGAATAATTGTTCTATTTTACGGCCATAATTATCCAAGGACATGCCATTTTGTTTCAATTCTAGCATTTCCTTATGAATAGAAGTGCTTGATTTTTTACTTAATAATTGCAGACGCATGTCTGCCAGTAGCGCGTCACATGTTTCATAGGTACTTGATAACCTTAGTTTTGCACTTTGATTTAAGCGCGTTTTTTATAAAATTTATAAGCATGTTGTTACCTTGGTCATTAAGTGTGGAACTATACAATTCTATAGCATCGATTAGGTCCTTAGTGATATTCTCATCACCCGTCATAACCGGCAAGAGAGACGTAGCTATCTTAAAATCGAAACTAGCCATGTCGATAGATTCACTGTCGATACCTTCAACAATACTATGAGAAGGGGAGCAGTACTCCTTAGAACATATGCCTTCTATTTCAATATAAATTTGTCTAATCAAATCACAATATGCCTGTATTTCTACCAAAACCGGACTTTTCAATTGTTTCCGCTCTATTTGCTGAGACAAAATAAGCATACAGCCATCAAATTGTCTCCGTAATTGCGTGGCCTCATTTAACTTTTGTTGCAAATATACTTTGGTCCTTCGAGAATAATTAGATTTAACTAAATTAGTTTTTATACTCTTTAACTTATCATAAACAGTTTTTAGCTCCGTGGCCATAACATATTGACACAATCCTTAAACCTTAGGCAAATTACAACATATTTGAATTACGCTAAATTTATCTCTACACCTCAAACTAGTCTATGCAATTATAAGTCCATAAAGTGCTAAAATTAAATCTACATAAAATTATGGCATTTAGTACGTTATAGTCAATAGGTTAGGAAACTTTAACTCAATACACTTTTTTTTTTTTTCACATTTCACGCTTCATTATAGCACAATATCTTTTCGACACTGATATTTTTAACACTGATCTTGCACTTTCATCACTGGCTCCTGTCGATATGGTTGCTGACGGTGCTCGCAGCTCTGCATCACTTGGCGCTGGTGTCCTTCGTACACAACTCGTCCCTCTGGTCGCCGAAAAGACCGCATCAATTGTTGTGTCAAAAATTCGTTTCTAATCCAAGTATGGTGACAGTTTCTATACAATCTATAGACTGCATATAAACCAGCAATTCCAATCATAGTGCACATTACAATTAGCACTATGCTAATGTTTGAAAGGTGGTATTCTTGAATCTTCGCTGAGTTAGATCCTCCGGCAGCATTTTGTGTTATAAAGACTTCTTCCTTTTCGACTTTTGCTCGGCACATTTCGAGTTTGACCACTTTGTATTTGTATATAATTATTTTAATTTATTTAGGTACGTAATTTATACGCGAACGCGCGACGGAACCCGAGTCGGCCGCCTTAATTGGCAGGGTCGCCATGTAAGGTGGTGCATCGGGGAGATTAGAGAAACAACTTTATTGTTTGAAGTTACATTTAATACTCTTCTAAATATTGGATACAATCCGATATATATGAATTACACACTTAGATCTAGCAATGGACATGTATACATACATACACACTACAAGCGTCTGTGGCGCGAATGTCGCATATGTTGGGCGAATAGATATTATTGTTGATTAGTTATAATGGGGATCTCAAAAGTAACCATAAGTTTCATATCGAGTACAAAGTAGTGATAAGAAGTGGCGTGCTATGCTGTGGAGCCACGCGGCTACGGGGTTTATACAGATATCTTATAGTACAACATAATATTGTTATTTACAAATTTACAATAACAATTTTTGTTTAAGAGTCCATGTTTACGCCGTTTGAGCCACGGAACACATGAAGTAAGTGAAGGCAACTCGACGGTTGACAGTAGTTGCCCCACACAATGTGGTTTCTATTGTGCTCACATGCCGACAGATATGTAGACGTTAATGAGAAATTCGCTCCCATGTACGATATTAAATTGTTGTGTACGATTAAATGTGTCGTCGCTATATGGAATGAAATGAAATAAAATGTCGGTTGTACGTTGAAGGTAATAGGAGTAACGGGTCTTTGTAGCCTTGTACTAAAAAAAGCGTTTAAAAAAACAAAAGGTAAAATAAAAATAAACACCTATTACTCATTATTATTAGTCATGTGCATAATAACTGATATGTTACCCAGTTAACTCGCCCACTGATCGTTTAGAAGTCGATGCCACAAGTCCATAGCAAAATATATCTTTATGGTCACAGGAATAATCTGTAATGAAATTGTATTGTAAACAATATAAATATAAGTTAAGGTTTTAATGGATAATTTTGTTTAGAACTTATGGCACCGACTTCTAGCCCATAAGTGGGTGAGTAAGCTATCGGTGCATCATGTCCATCCAGGTATTTGTATGAACACAGTTACAATACATCTTGCGTGAGCGATCTAAAAGCGAACGCAATTATGAAGCGGTGACACGCGGATACAATGCGATGCGGTGCGACGCGACGGCAATGTCATACGTGCATGCGAATCGTTTCGTTTTTGACTTCAGACATTATATCCGAACAAAAATGTGACAGCACCGCATCCAAATAGTGTTGTACGTGTGCGTGATGCTCCCATTCGCTTGTAGATTGCTTCACGCAGGACGTTAGCGTTGGATCAGTGTGCGCGCGGATGGAATGACCCGTAATATGTGAAGAGTAAACTTACTCAAACAGCCATAATTCAAGAGTCCAAGCAATTATACGGGGAAATTTTAAAAATTCGGGATTCCTTTTTCCGCATTCGCACTGCCTTTTTATATTCTGTTATATTCTTATAAAGATAATGACTAATAATAAGTGGGTAATCGATATTTTTTGCTTCTTATTTTACATTTTGTGCTTAGGTTTGCTTTGTTTGAACGTGCGTAGTATCTAATTTTAACATATTCGTGCAGGTATTTAATAAGTATAGGCGGTTTCACTGTATTATGTGTTCCGTGGCTTTATTTATTGAAAACGTTTACCTTTACATGTGCCTTTAATGTGTTCAGAGAATATTTGTTATGTTACCTCATTGTAAACAAACTATAATAAAGGATTACTGAAACAATCAATATTGTTTCCACTACACCTATAATTTGTGTTTCATTTACTACACACACCACTTTTGCCAGTTAAAAATGAAATCATAATTATTGATATGAAATAAATAACATAATCAGAATGTGAGAGGACACCGAAAAAAAAAACATAAATAAATAAAAAATATTAGACACGTTTTTTTTTATTTTCTCGTATTAAGTTGCAATACTTAGATAAAATGGCGCTAAGTTTAGGAGTGGGAGGTCGTTACGTCATAACGTGCTACAAAATGTGACACGTTGTGATGTCACACTATATTTCAAATTAATATACCGTTGAAAGTATTTAATTATGTGTATGAAAAAATTGTGTCTAAAGTTTTAAATTAATCTACCACACGTACACACCACATTAAAATAAAATGTGGGAAACTACCGTATTGTCCGCGCGCGGTCACGCCGCATCTTATAATCTCTTTGGGTCACGCGACTGCCCGTCACAGCAGTTTTGTGTATCATGATGAAGTTATATAACTAAGTATATAATTATTGTTACCGTAAATGTTGTTAGTGTGTCTGCGCAGCCACCTCCTCCAAACGGTGGTGAACATCTTTTCCTGGAAGTTGAACTACATCTCTAAGATTCTTCTTGGAGTTTTCTACTGTCCCTCTCTCCGTATAACTTTCTTTCCTTCTTTCGAGCTCCTTTTGGAATCATTTGTTCCTTTGTACGATCACACCCTATTATTGGGAGACTTTAACACCTGTATTTTAAAAAATGACTCCCGTTCTACCTTTCTTTCTCAAGTCATTGAATCAGCTAATCTCTCTTTACTGAATCTAAATGCTACTCACTATTTCCCTAACTCTTTTCCCTCTCTACTTGATTTAATTTTAGTTTCTTCTCCCAATCATATACATAGCTAAACATGGTCAGTGTTCAGCTGATCATTTTTCTTACCATGACTTAATTTATGCTTCTTATAAGATTCGACCCCCTAAGCATAGTTCGAAAACTCTTTTTCTTCGCAATTTTGAGGGTATGAATGTCGATCGCCTGCGGGAGGATGCTGGCAATATAGACTGGACACCTTTGCTTCAATCTATGTCGGTGGATGAACGGGTTGAGATTTTGACCACCAACATTATCCAACTGTCCGGGCCGTTAGGGTCAAACACCTTCCAGCACCTTGGCTTAGTGATGAAATTAAAAATCTTATTGCTTGGAAACCAGCTGCGACGCTGCGAGGTTTAAGTACAAAGTCCGGCCAAACGACGTTAATAAAAACAAATACATTGCGATCAGGAACCACTGCAACAAGCTGTACCGAAATGCAAAACGCCAACACATCCATTAATCGCTTGAAAACAGTGATTCGGCTAAGGTCTGGAAGTTTCTTAGATCATTGAAAAAAAAATCAATTCCAGATAATCTTAACTAAGTATAACTCTCTTAACTGTCATTTCTCTTCTTCGCCTGTTTAGGATAGGATCTTTCTCTCCTACCGTTACCCGTTATATAATTATCTCTTTAACTTCAGTCAGTTTACCGGAGGGGGGGGGGGGGGTGTTAGAAGGAGCATCTTGTCGTCTACTATCAATGCCGTTGGTAGTGACTGCGTTAACCGTAAGATGCTCATCCCCATCCTTGATGAAATTATTCCTATAATGCTTTTCGTCCTTAACTATTCAATTACCGAAGGAACTTTCCCATTTTTAACAACATCCTAGAGCAGCTGGTCCATCAACAAGTCAGCAGGGTCCTATCCCAGGATAGCCTCCTGAGTCCCTTCCAATCTGGGTTTCGGCCAGGGCACTGTACTACAACGGCTCTTGTTAATATCACAGACGATATCCAGTCAGGCATGGAGTCAGGAAAGTTAGCGGTCCATGGACTCCTAGATTTCAGTAACGCTTCACCGTTGACTTTGACTTACTGCTTAGCGTGCTCAGCTCCTATGGCATGTCCCCGTCGGTAATTGACTGGTTTCATAGTTACCTGTTCAGCCGCCGTCAGCGTATTCACCTTGAGGATTCTAGGTCTTCATGGTGTTCCACGTTAAGAACCTGGGATTTACATCGACAGTAACCTCTCCTGGAATAAACAATTACAGGTAGTCAGTCGAAAGTTGTTTGTTTCGGCGGGCTCCTTGAAGCGTCTTCGGAATTTCTTACACTTTAAAACCAAAATTGCACTTGCACAGTCTCTTATTCTATCAATATTCGACTATGCTGATGTCAACTATCTAGATCTCACCCAAGAACAATTGGATAAGCTTGAGCGCATTCAAAACCTTTCTATCAGATTTATATTTGGTTTGCGCAAGTATGATCATGTTTCTGAATTTCGTAGTAAGCTCAAATGGCTTCCTATCCGCTTTCACCTCCCCTCTTTGAGGAGTAGCTTGAGAGACGCTACGGCGTCCTCACATGGAAGTTTCGGGAGGTACCTGTGTCTGATGGGGCGGAGGAAACGTCCGGGTGTCATCACTACGGGGACCGCCCTGAGGTCACGGTGGAACACACTGTAGCGGAATGCCCTGCGTGGGCTGAGCACCGCCGTGCCCTCAGGGAAGTGATCGGCGATGGCGACCTCTCGCGTCCGGGCCTAGTGCAGGTCATGATGCGGAGCGAGGGGCACTGGGGTGCCGTCTCCTCCTTTTGCGAAGCATTTATGACGATCTCCGGCCACCGTTAGCGCGGGCCTGCGGACGGCCAGCATGGGTGGCTCCCCGTCCGACCAGAAACACACCCGAGCGTACGGCGCGTCGCTTTCCGCGCGCGCCTCAAAGAGCCATCAGACCACCACAGATGGGGCCCAACTGGGCCGATGCCGATTTGGAGTCACGGAGAACCTAACGGGTAACCGGGGCTCCGGCTCGACGTGCAGGAGAAGGAACGGGGTGGTTTTTAGTCAGTAAGAGTCTGACACTCCCTCCCGCCTCGCCCAGGCGGGAGCAGTCATTCGATAATTTTCACCCCTTAAAAAAAAATCCGCCTTTGCCGGAACGCTCATATCCTTTCTTTACTATTTAATGTACATTTTAATCCGGCTGCCTCTTTCTAAAGGAACGATTTCAGTTCCTGGGTGACACACATTCGAAGTTCCTGAGATCATCGGAAAATCTTAAGCTCAGCATATTTGTACGCACTCCACTTGCTTCTATGACAAGTTTTTCACAATACAAGCGGCTCGGTTGTGGAATGCGCTGCCGGTGAAAGTGCGACGTGCTCAAACTCTGGGTCAGTTTAAAGGACGTGTGAAGGATCACTACCTGTCACTGTAGATATGCTTTTGTCCTTTCATTATGAATAAACACACCACACACACTCACACGCACACACGTAACTATATGTAGTTATCATATTACATTTAAGTATATATTTAAAACCTACATAGTATTGCCCATTTTTATCATTTTATTAGTATGTATTACATGTAGTCTGGAAGTTTTATTAATTATTTAATTAATTTGTTTTTCTTCTATTTTGGTTTTCGTTTATTGTGCAACTACTACCCATTCCCAGATTCTTTTCAAAAATTCCATCCAAAGGTTGTCTGGAAGAAATCACCGCGTGTGATAAGACATTGTACTCAAATTACTATTGCAATGTTTACAATTTTTTTTTCTGTGTGTGCAATAAAGTATAAATAAATAAGTTATTATCTGATTTCAGTAGCGTTGTTTCAACCAATTGACAAATCCAAAGACACCATTGATTTCAAAATGTTTAATGTAAAATGTTAATCTTTAGCATTTACAGCAGTCTTTCTCAATTATACAGACAGGATTTTATTGCTGTTTTTTTCAGGAACTTTGAGTTGTGAATGCAACTCATTACAAAATATATAAATAAATAAAGAATACAGAAAAGTTAGTTTCCATGGGAAACAAGCATTTGCAAACGACTCATGTATTGCCAGCAGCATTTTGTAGCAGATGGGTTATTTTTATTAAATTAAGCTCATAAATGTTAACAACTCAAGTCATGTAAATAATTGGGTGTAATTCCGTGATAACGAAAAATGAAACCTCAAATAACGTACAATAAATAACGATACCTGCAATTATGCATGTTACCATTAATAATTAAATCTGTAACATTCACTGTTTCGAATCAAACTAGGCACTTTCAAAAGGTCAAAAATTGAATTATCCATCCATCCATCCTCGACTGCACGTTTGTTGCGGCGGCTGGGCAACCAGCTGCCGTGCAACGGGTCGCAGGTTCGATTCCCGCACGGAGCAACACTTTGTGTGATGCACAAATTGTTGTTTCGGGTCTGGGTTTCATTGTGTATGGGAACTTGTATGTTTGTAAACGCACCCACGATACAGGAGAAAATCCTAATGTGGGGCAACGAAAATTAAATATGTAAAAAAATATACATCTGTCTGTCAGTGAAGCTAGACTGATTTTAAAACCATGAAATATTGCAAAGTTTTGGCGAAAATAAAATCGCCTCACCAGTGCTAGATTCTAAAACATAATGGGAACACACGATTACGCGGTAACTGCACAGACGGTTTTGACAGACTTAAAAAAGGAAGGACGATATTCGAAGTTTCACTTTTGGTCACAATACAACACATCACACTCTAAGTTATTATTTTTTTTTAGTCAAATGATAATCTGCAAACAAATGTGAATATTTCAGAATAGATCACATGAGAATAATAAAGTAACATTATTAAAATATGAATTTATAAATGCATCAGTTTGCAATAATTTAATAATAATTCTTGTTATTATAATGCTTCGCGCATTTTAGCAATATCAAGTATAATAATGTTGTACAACAATAGTATGGCAACATTACAAGACATGCCCTGGCAGAACATTGCTGAGATAGTTTCAATTTTTCCAGAAGTTAGGGTTTTGTTGCAGTCTTCTCTCGAAATTTTGATACCATGTGTGAAGAGTATTTAAGGGAATATACGACACGCCAGGAGTCGGCGTCATCTGATCCTGTGTCACAGAGAATGAAGCCACGAAGTTCACCAGATGTTCCAGCATCTTTTGTGCAAATGTAATGTAGTTATTCTGTTGTTGCGCCTGTAACCATAATTAATTTGAATTAGAACATAATTCATGACAAGTTTGTAATTTTTCTTTGATTGTCCTGCTTTGTAATGTTGCTTTGAGTCTCCTTTAGGAATGTTTCAATTGAAAGTTTAATTATTGTTATTATTAGATTTAATATTATATTCCACATTTGTACACCAGAAATGGTTAAACATGTTGATACTATGCTCACTGCTCATCTGTACATAATGATGTATTATTATTTCACACCATGTTTTTGCAAATAAATAATCTTGGTCTTTGACCCTTTTACAATAGTGAAAGAATTTAAAACCACTAGTCCACTAGTTTTTGTGTGAAATATTACTAACATACATACAATAACAATTATAAAACACTAATGATTCTTCTTTATTATAATACTAGCTTTTACCCGCGGCTTCGCTCGCGTCTCAAAAGGATAAAAAGCCAATGTGACATATACCAATACACAAAGCGCCATCTATACCAATACTTTTGTTTTCCCTCGGGAATTTCAAATTTTTCCGGGATAAAAAGTATCCTATTATTTAATCCGGACTTCTAACTTTCCGTCTGCAAAATTTCAAAGCAATCGGTTTAGTAGTTACGGAGTTAAAGTGGAACAAACAAACAAACTCACTTTCCGATTTATAATATTAGTAAGGATTCATTAATAAACATGTAAACTACATTTTAGATTATGTTTAACCTTTAACGTCACGGGCGGGGTCTAAGCAGACCCCACGTGCTCTATTTTAACTGTATTTTTTCAAATTGACAAGCTACGATCGCACCATTTTGGCTAATCTCCGTGCGCCGCCGACGCTCTCGACGGGTGGACGTACGTGGCGTTGCCGCTAAGGTAAGTACATTTTTTACTCGTGTGGGGATACCTGTGGACCCCACCCGTGATTATACGTAGCAACTTTTTTCACTTTGGCAATTTTTCAATTTGTTGTTTTTTCAGAATTACTGTTGAAAACTGCAAAAATGACTCGCCAAATATCAGAAGACGCCAATTTGACCAAAGATATTAGAGCTATAATATACAAATTGATCGACAAAGAAGAGCCTTTGCCTAGTTCAGATGAGGCTGGTCCTAGTGCTGCAAAAATGAAGCGGAGGTGCTCTATTTGTCCAAGGTCTAAGGATAAAAAGAGCATTATTGTTTGTAGATCATGCAAAAAAAACTATTTGTAAGCCTCATTCAGTAGCAATTACTTATTGTTAACCATGCCAACCAAAATAATTATTTTTTACTTTAGCGCCCGACAGTAATATTGAGGGGTTGTGATTTTTTGTATTAGTATGATTATTGTTTAGTTTTCCTTAGATTACGTTTCTTTGTTTCCTATTTTATTAGAAAGTAAGAATATATTAGTCAAAAGTTGACAATATAAAAAAAAATAAAAACATTAGTTAAGTGCCTTAAAAAATTGCTATGTACAAGATGTTATTTCGTTAAATGTTTTTTCACTATGTAAAGACTGATTGTTTTGCTAATAATAAAAAGTTTTTATACGTATTAATATGTCTTTTCTTTTAATCTAAATTAATATTTAAGATTTTTTCAAAAATACGCAGCAAAAACGTGAAATACTTATGGGGATACTTCCGGACCCCATGCGTGACGAAACGTTACCATAAACAATGCGTGTACTTAAAGGTTAACAACTAGTAGATATTCTCGCCCGGTTTCCCCTGTTGCTCGACTCCTATTAGTTGTATCACTTCTTCCCATGGGCATTTATCATGTTGATAGTAAAGAATACCTATTCTATGCTATGATTCAACAACCTAGGTTTTAATAGAAACCATTTGGATTAATTCCACCTGTTCTTCTTTCACATCATATCCAGAACAAGTTTTGAGAACTATAACCACCATGTACATACATACATGGAGACAAACTTTAACCAAATACATAAGTAGTTGATGTACTTACTACAGAGGAAGCAAGCAGTTGAACATTTGATTCAGGTTCAATAGCTATACCAATCTGTGCGTTGTGACAAATCTGTTGCTGACCAAACGCACTTATAAATTTATTTTCACCTGAAAATGAGAACAAAATACAGAAAAATTTGCAATTATTGAACATAGTGTATGATAGCTGTTGTAATATTGCTGTATTGTTTCACATTTAGTGCACTATTTTCATTTATAAGCAAAGGTTGACAAGGAACACAAAATACCACAGTCCTTCAAACCAAATGGACAAGAAGAAGTCTAACAATTAATGCAATTTGTAACAAGCCTCAGTAATCAATATTACATATAGTAACATCCTTGATAATATTTTTATAAAATAGAAATAATGTTATACAATTCAATAAAAATTATGTGGCATTATGTGCTCCTCTGCCTACAGCCCTTTGTGGATAAAATGCGTGACTGAATAACAGAAAACATATTTGAATTAATTAAACAATCTTACTTGATAATTCGTGCAGCTTTTTCAAAGTTCCTATTTTAAAGATAGCGGAGGGTTTTGTATTGGAAATATGTCCTAGAAGTTGCCAGTTGGGTGGTGCAGCTGGGTCTGGCCAGCTCCAATACACCATGCCCACGGTACCGGCCGGCAGTGGCGCGACACCCGTTAGGAAGACCACCGCATGGTTAATATTATCCGCTTCCGTGATTGTGATGAGAAACTGAGTCTCAGATAGTGGCGCAAAGTTTGTCTGCACCTACATTCACAAAACACTTTTAAAAAAGGTTCTAAGATCAATCACTCTGATGTAAGCGTAAAGTTCTACTTACGAGGCGCCCTGATACAATTAACCCAAAAACATTAGACATGTTTTATATTTGTGTATTTATACGATAGTCACGATCACGAGTATACTGCAATATCCTTAAAATACTTTACTTAATTCTAGATTCTAGAATATTATTCTATCGAATCAATGCTTAGCACACAAAAGCAACATTTTTAATCTAGATTTTCTTCTGTCACTGTCAGTAACGTCATTTGTCAATTCAGTCTAGTGATGTACCAATTCAATTTATTACCTCAAGATTAGGACGATTATGTTTGATTCAGACAAAATTAAGAATGTTTAATGTGTTTAATTATTTATTTGCAATTAATTTGTATAATAACTTTAGTAAGACATACAAAATTAATTATTATGATTTCACATTCACGCAACGTGGTGAAGGTTGCGCGATGCGCTTCATCATGAATACGAGCCCCTAGAATTGCTAGATACTAGTCGAGTTCCCCGTCAAATCGTTACATGAGTAAGCGGGATGATAAATGATAATGATATCCATCATTCTTTGTCCTTGTTCTGTCAAGCAGCAGCTTAATAGCGTCTCGTTCTGTAACATGTAGCCACACTGCTCCACACATAGACAAATATTGAGATGTAGCCAGGTTTTCGCGTGCCGCCATATTGTTATCTTTACCTACAACTGTACGTCAATGTCGTTATAAAAGAAAATATTATTAGTTTAAACAATTAAACGTTACATTAGACTGCCTCGTTAGCCGAGCGGTCACAAGTGCGACTGCCGGGCAAGGGGTCTCGGGTGCGATTCCCAGGTCAGGCAAAGTATTACTGGGTTTTTAAAAAATTCTTAGTAGTAGCACGGAGTCTAGACTTGTGCCCGGTATATGGCAATAGGCTCACCCCCTATTACATGAGACTTATAACATAAATAATGAAAAGTTGGTGTCACATTGTACAGTGGCATAATGTGTCATAATGTGATGATAAAAATCGTGATGTTATGATGATGATGATGAATGGTGAAGTGCAGTGCCTACCGATGTGGCAGCAACAGCTATAAGAAAATAGCAGAAGTAACCTTTCATCGGTAGGTTTTTATTTACGTTGTTGTAAACGAAAACAAATTGTCGATATTTTGAAATAAATCAACTGTTTTGATAATGTTTAATCGTTTATAACGAAGCCTTATTACAAAATTAATAAACAAATAAAATTAACTTAATTTTTCATTCGAATGGCACAGTTCAAGTACTTGTAGAATTAACAGAGGACGGATTTAGTGTTTCAAAAGGTTAAACTTGTTTACTACCTGTAATAATAATAATTATTATTACCTGCTATTCTTAACCATAACAATTGCCTTAATAAAATTATTACTCTCTCTTCAACTTTCTTAACGGGGCTCCGGCTCGACGTGCAGGAGAAGAAACGGGGTAGTTTTTAGTCAGTAGTCTGACATTCCCTCCCGCCTCACTCAGGTGGGAGCAGTCATTCGATGATTTTACCATCTTAAAAAAAATATTCATTATACTCTTTGCTGACTACAAACCACCCTGTTCCTACTCCTGCTCGGTAAACCTTTAAGCCTTCCACGGCTTCGTATTTTTTTTATGGCATAATCCGGTAAACGAGCAGACGGATCACCTGATGGTATGCAATCGGCGTCGCCCATGGACACTTGGAACACCAGAGTCGTTACAAGTGCGTTACTTTTGGGATTAGGAATTTGACGATTGTTGGGGACTAAGGGATTAAGAAGGGGGTACGGGTAATTGGGCATCCAGTAACCTTACTCACGCGATGAAACACAACGCAAGCTTTGTTTCAAGTCGGTCTTTTGTGAGGCCTGGTGGGTCTCACTCCGGTCGAGTCGACCCAGCCCTACTGAACCATATCTGTAGTGGTCTGGTGCCCCTTTAAGTCGCGCGCGAAATGCGACGCGCCGTACATTCGTGGTTCTGGTTGGGCAAAGAGATATCCTTGCTCGCCGTTCGCTACCCATGCTTACAGTGGCCGGAGATCGTGGTCAGATGATCCCTGATACCGAAGTGTCTCCCGCGATGGCTAGGGCGTGAGGAGGTTGACTACCTCCTCTTTAACTAGCATGACAGTTTCGTAGAAGGAAGAGACGGCATCCCAGTCCGCCTCGCTTCGCACCATGGCTGAACCGGAGCAAGACGCGAGAGATCGCCGTCGCCGACCACATCCCTAAGGACTCGGTGCTTAGCCCTTGCAGGGCACACCGCTACCGTATGCTCCACCGTGTCCTCCGGACGGTCCTTGGAGTGATGACACCCGGGAGTTTCCTCCCGCCCAAACCAGTAACCAGAAACAGGTAGATACCTCCCGAAACTTCCATGTCCGGTTAACACCTGCGTGAGGCGGTAGATCATTAAAATTTGACGAGTGCATGCAACTTACATAATAATGATGAGTGACTTACGTGACGTTGCCGCTCTGTGAAAACAATTTTGTTTGTTTTCACGCAAAATGCAAGCATACGCCTTGCATAAAATGCAAGCCTGTTACAGGTAGGTATTACAAAGGTGTTAGGGGTAAGGTGGCGCGACCGCCCAAGGCCAGTGCAATCGAAGAGTCCCTTTGATTGGCATAGGTTTTAAAGTGTACGAGTACGAGCATTTTTGCCCAAATTAGATTTAGGAAAGTTGTTTGCATATTATTAAGTACCTAGGTATGAATAGGTAGCTAGGCCAGGAATCGTGAACCATTAGGACGTACGCAGCATATATTTCGGCCTCATCAATGATTACGTAATTGAAGGCCAGCAACGCACTTTGGTTATCGTGGCCCGCTTATCATCGGGAGGTTTGTTGGTACTATGTAGGTCATGATCCTCACCACGACAGCCATGGCACTCAGATGCTCGGATGGAAACTTGGAAGCGACCTGCAATCAGTGGCTCTTCACGACTTTAGTCCGTTTATCCTTTACAAGGTAAACCTTGTGAACAACAAATTTAATACTTGCCTGCTACTGCCACCTCGACTATAGTAATAAGTATAACTTATATCTAGGATACTAGCTGATTCCGCGCGGTTTCACCCGCTCTGCTCGGCTCCTATTGAAGAACCTCCTTCACAAGAATAATTATTCACATCGGACCAGTAGCTCCGGAGATTAGCGCGTTTAAACAAACTGTTCAGCTGTATACATGTGAGCTATCTCCCCGCACTGCATGCTGCACTATTTACTGGACACCTACTTGTATGATAGCGTACAAAATCCGCATATCGGTAAATGCAGGCCAGAAAGCTTCTACACGATATAGGTAGAGAGAGATCCTACGCGGTAAGAAACTCGAAGCTTTGTAAATTATAATGTGATAAATATATATAATCATAGAAAATAGGTGAAAGCAGTTCTATATACTGTGCGTGTGCTTATATTTTTGTAGTTTGTTATCCTTATGTTGCAAAAATATTCAAGTGACTGAATTAAAACAACATATAAATTAATAATCTTTTATTTTAATGAACGGTCAAACATAGTCGAAAACACTTAGTTACAAATAAACAGGAACTAGCACCTGAAATGACATAACAAATAACAAAACAAAGGTGTTTGTAATACGAAACTCGAATGAAGTAAGTTAAATGCATTTAATTGAATCAGAGAGCAGACGAAGCTGAAAGTCAAACAGATAAATGTTAACTGGATAGTGATAACAAGAGCAAATAATAGATAAGACAGTTGCGACGCGATAGTAAGCAAGAAGAGACGCCACTAATACAATTATTATAAATAAAAAACATTTATTATCACACAAACGATTGCATCATATCATCCTAACAACCAACTCTACCCTAGTGCTACTATTTCAAATAACAGGTATAATATATTAGATTTGTTATATTGCAGCATAACATAAAGGTACACAATCAAGTACCTACTTTACACAAATTATTACATCTTTTGTTCTTGTTTACATAACTTACTCAGTAAATTGCTACTTTTAATAAGTCTAATATTTATTAATAATCTTTAATTGTTTTAAAGAAAATAATACTTTAAAGTTACATCATGAGAATAACATCCTAATATCTACTAAGTAAGCCTAATTATTCAGCAACCTTAACTAAGTTATAATTATTATTGAATATGTATTTAGTTATTGTTATTGTACTGTGATATCAATTAGTGTTTTCTAATAATCTTCATTGAGGTTTCTTTCTTTAATCTCTCATGTAAGGATAGTCGATGTCACGTAGAGGTACAAAGGTCTCTTTGATGGACTGGGGTGTTGTCCAGCGCATGACATAGCCAGGCCCGCCTGCTTTATCATTGGTACCAGACATGCGGCCTCCACCAAATGGCTGCTGGCCCACAACTGATCCAGTTGACTTGTCATTGATGTAGAAATTGCCAGCAGTCATCTTGAGCTCATCCAGAGCCTTCTGTAGGAAGTTCTTGTCCATTGAGAATACAGCACCAGTCAATGCAAATTTAGTAGATGATCCAATGAGCTTCATGGTCTTGTCCACTTCACTATCATCATACACATACATGGTTAACACAGGGCCAAAAATCTCTTCAGTCATAAGCTTGTCATGGGGATCAGTGGTCTCAATTATGGTGGGCTGGACAAAGTAGCCTTTGCTGTCATCAAATTCACCTCCAGCAATGATTTTATTCTTAGAGTTTTTCTTTGCATTTTTTATGTAACCTGTGATTCTGTTAAAGGCTTTATCATCAATCACCGCAGCGGCAAAAATTTTGAAATCTGATGGGTCACCAATCTTTAATTTAGCTTGCTCTTGAACTAATCCATGCTTTATTGGCTCAGCAAGAGATTTGGGTACATAAATTCTTGAGCATGCCGAGCACTTTTGTCCACAGTATTCAAATGCTGAGCGAATTGTAGCAGTGACGACAGTCTGGATATCAGCTGAAGGATGCACAAAGTGATAATTTTTTCCTCCGCATTCACCAATCAGCCGAGGATAATTTTTATAGTGGCTGAGATTTTTTCCAACTTCATTCCACAGCCAGTTAAATGTTGGAACAGAGCCAGTGAAGTTAATGCCTGCTAGATGAGGGGACGAAGTAATTGTGCGGCCAAATGTGGGCCCATCAGCTGGAACAAAGTTAACAACACCATCTGGAAGCCCTGCTTCACGCATTATGTTAAAGATCCGCCAATTTGACAAAAGTGCTGTATCAGATGGTTTCCATACAACACCATTGCCCATAAGAGCAGGGGTGTAGGCCAAGTTGCCCCCAATAGCTGTGAAGTTAAAAGGGCTGATTGCAGCAATAAATCCGTCAATGCCACGGAATCGAAGAGAATTTCTTGTCACTGATGGGTTTTCTGAAATAGGTTGATATTTGGCATTCTCTTTTAAAAAGTATACATTGAATCTGAAGAAATCAATGAGTTCAGCAGCTGAGTCTATCTCTGCTTGTATTACACTCTTAGACTGACCCAGCATAGTAGCAGCATTGAGTTTTTGCCTGTGGGAACCAGCCATCAGTTCTGCAGCATTTTGCCAGATACGAATACGCTCCTGCAGAGGTGTTCGATCCCATCGTGCTTGAGCATCTACAGACACTTTGATAGCTTTTTGTATGGTTTTCTCACTCGCGTAGTAGAATTTTGCAATTTTTTTGGAGTGGTTATGAGGCATCACCTGGTAACGCGGCTCGCCTTCCTTAATAGTTTCTCCGCCAATGACGATAGGCACCTCCTCAGTCACAGCAGCGGTTTGCTTCAGCTCCTCAGCAAGCGCAGTGCGCTCGCCACTCCCCTCACGATATTCAAAGACCGGCTCATTCTGCACACCGAAGTCCTGGAACTTGGGCAACTCCACAATGCTGGAAAGTGAGCGCTCGAACGTTCGCCCGCTACGTACGGTTCTTGTCCATACAGCCCACATCTTAACGAAGATAATTGTGATATATCCAAATGCAAAGTATTGTCAAGAGACCTTGTTACGTAAACCGTATCGTTCGTTCGCAAACACGACAAAATGTGTACGACGGTAGCTAACTGACGTCGATAATACTTTCCACAGAAGCTGTGACCTTCACTGATCCATCACATTTTCAAACATTATGAAACGGCACCGAAATACGATTTGGTAGATTAGCAACGTAACTTGTATATTGTTTGTTTGATATATTTTATAATTAAACAGATTTGTCCACTTCTTTAGTTTTAGAATTGTCGTACTGACATTATTTATGTGTTTAAAATGTTCGTTATAATCAATTCTGTATTTTATGGATTTCAATCAGTATCTCTTTTTCTAATACAGAGCCTAGCAGCTGGCTGGCTGCTTTGGCTGACATTTGACTTGATTGCGAATACTGCAACGCGCACATTATCGACCTAGTCGAATCGTGCTGTGTGTTTGGTACTATACTTGTCGAAATCTTGGTGTCCCTCTCTCTCTTGTTATTTTCTTGCCCCAATTTAATGACTCAGAGTGAGATGAAAGTATTTTAATTCCTGTATTTATTTCCTATTGAGAACCAGAGAGAGATAGAAAATATTGAGTTCCTATCCTGTTTCACAGATTATTTAAGGGAAAATCGTAGAGTGGAATATCATTGAATTTGAGATTGGGAAATAACCTGAGAAATATAATATATTTTTTGTTGCGTTTTTGACATAATATTGATTTCATAATGAACTCAAACGCATTTATTTTAATTAAACCATAATTTGATACTTTTGAAACGTCAACAAATATAAAATAAATAATAGTCTATCAGTTTGTTCGTCAGTGAAGCTAGGCGCCAGGCGAATGTAATTTGAAGGCCTAGATCGTAGTCGAAATTCAAAATACGTACCTATTACTGCATTTTTTTTTAACTTATATAGGATATGGAGTATTGGCGAGATAAACTTGCCATCATCGATTCGACCAGTATAACCTACCGATCGGCCACAAAAATCTTTACAAGAATGTAGTAGAATTGTAAAGGTAGGGAGAGTAGGGAGACCTAAACCCAGAAGTTCGACAATCATGTGTTCATGGCCGATCAGCCTGATAATATTAATAATAAAATATCATTACTTTGTAATTGAGTATCCTATCCCACAACCCTTAGAGGCGGATTCAACCTAGAAAGCACCTTATATGCTATTCCCTGTACTCCAAAGTCTTCCCATTCTTGTAGCGTAAAGCCTATGTCCGTCCTCTTCCTAAAATATAACCACACACTTCCGTCCTATATCAATTCTTCCCTTCCTGTCAAAGGTGCTCGAGGCCTGTGTCCATAAGCAAGCTCTCGTTTATAAGTCCATTGCAATCCGGATTCAGGCCCGGGCACAGTACTGTAACCGCTCTCCTTAAAGGAGGCTTATTGGCGATGTGAAGGCGGGGATGGAGGATACCAGGATTACAGTGTTGGTTTTGGTGGACTTTTCGAATGCCTTCAACATGGTCAATTCCGACATTTTGCTAGCTATCCTATCCCAACTTTCGGTTTCTGATGGTGCACTGGATTGATTATCATCGTATCTTCAGGAACGTCAGCAATTGGTCCAGGTTGGCGAGGCTTCGTCGAACTGGTGCCATTTAGAAGCTGGGGTTCCTCAAAGCGGAATTCTGTCTCCTCTTCTATTCTCCATCTTCATACACCTTATCACTTCCGAACTTCAGTGTGCGTACCATCTGTATGCCGACGACCTGCAAGTGTACTGTCAAGGCAAGATTGAAGACTTACCTGATGCAGTTGCGAAGGTGAACGCAGACTTGACTGCCATATCTAACTGGTCTGGGAAATTTGGCATTAATGTCAACCCGAGCAAGTGTCAGGCGATAATAGTAGGTAGCTCCCGCACTTTGTGCTAGGTTAACAGTGCAACGGTACCGCCAGTCCGGTTTGACGGTGCGGTCATTTCATTTGGTGGTGATGTCAAAAATCTTGGGTTGCACATCGACGGCAACTTAACCTGGCGTGCTCATGTTACTAATGTCTGTCAGCGAGTCACGGGGACGTTGCGAGCCCTGTATCGGTTAAAAAACTTCCTTCCGTTGTCGACCAAGGCGATGCTTGTTCAGTCCTTGGTTTTCCCGATAATTGATTACTCTGATGTGTATTACTACGACCTGAATGCAGACATAACATAACATCACGCCTTTTATCCTCGTAAGGGTAGGCAGAGGTGCACATTATGCCACTGTACAATGTAACACCCACTTTTCACTATTTATGTTGAGTCCCATGTAATAGGGGGTGAGCCTATGGACCTGAATGCAGATCTCTTCAATAAACTTGACCGCCTTCTAAATAACTGCATTCGATTCGTTTTTAACCTTCGTAAATACGACCATGTCTCTGTATATCGGTTGCAACTAAAGTGCCCATACGTCACTGCAGGAAACAACGGGCGTTAACCACTTTATTCTCTCTTCTTAATTACCCCAGTTCTTTCTTTCTTTCTTTCTTTTTAAAAAAACGTTGCCCCACACTAGGATTTTCTCCTGTGTCGTGGGTGCGTTTACAAACATACAAGTTCACATACACAATCACACCCAGACCCGCAACAACAATTTGTGGATCACACAAAGTGTTGTTCCGTGCGGGAATCGAACCCGCGACACGTTGCACGGCAGCCGGTTGCCCAGCCACCGCGCCAACCGTGCAGTCAGTTCTCCTAGCTATCTATCCTCCTATTTTCAGTTCATAAGTGCAAACCAAAGCAAATATCTTCGTTCCACTAATAATCTTCTTCTACAATGTCCCACACACCGGACCGACTTCCTTCACTCTTCATTGTCCAATCCATTTTGCTGTGGAATGCGCTGCCCACGGATGTCAGGACGGCAACCAGCCAGCTAAGTTTTAAAGTTAAGGTTCGTGAACTATTGCGAAGGGAACAGACAGACGCATCACGTACTTAATTTATCATTTTACCACCACCCTACACGTGACCCCCGGGTGGTGCCAAAGAACAACAACGCCGAGTCGTAGGCGGCGGTCAACTAACCTACTAAATCATGTCACGTAAGAACGGTGGCCTTGGCTTAATCACCTAGGCTAAGAGGAAGAAAATCTCCATAAAAATAACTTCGGATTGAAGTTATTTTTTATTAAGGTGGGTTACGCGCCGAAAGGACGAATGGCTGAGGGATTTCAGTCACTAGCGCCAACTTTGGTGGATCTGGTCACGCCATTGTATAGTACCTTCTCACAGGAATGGGTGCCACCCTGTGAGCGACCCATAATTCGACTCTTCTCGTGGGAACAAATATGAAATCTAATTCCCCTAAAAACACTCAACCAGAACACAAACAACTAACACAGCAAGCACTCCTCTCAAGCCTTTTTAACAGACAACGCTCGTCATCCCTTTCCGAACTGGCAAGGTCACCACAAGACACCCATACAGTTGATACAAATGAGACCAGAAACGCAATGGAAGCAACCCTGCTCGACTTGCCTTGACAGGGGTCATGTCATACCTGACCATCAATTCGGAATTTCGAAAGCAGCACTCCACCACTGAGCAGGTACACAGAGTGTACAATAAGACAATTTCTTGACGTCCAACAAGCATTCGACCGTATCTGGCATAGAGGGCTACTCTACAAAATTAAAAAGTACCTACCACATTCCTACTACCTACTGTTGGAGTCCTATCTTAGTGACAGAATGTTTCAAGTAAAGCTGCGTGATGCAAGATCTTCTCTTTTTAACTGCAGAGCCGGAGTTCCTCAAGGCTCAGTACTTTGACCGGTTCTCTACAATATATTCACCAGTGTAGCACACAGCTGTAGCAACCTTTGCTGACGACCCAGCCTTCCTCAGTTGTAACAGTGACCCCAATGTGGCAACCAGACAACTGCAGACACAGCTCGATGCCACTAATGCCTGGCTGACTAAGTGGCGCATCAAAGCAAGCGCCTCGAAGTCGCACCACATCACATTCACCCTGAGGCGCAAAACTTGCCCTTTAGTCAAACTAGGCTCCGACTCTTTGCCGCAATCGACCTGCGTTAAATACCTTGGATTTCACCTTGACCGAAAGATGACATGGAAAGATCACATAAAAACGAAACTCTGGCTTCTTCAAGTGCATAATTGGTTCACCATTAATAATCTAGCACTTAATGAGAAAAAACAAAATGTATTAAATTCAGTTTACCAAACGTGCGTAGTAACGATTGTGATATTGTTTTGAACGGTCAAAAGTTAGAATTTGTCGACGAGACAGTATTTTTAGGCATTACGTTAGACAATAGGCTCACTTGTTTCACTTGTTTCACAATGGGATCCACATATAAAGGCGCTTTCGGGGAGATTGAGCTCAGCTGCTTTTGCAGTTAGACAGATTAGACAGCTCACGGACGTAGATACAGCTAGGCTTGTCTATTTTAGTTATTTCCATAGCATTATGTCGTACGGCATTTTGTTGTGGGGTCGAGCTGCAGAAATAGAATCAATATTTATTCTACAAAAGCGGGCTATCCGAGCAATATATAACTTACGCCGTTTCGAATCGCTGAGAGAATTGTTTAAAACGATAAATAGTTTAACGGTGCCCTGTCAATATATTTATATATGAAAATATAATGTCTATATTGTTTGAGAAAAGAAGCGATAGACACAATTTTAATACTAGAGGCAAAAATAAGTTACCTATACCGCAATTCAGACTGTCCAAAGTACAGAAATCCTTTATGGGCTTAGGTATTAAATGCTATAATAAAATACCAAATAGCATACTAGATCTCAATGAAAGTAAAACATAAGTATATTAAGCGCGAATTATGTAATTAAGCTTACTACACACAGACAGATTATCTTGAAGATAAGAATGCTTGGCAGCATGTTGGTTCGGCTCCACTGGACAATACTCAAATGTAGTCAGTAGTTAAATTCTAATAGTAGGTAATTTAATACTTTAATTCTACCTCTAATGTAGACAATCTAGTTTCCTTATGGCATCGAGCAATTCTTTATTATTGAAACAAAGAGTTTCCTTTTTCTTGTATAGAAGCACTAATTCTATGGATTGTCAGTATGCATATGTGAGCACCATGTTTGACTTTAAGATTTTTTTTTTTAGGAAGTTATTTGTATAATGCGTCAAGCGTGTCTTTTTGCATTCTTCTTACATATGCGTACAGTATTGAAATATGTATCAGAGACATTGTAAAACATACTTTTTTTAAAAAGAGTAACGAATGGAGTTTCTTGCTCGTTCTTCTCCATTCGAATCTACATTTTGGAATGAGCAACTACCTTCACCTAGTTTCACTGACGGACCGACTGACAGACTATTATTTATTTTGTATTTGTTGACGTTTCAAAAGTACCAAACTATAGTTTAATTGAAATAAATGCTTTGACTTTGACAATCTGCACTTTGTCCAACAAGCTAAGGGTTTATTGCTCCATAATAAAACCAATCTGGACCTATGGAATCCAACTGTGGGCAACAGCCAGCAAATCCAATACTATGAGCGTACAGATAGCTCAAAACAATATCCTTAGGGGTCTGTCATCGGCACCCTGGTACGCTCGCAACTCAGAAATCCACGAACATTTGCAAAAATATTTGAATATTCGAAAATTATAATCCAAATACTGGATGAAATAAAGAAATACTCAGCCAACTACAGGGACCGTCTGAGAGATCACCCAAACCCATTGTCATCCATGCTGTTACAACCAAACCAATTTAGACGACTCAAGAGGGCGGATGTGCTACATAACTAAGGGGAGTCAGAGTAATGGCTCCTCTTCTCCAAACTCCAGCAACAATAACAACAAACCTGATTACAGACTGATCGCAGGATAAACCCAAAAAAAATCATTTTGGCAATTAAATTATGATTTTCCAATTAGCCAAGTTTTTAAAATTAGCAATTTTGTAAAGTTTCATTGGCTCTTTCCGATTTCCATTTTGTGACCTAATAAGTGCGTCGTTTGCGCCGCCATCTTGGAAAAATGGCGGCCAAAAACAGTTTTTTTGCAATATCTCTTATGTTGTGCATTTTACGTCGGCTCGAAGTAGAGGTACGAACGGGGTGGTTTTTAGTCAGCAATAGCCTGACACTTCCTCCCACCTCACCAAGGGCGGGAGAAGTCATTCCTCCCCCAAAAAAAGATTAATATGTTATTATCATGATATAGGTACCTACTAATTTTATATCATCTCAATAATTTATTGCCGGGGATGAAAAGTAGAATATATATATTCCAGACCATAATTTACCCGTTCCATATCCTGTTCCCTTCAGCCGTATTGACATGATTGAGTAACAAACATACACACAAACACGTAATATTATTAAGATGACGAAAGAGTCTACAGATCTAAGCAGACCAAAGAGCAGACGAATAGATATATGGCAAGAAGCAAACAAGATCGTTGAAATGTAACATTGACAGCGAAATTGTCGGATAGCAATACATTCAAAATTTTAGTACAGGTATATGATATTAACGAGACGGTGAAGCATGCTCCGATCGGCGTCCGTGGAGCTGAGAGTGGCGTGCCGGCCGCGGGGGCGGGGCATGGCGCGCGCGGCGCGGACGCCGCGGCCCGCGTCCGTGCTGCAGCCGCAGTGCGTCGTGTACCCGCGCGCGCCGCGCAACGAGCGCGTGCTGGAGCACTCTGTCGGCACTAAGGAGCGCAACTGCCTCGCACACGAGCTCGCTACGCTCACGCGCCACCCCGAGACTGTTCCCATTTTTTTAGGCCCAGAGAAAACGTGTTATGGTGATTGCTGTATCCAGGCGATGCCCTTTGATCATCAACTGGTCGCTGCGTATTTCCATCATGCTTGGCCAGCTACCATATCACAAGCTATAGAGCTGGCTACTGCTTGTCAACCTAGTTGGGAGCGCACCTCGGTTGACGAACGTTGCGGCGTGCTCGAGCGCGCTACTGACCTGCTCGCTGGGGTTTTTCGCCAGCGGGTCATCGCGGCCGCCATGATCGGCCAGGGTATGACTGCTATCCAAGCTGAACTTAACGTGTGTCAACTAATTGATTATTTGCGGTTCGGATGCTATTTTATGAGAGAGCTTACGAGGAGTAAAAGCCTAATCGACGGTGGTGATGATGCTATCAATCATAACCAATATCACGGCCTCGAAGGGTTTTGGGCCGCAATTACACCTTACAATTCGCTTGCTTACGCTGCACAACTGGCGATAATACCGACGATCATAGGCAACTGTGTTGTGTGGAAACCTAGTGACCACTCGGTGCTCGCCTGCTATCGCGTGTTCGAATGTCTACAGTGCGCGGGCCTGCCCCCCGGCGTCCTCAACTTCGTGCCAGCTGATGAGAAACGTTTTCTGGACGCTGTGTGCACTAACACAGATCTAGCGGGCATTTCATTCGGCGGGACGACTCGCACTCTCGAGCACATTTGGCGTACAGTCAGCGCGCACATTGACAAGTACTTACATTTCCCTCGGATTGTCGGTACCGGTAGTGGCAAGAACTTCCACGTGGTGCACTCGTCGGCGAATTTGGCGAATGCGGTTGCGTGTACAGCGCGAGCGGCTTTTGAAATGGCGGGGCAAAAGTCTTCGTCGTGCTCCCGCGTGTTCGTGGCGCAGTCAGTGCTGGACCGTTTCTTGCAGTGCCTCGCACAAGTGGCGCAATCCCTCGTGGTCTGCCATCCGCTCGACTACCGATGTTTCATGTCTGCGCTCGCGTCACAAGCCGCTTACGACAAGGTTGTTACATTTTTCTGAGACGGAAATAGACGTTCTCATTGTACCTTTTTAAATAAACAGCAGGTATGTCAAAGGTGTGTGGGTTCCTGGAGCGAGCTAGCCGGGACAACACGGCGCGGCTGGTGTGCGGCGGGCGCACGGAGCCCGGCGTGGGCTACTTCGTGGAGCCCACGGTGTACGTGGTGCCGGAGCCCACGCACGAGCTCATGTGCGAGGAGCTGCGCGGGCCCGTACTCGCTGTGTGTGGCTTCCCAGACAATGACCCCGAGGCCCTCGTGTGGGCTGTCGCCCAGGCACGATACGCCATTACTGGGTCGATATTCGCACGTGTGAGTCGACTTACATTACAACTGTCTAGCAAGTCTAGGAATGTACAAACATGTATGAAGCTTGTGTACATACGTTGATGTAACTTGGCATGATGAGATGTACTTTTGGTAATAGGGATGCTAGTTAGTCAGTCAGTTAAATAATCAAATTTGACTGCACGGTTGGTGCGGTGGCTGGGCAACCGGCTGCCGTGCAACGTGTCGCGGGTTCGATTCCCGCACGGGACAACACCTTGTGTGATCCACAAATTGTTGTTTCGGGTCTGGGTGTCATTGTGTATGTGAGCTTGTATGTTTGTAAACGCACCCACGACACAGGAAAAAAAAAAGATAGAAAAGATAGAAAATAAGTATATTTTTTACAGTATTTTCTTTGTACTCGTAACCATTTAAGAATTGTGACATCATCAGCCCATCGCCATAAAATGATGATCATTAGATGGCTGAACTGCTTCCTTTATGAAATTGTCAGAATAGCCAAATAAGTATTTAATTATAATTTGAGGATTGCCTTCGATTTCCCTGGGATCAGTGGGATCTCATAAAGTATTGACCAGGTGACAACAGTGCTTACAACTTGAAGTATAACCTACGGAACAAAAAAAAATCACGCAAATCGGTCAATACACTCGACGTAATCGTTTGTAGGTACATACCTACTTACATAGAAAATAAAACATCCCGACCGAATTGAGAACCTGCCACTTTTTTCTAGGGAGCTGGTTAAAGATATTATTTTTTTATTTTGTCGAAAACAATACTTAGATAAAACGAAAAGTTTTGAAGTTGGAGCTAGGAGAGCTACGTCATTTGTAAGTATAACAAAACCGAGAAAAAACGTCACGAGGTATTTTAAAAGAAAATAAAAAATACGTGCCCAATGCTTTAAATGCTTTCTTTATGGACACAATTGAATTATGAAAATAAAAAGGAGGTGCGTTGTAGTATCCTCAGATATGTTTGATTAGGCAATAGCATGATTAACTTTCATGTAATGTGCAGTCGAGTGGGTGTGCAGGACATGCGGTGGGCGCGCTGGGCGGCGGGCGCGCTGCGCGAGCACTCGGCCGCGCTCTACCTCAACGCGCGCTGCTCCGAGGACACGCCCGGCCAGCAGGCCCTCGGCGGCTCGCGCAAGTCGGCCGCCGGCGGGGGCAAGGTACTGTGTCGCAGTGCACTGTGCGGTAGTATGTACTGTAGTGTCGTGTTGCAGGCGGGGTCGATGTCGTACCTGCTGCAGTGTCGTATGTTGCAGGCGGGGTCGATGTCGTACCTGCTGCAGTGTCGTATGTTGCAGGCGGGGTCGATGTCGTACCTGCTGCAGTGTCGTATGTTGCAGGCGGGGTCGATGTCGTACCTGCTGCAGTGTCGTATGTTGCAGGCGGGGTCGATGTCGTACCTGCTGCAGTGCCGTATGTTGCAGGCGGGGTCGATGTCGTACCTGCTGCAGTGTCGTATGTTGCAGGCGGGGTCGATGTCGTACCTGCTGCAGTGTCGTATGTTGCAGGCGGGGTCGATGTCGTACCTGCTGCAGTGTCGTATGTTGCAGGCGGGGTCGATGTCGTACCTGCTGCAGTGTCGTATGTTGCAGGCGGGGTCGATGTCGTACCTGCTGCAGTGTCGTATGTTGCAGGCGGGGTCGATGTCGTACCTGCTGCAGTGTCGTATGTTGCAGGCGGGGTCGATGTCGTACCTGCTGCAGTTCGCGACGGAGCGCTCCATCCGCGAGTCGCTGCAGGCCTGCACGGACGTCACGTACTCGTACATGGACGAGACGCCGCCCATTGTCGTGCTCAAGTGACGCTCGGACCTTATTTGTGTTGTTTTGTGAAGTCACACAGAAGTAATAAAACTCTCGTCACAATATTTTCTAAATATTTTATTGCAATTTAGGATCAATACATTACATATATTACGGATATATAAAATACAAGTAAGGCAGCAGGCAGCGCAGTGACACCGGCCGCGACCTTTGTACGCGTCACGAACTCATCACAATCTTACTAACAGCTAACGATGTCAACTGAGGGCGACTCGGAGACTCCACTCTCTAAGCCTGTTTCAAGTTTTACATCAACAATACATTATTTCTTTGTACACGTTTCCTTATAAGTCGCTGTCGTAATACGCCACCGACTCGCACCTCGGTCAACTTACAAAAATAAAATTGCAACATATTGCATTACTACACGTGTCAGTTACAACTAATTGATAATAATGTACCACCTAACTGTCATAATATGCATAAAGTACGATATAACTAGGCATTGGCAAGTGACACTATAATACCTATATATATATCTAGTCATGTACGAGTACCACTCTCATTGGCAGTGCACTCATTCATTCTCCTCGACGTCTATCACTTTTCTAAATTCATAAAAGCAGGAAAGAAAAATAGACTACGTCTAACTGCAACATGTTCACGTACAGCTATTGTGCAATCTTTACTTTTTAAAATAATTAGAAATGGAAAAAATAATAAAAAGAAGAAGTTGGTCTGAGTAATAGCACATAATAAAATACTGCGGCCGCATAGAGTGCAGTGCGCCACGCGACATTAGCAACACAGGAGTACATCACGCCCGCAGGTTGTACCATGTCGTCCACTATCTTCTTGACACATTTTGTTGTCTAACGTCTAAAGCTTAATTCTCTAGTGTGCCGAGATAAGAGAATACCAAACAGAGTGCTTGCAGTGCGGTTAGAAGTGGGCCGCGAGGCCGAGGCAACCAGTGCCTCCCAGTATATAGGTGCACTTATACCACTTACAATCACTTTCAATGCTCTCGTCATATTCTTCCACACACTACTTTACAACCATTACCTTCGTCTGCTATCGAATTACTCTTGTATACTTGTAAATGTTTAAAAATGTCAGTACAATATTTTTACAAAACATAGGAATGCCATCAGGAATGAGTATAACGTGATCACACGCGGCTCTGTCCGAGCCCGATTTGTCTATTTGTCTATGCTGGTCATAGACAAAGAACAATATATATGTACACCATTGTTTATATGTAAATGCTCCAAAATGGTTAAGAACGCTTAACTGGCGTCGTTTCATTATCAGCTAATCAGTCGCGCTTGGTCAGTAAGCGTTTGTTTTGGTTCCGCGATATATCGCTAACTACAGATATGACTCGATGTACCTTAACCTATGCGCGGATAAACAGTAGTTGAGCAGATTTGAACAGGAATGACAAGTACTGGCGTCCCGCAGCGCTGCAGGCGGCGCGGGGGCGCGGGGGCGCGGGGTGACCTGCGCGGAACAATACAATAATATGTTATTATTATGTTTGATTAGTCACGTAACTGAAGAGGAACTCGACTTGCTTGAACTTGAAACTCGTTCCTCGTCAAACAGTTACGTTACTAAACCGATGACGTAATAATTTTTATAATTATTTGAAATGTATAACGCCTTGGTTTTATTTATGTATTTATTTATTTATTGAATGGTGAATCAACAGCTACATTACATACATTTAGCAGAAAAATAGTAACATTGAGCCACTTACAGATTCACACGAATACTGACTTAATAGGTAACAGCTAAGACAAAATAAAAATTATAAATACATCAAAAACAGGCACACAGCAAGAAAATTATTTAAATAAAGAAAAAAACAAGAAAGGTGAATACATATTTAAAATAAAAAAAACAAAAATCAGTTATTAAAAAAGTCTCCACTTATCATACCCCTAGCTTTCCTCAGGCTTGTACAAAATATATCTATATCATGCTTGCTACTGATGTCGTTAATAGTACGACAGGCTCGACACAAGAATGAGTTTTGCCTGTAGTTACTGTTTGCTACCGGAGCACAAAGAGGTGCGTGCCTCCTAAAGGATTTCGATGGAACATTGAGGGACAACTTTTTAAGGAATTCAGGGCAGTCAACTTTACCATTCGCTATGGATAGGATATAAGTAACATCAGCTATCTCGCGACGTTTATAAAGCGGAAGAAAGTGAAATTGTTTGCAGAGGCTGATATAGTTGTCGTACCCAGCCTTATTAGGAATTGCCAAACGAAAGCACAAGAATTTAATGAACTTCCTTTGAATCCTTTCAATTCTTGCAATATATTTATCATATCGGGGATTCCATATTTGCGATCCGTATTCAAGTATATTATGACTGTAATGTTATACTATTTAATTGAAATAAATAAATAATTAATTTAGTATATCTCACGAAAGTTTTATAAACATAATATGCTATATTATGTGAAGATGTGAACGGAACTACCTACATTTGCCGCCTCTTACAGTACCTAGCAGATTGTATGGCTGAGGACATGGCAGTGTATGGCTGAGTACCTGGCAGTGTACGGCTGAGTACCTGGCAGTGTATGGCTGAGTACTTGGCAGTGTATGGCTGAGTACCTGGCAGTGTATGGCTGAGTACCTGTTATGTATGGCTGAGTACCTGGCAGTGTATGGCTGAGTACTTGGCAGTGTATGGCTGAGTACCTGGCAGTGTATGGCTAAGTACCTGGCAGTGTATGGCTAAGTACCTGGCACTTGGCAGTGTATGTCTGAGTACTTGGCAGTGCATGGCTCAGTACCTGGCTGTGTATGGCTGAGTACCTAGCAGTGTACGGGTGAGTACCTGGCAGTGTATGGGTGAGTACCTGGCAGTGTATGGGTGTGTACCTGGCAGTGTACGGCTGGGTACCTGGCAGTGTATGGGTGAGTACCTGGCAGTGTATGGGTGAGTACCTGGCAGTGTATGGGTGTGTGCCTGGCAGTGTACGGCTGAGTACCTGGCATTGTATGGGTGAGTACCTGGCAGTGTATGGGTGAGTACCTGGCAGTGTATGGGTGTGTACCTGGCAGTGTACGGCTGAGTACCTGGCATTGTATGGGTGAGTACCTGGCAGTGTATGGGTGAGTACCTGGCAGTGTATGGGTGTGTACCTGGCAGTGTATGGGTGAGTACCTGGCAGTGTATGGGTGAGTACCTGGCAGTGTATGTGTGTGTACCTGGCAGTGTATGGGTGAGTACCTGGCAGTGTATGTGTGTGTACCTGGCAGTGTATGGGTGAGTACCTGGCAGTGTATGGGTGAGTACCTGGCAGTGTATGGGTGAGTACCTGGCAGTGTATGGGTGTGTACCTGGCAGTGTACGGCTGAGTACCTGGCAGTGTATGGGTGAGTACCTGGCAGTGTATGGGTGAGTACCTGGTAGTGTATGGGTGTACCTGGCAGTGTAGGCCGAGTACCTGGCAGCGTATGGTTGTACCTGGCAGTGTAGGCCGAGTACCTGGCAGTGTATGGGTGTACCTGGCAGTGTAGGCCGAGTACCTGGTAGTGTATGGGTGTACCTGGCAGTGTAGGCCGAGTACCTGGCAGTGTATGGGTGTACCTGGCAGTGTAGGCCGAGTACCTGGCAGTGTATGGGTGTACCTGGCAGTGTATGGGTGTACCTGGCAGTGTAGGCCGAGTACCTGGCAGTGTATGGGTGTACCTGGCAGTGTAGGCCGAGTACCTGGCAGTGTATGGGTGTACCTGGCAGTGTAGGCCGAGTACCTGGCAGTGTATGGGTGTACCTGGCAGTGTAGGCCGAGTACCTGGTAGTGTATGGGTGTACCTGGCAGTGTAGGCCGAGTACCTGGTAGTGTATGGGTGTACCTGGCAGTTTAGGCCGAGTACCTGGTAGTGTATGGGTGTACCTGGCAGTTTAGGCCGAGTACCTGGCAGTGTATGGGTGTACCTGGCAGTGTAGGCCGAGTACCTGGTAGTGTATGGGTGTACCTGGCAGTTTAGGCCGAGTACCTGGCACAGTGGTGCGGTGACTAGAACAGTAGGTCGGTGTGGTGCGTGCGCGCCTCGCTCCAGGAGCGCGCGATGTCGGCACCGCACGGCCGCGCGTCCCCCTCCCCCGCCCCCTCTCGCTCCCCGTCCCCGTCCCCCTCCGCATCGCCTCGCACTTCCGACATCTCTGCTGCGCCTGCCGCACCCGCTGTGGAATCAATTGTACTCTATAGCTCGTCTAATTTTGACAATATTATATTATTACAAAACAGACATTGTATATTATAAGTACTTTTGGAATTCAATTATTGATTGAAAAGAAGTATATAGTATATACAATAACTTGTCCGGTTTTCCCGCTTTATAATTTTTAAAATGAAGAAACTGATAACAGTCGAATAAAATGATAAGTATTACGTACGTCGCTATTAAGTGAGATGGTACTGACCTGCGTCGGGCGGGGTGACGCCGAGCGTGAAGGCGGCGCCGCGCGTCTTGTGAGGCCGGTAGCGGGACAGCGCCGCCGACGCTGCGGGCACACACACTACGCTACTACGGTGCTACGCTACTGCGGTGCTACGCCGCTACGGAGCTACGCCGCTACGGCACTAGCTAGCAGCTAGCAGCTCAAATTATTACACATTTCATAGTTTTATAAACACACAAGTAATGGTGAAGAGTTTATTTAGGCCAGAGCGAGGTGTAGTAAAATATTCTAGTTGCGGCGTAAATACACTGATTCCTGAATAAATGGAACTAATAATGTGCTCTATCTATACTTATAAAATGTCCAGATTGACTGACTGACTTATTCATCGTCGCTAGCGTAAACTGTCATGGCTACAAACAAACATGAATTCGGACTGTGTACTTTGTTAGCGTGATATACTTACTAAGGGTCATCCCGTGTTCAGTATTTTCAAAATTCCTATTTCACAGTAGGGGTTGAAGGATAAATCGGATTGATTTATTTTGAGTGGACAGTAGATATTGGGTATATGATAAGTACACAATGCTGTGTACATACCGTTCTAGGTAAGCCAATTTTAATTCTACATATACGTATATAAAGTACGTACTTTGTAACGAACTGATTTTTTTTCAATTTTTTTAAAAAAAACGTTGCCCCACACTAGGATTTTCTCCTGTGTCGTGGGTGCGTTTACAAACATACAAGTTCACATACACAAAGACACCCAGACCCGAAACAACAATTTGTGGATCACACAAAGTGTTGTCCCGTGCGGGAATCGAACCCGCGACACGTTGCACGGCAGCCGGTTGCCCAGCCACCGCACCAACCGTGCAGTCTACATTAGATCTAGTAAGATTCAATACAAGTGACGGAAGTTTAAGGATGGGCCAAAGGGTTTATAGGTTTGTAAACAATACGAGAGGATTCAATTTAAAGCGGCAATTATTGAGTTATTGTTTTGGAGGCGTCCTGTCTTCGTTTGACCTCAAAATCGACTGTGAATTATTTAAATTGTTTAACTCGTCGAGTACCGTATTTATAGACACAATTAAAGAACAATAGGTTGCGGTCACCGGTGACCGCTTGGTGTTTGACAGTTTAATTTATATTTTCTTCCATAATTACGTGAATTAAAGTTACTTATGTTCTAAAATTGTAATCGATTGTTTAGCTGTGTTCTTTGAGAGCTGACGGCCAACTTTCAGACTTCAGGCAGGAGAGTTTGGTGGTTGTAAGTTGGGACAAGGGCAACGAGTAGGTGTGGTATGTATTGAATGGTACGGCTAGCGAAGTGTTCCAGGACCACTACAGTCCATCTAGCGACATGCGGCAGTCAGACGAATGTCTCGCGGCGCCGCCTCGCTCTGCGCCCTACTGACACTCTCTCACACTCTCCCAGCTGACTTGTTGCTGCGGGGACTTTGTTAAAAGGAAAAATACAATTACATACAGTGACATCATGAGTATTGCGTTCGGACACGTCTATGCACACATATCGTCTCGGTTAAGAAGTCGATGTCTATCATGACAATTTTACAACATCAGGAATTTCCTAGGCAGTAGGAGTAGACCCGAGTCCGGTGAGTGGCAGGTAGCGAAGTAAAGTGTGTGACAGTTACTTATATGCGTGTTGGCAGCCAGCGGCGCGTGCAGCGGCGGCTCCGCGAGTTGGGGCGTGCTCGGCGCGTTCGGCGCACTCGGTGCGCTCGGCACGCTCGGCGCACTCGGCGCGCTCGGCGCCGCCTCCGCCGCGCCCTCCTCGCTTAGCGACGTCTCTGAAGGGTACTCGAACGTGCGCGTCAGCGAGTCGTCAAACTGCAGTTTTAACTGAAAACGATAGGTACGCGACTATTAATATCAGATAATAATATATTAATTTAATGTGCTTCATGCACAAAATGTACAAATAGGTGGACTTAATGCTGCAGACATTTTCTACCAGTCTGACCTTTGGGTGATGCAGAGAAGAGTAAATGGTAGGTGCAAGAGGCAAGCAATGGCTTTATTTAACAAACGAAAGATAAACTAATATATTTCAGAGATATACATAAATAAATATAATTATAATATATACATGAGTACAATATGCCTACATACATACATACATAATATATAGGAGTTGGAGCGTGTGGAGTCTTACCTTCGCGATGCGGTCTCTGTTGGGTCTGGTGGGCATGGAGGAGCGGCCGTTGATGAGCACGTTGTCGTTGACGAAGCGCACGTTGCAGGGCGAGGGCGGGCTGCCGTCCGGGGCGTCCGGCTCGGGGTCCGACTCCGAGTCGGAGCGCAGCAGCGCGTCGGGCCGCAGCACCACGACGCCCGGCTCGCCCGGCTGTAACCACAACAAGCTGCTCACTATCTGCCGCCACGTCATACTCCTTACATACAGAGGCTCATAATCACCCACTGTAACCCAAATACAGTGGCCAGTGGGGACCCAGATGTCCTCGTTATCAAAAGCTTGCTATACGAAATGAGGTTCGCTGTTCCGGTCGCTAAATGTTGGATACGGTTTTATTTATTTGATAGGCGTTATAAATATTTGTTCTGAATGTGAACTAGAAGAATAACATTGAATTATCGATTAACGAGCTTATTATGACCCGCTTTCTACCCGTGTTTCTGTTTCATCATATTTAGCGTGATGTTTGTAGTCTTCCTCGATGGACTTCATCATCATTGACAGCATAACAAAACGTACTAAGGCCTCAGGATGTTTCAATTCCAACCAGTGACTCTAGATATTGTTGCATCTAACCAAACATATATTTATGTATATAAGGACATAAAGGTACGTACTTATATGTATATCCTTACTTCCTTACTTATATTATAAATCGGAAAGCGAGTTTGTTTGTTTGTTCCGCCTTCACGCCGTAACTACTAGACCGATTGCTTTGAAATTTTGCAGACGTAAAGTTAGAAGTCTGGATTAAATAATAGGGTACTTTTTATCCCGGAAAAAATTGATATTTCCTAGGAAAAACAAAAATATTGGTATAGATGGCGTTGTATGTCATTTAAAACCAGTCAACGAATTACCTACTTATTGGAAAAATGTATGTAAAAATGTAAAAGCTAGTATTAACTATATCATTAATTTATTCATATCTCGACTCGTGTGAGGTATCTCGTCTGGAGACTCTCGTGGAGGAGGAACGCGTTCCCTATCTTTATATATATAATTCTTCTGTGAGTGTGTATGTCACTGAACTTCTCTCAAACGATTGGACCGATTTTGATGAAATTTTTTGTGTGTGTTCAAGGGATCTGGGAATGGTTTAGATTCACAAATCAGCCCGGCAGATGGCGCTGCAGTCGATGCAGTCGATTTCTCTAAAACTTTATCGTAGCCTCAGGTAACGACTGTACAATAGTTAGGCTTCAGGCTACAAACTACCACGCAATAATACAATACGGGATATTATTGGCTTGTATTGTACCTACAATTATAATTATAATAGTACAATATACAGAGTCAGAAGGTTCTGAATTATTTATGAAGGTTATGCTGGAGATCATACAAAAAAGATAAGATCGATCTTTTTTGTATGATCTCCAGCATAACATCACGCCTTTTATCCCCGAAGGGGTAGGCAGAGGTGCACATTATACCACTGTACAATAGTACAATGTAACACCCACTTTTCACTATTTATATTATGAGTCCCATGTAATAGGGGGTGAGCCTATTGCCATATACAGTATTATACAGGGCACAATTCCAGACTCCGTGCTACTACTGAGAATATTTAAAAACCCAGTAATACTTTGCCCGGCCCGGGAATCGAACCCGAGACCCCTTGCCCGGCAGTCGTACTTACGACCACTAGGCCAACGAGGCAGTCTCCAGCATAATCCGATATTTTTAAAAATCGATATGAATAAATGACTAATTGAACCAGGAGTCCTTAATCTTCATGTTTACGTGTGTACCCGGCTCCGAAGTAACGAATTGTGCCTTGTAATACTATTATAATTACAAGGCACAATTCGAATAGGCGAATTAAAACATTTCTTATAAATAATATAATTCCGTGACAAATGACTTTGTGTACAGCAGTTTTAGTTTCGTAAAATAAGGGATCGGGTTTAATAAGTTCATCTGCGCGTGGTGCACTCGTGAACGACTACGTGCGGAATGTAACAGGCGTCCGGTGACCGTGACGGGTAGTAACCGCGCTGGGTTCAAGGGAATTGTGGCCGGACCGGTGCCGCGGTGCCGTGGGAGCACCGAGCCACTGATCGACTTCACTAGCGTTTTAAAATAGGACGCACTACTTCAAGCATCAATCATTAGATAATATTTAAGTACAGTCTGTTTCATTATTTATCAATCCCATTTATTAAAATATAAGTGCTTTCCTTGAGTTCAAATTATTGTAGACTAGGCAATTACTGGAGCGTCAACTTCTTGATCCCGGCCGAGGTTGCAGGTTAATGGCCAGTTCGCACTACGCTAGTATTTTACTTGAGTAGCGAGTATTCGGTAGCTCCAGAGGTAGCACTCTTGCTTCTTGCAAGAGTGCTTCTGTCCCTAATTTACCGCCACCCGGTAAATTTTTGCGCCTATGTTTTCACCGCAGGAGTCGGCGCCATTTTTTATTAGTCAGTAAGGGCCAGTCAGTCAGTCAATTAGTCAGAAAAAGGCAACTACCTAATTTTGAAGATTTAGAAATAAAATGGTTCGATGGCATTTCGTGCCTTGATTGGCGATGTGCGAAATCGCCAATCCCATCCCATTCATCCCTGAGCAGGCGCCATGAAGGTGCCTCGTGGTGCCTACTCAGGCATTTTGTTTTGATATAAGTTTTGTAACGTTAGTGCATCTTCTCTTCTGGTGTAAGTGAGACGAGAGCACACACGGGGTGTTGTAAACTCATAAGCATAACAAATAACAAAGTGGACCTGCCAACGCCAATAAGCCAAACAATTTATGAATAACGTTTACAAAACACAGTCACTGGTTTATGTACGTACCTAAGTACTACGAGTAGTGCGAGTAGTGCGAGTACCGTATCGCTATAGTCGACAATTTGTTTGTCTTTATCAGAAGTTTTCATTACTAGAACCATACCTTGATTTGGCAGACTGCGCCTTCATCTCGTATTAAGTCACGGAGACTCCTCAACATGATTATACATACAAAATAATGTAAGTAAACATATTTAGGTACATGGTTTACATAATTCGATAATAAGGATGAGTAACCAAAGGTTATAAAAGATGAACAAAGGAGAAAGGTTTAATCAGAGTTAAATGAAAGTATTGGTGCTCGCCAGCCGGTCTGCGCGTCGGTTCAGTGAGGTGTATGGCGCCGCACTACGGGCCCCGGAGCAGCGCATGCGATAGCGTATCTTAATCGAGGATAATACGGGTGATTATGAGCAACGCTTTATCAAACTCGCCTAACACATTTTTAATCTTTTTACAAGTACATCATAATCTTGTTCCAAATAATTTTAAGGAATTGATAGAGAATCGTTTTCCTTTACATTTAATTGAAACGTCAGTGCCTAGGTAGTTGAAGTACCTAGGTGGTACTTCCTCATAAAAGTTGGTGGACATGATGTGCCGCACTGCCGCCGCCCGCCGCGACGTGGGTCAAGCTGCAGCTGCATGCTCGTGCGTACTCGACTACTCGATCACCGCGGTATGAGCACTTACTATCCGCTGCTCATTAAGCATTGGAGGGGAAGGTATCAAAGGCTAAGTATTTGTTTCAATAGCACCAGAGCACAAGAGATACGTGGCTGGCAAACGGTCCAGAGGTCGCAGCCCGATATGTTGGTCCGATCACACTCGGGTTGATTGTGCAAAACGAAGCACGGAGGAGGACAGTTTGACGTTTTACGTATGTTGTTGCGTTGTAGAAAATATTGTAAACAATTAAAATAAACAAGTACTTCACTTCTTAACAAATATCGACCTTACTTAGTAAGGTTGTGTGTTTTTATGTCGATCGACTGTACTGTAAGTTGGTTTGACACTTAATAAATTACACCCAATTTTTATCTGTAAAAATTAAGTATCAGCTGTTCCCTACACCATATCCGAATTTTCGAAACCTGAGTCTGAGTGCTCTGATTTCATACAAAATATTCAACATGGCACACATCACAATGAATTTGCGAAAACTCATATTCATTATACATATTTCGGAAGCCGAACGTTTGCTGCCGACCTTAAATAAACCCGGACATAACTTTGAAATCCCCTTGAGCAAGTGTCCAATACTTCCAATAGCATACTTATTATCTCTTAAATAAGTTAAAAAATATAATATGTACCTTAGCCTAAAACTTAAATACCGAGTCCTAATAGATTATTTAAAATAGAATAGACTAGCTTCTGCTAGCGGCTTCGCCCGCGTTCCCGTAGATTAAAAAGTAGCCGGTGTGTTATTCCAGACCATGATTTACCCCTTGACTTGAATTTGACCGCGGTCCTTTCAGGCGTTTTGACGTGATTGGGTAATAAACATAAGTATACACAAACTTCCGCATTTACAATATTAGTAAGATGATGAAGATAAACTGTCATAGACAATGGTAATTGCACTCCATAGTCCACAGACAGCAGACGCACAGCACGGCTGCGGCAGTACCATGATGCGAGTCGTGTCTACCGGTCTTCAGTAGGTGGCTATTATTGACTTATCAGCGGGATATAGATAAACAAAGCCAATTTATTTATTGCTCTGCTAATAAAATATGCATATATTATTATGAACACTATCAGAAGTTACACTTTACCACTACATATATTATACGTTTAAGTATGTATCTCTGGTGTCAAACAAAACAGAATATTTGTATGTGATTGGGCGGAATCATTGAAATTTAGTGGCCTCTAGTCGCCCCTAGGCACAGCCGCCACATCGATCCGACTCCGTCTGGCGTTACTCAGCTGGCGCAGTGGCGGGCCGCGAGCCGCGAGTCGGCGCCGCTTCCTTCAGCCCTATTACACCGCGACCTCTTTGGCAATTTGTCGTGTTCATTCTACCCATAAATGTACAAAATCTACAGTAAATTAATAAATCGTCACTGATAGCAGTCCGATGGTCGTTACGACAGTAGCGCGATAATAAAGTGACGCCACGTATCCGAGTAGCTGCCTACTGGTGATTAGGTTGCAGTAGCAAGTGGCAAGTGTCGCAGTGTGCAGTCGCGCTTACAACTTGTATCATGTGCAGAATACGTGCTGATTGGTTGCATACAGCACGCGTCAGGTGTTCGTGACACTTCGATACGTGGAACTGAGAAACAAGGGTCGCAACTCGCATTATACGACTCGTATAGCAGAGGCTGCAGTGGCAGTGACACGCAGTAC